CCTTGTTCCTTATTTTTCCTTATTACGTAAACTTCAAAAAGGTCTCAATCTTTTAGATAAGTCAACCTTTGGATGGTTTGTTTTTTTATTACAACACCGCTGAGAACATAGTTTAAAATATATTTTTTAAACAAATGGTTAGAATACAGTTGAAGTTATGGTCCCACATATGTTGAGTTATGATTAGAAGATAGTTGCAGTTATGATTACAAACAATGTTAATTCATATATAGAAGAAGACGCATCGCTGTAGGAAACCGTCCTTATTTGAAAAGATTGAGGCAAGTCCTACCTTGAGATAAGTTTCACTTTTATCTTTGAAACATTCAATAAAGAAGTAATTTAAACGAATCATGGCTTGTGTAGATTGTAATTGTTACTTGCCTGCATAAACATATAAGTTCTGTTTTAACATCAGTCATATTAATTATATTTGCCAAACTATTATAGTTCACCTTAAATGATATGTTTATGTAAGTTTGGTGGCGCCCTCCATACCTTTCCTATAGTTAAGTTTTGTCAAGGTTATTAAGTGCTACTCACGGCCCTAATTAAATTGAGCTAAAACACGGTAAGTAAAACCAACATCACTTGTTACAATGTATGGGTTCGAATCCCACGCTGACAGATTTTTTTCAAATCTCCAAGTATGTGATTTCACCTTTGGGGTTCGGGGATGGTCTTAATAATTCGTAGGGGGATTTTTGAGATTTGTTTCCGAATTTTCAAATTATTTTTACATATTTTTCGATCATTCTTATCTTGTACAACATGGAAATATACCAGAAAAAAAATTATATTATTGACGTGTGTAATTATTTTTAAATTATGTTAAAAATTTGTAAATGTTTTAATTGACATTTAAACATTTTTAAATAATTTAAGGGCGACACCAATATGGAAAAAATATCTGTGGTTTCACAGATGACAGGCACGGCCAAGCATTATTCTGATTTTACTATATTGGAATGCGTAAAATAAGCCCCATAAGAAATGCATGGGATTTTAAGAACATTGATATTAAAATAGTTAGTTTGAACCGAAAATTCTGAAAATCAATAGGGTTCTAAGTTAGAAGCAATTATTCAAGAAAATTAAAACCGCAAGTCAATCGCATCTTTCTTTCTAGAGTTATCGGGCCGGCACACATCGCAGACGCATTTTTTGAATGATCGGAAACGTGAAAAGTCATAAAAAGCGTGGGTAAGAAATTTTTTTTATCTGCACGAATGCAATACTGAGGCCCCATATAAAGGGCCTTAGCAAAATGTACTTCTGCGTTGTCTGAAGTCGTTTTAGATGTTACCAGATACGTTGTTGGAGGTATATCTCAAGAATTATGGTCTAATTGAAATGAAATTAAAAATACCTATCGAGTATTTCGGACTCTTTCTTCAATTATTTATTTTTTATTTATTTATTTATTACAATGCTCTACAGGCAATCCCAATTACAGAGCAGGAATAAAAGAACACATACATTATATAGACTAAGTGGTACAAAATATACAAAAATTAGTAAACAGCTAGTAGGTAAAATACAATACAATTTTTTTTTTATGTTAGGAAATGACATTTTATTTCCCTGAGTTTGCATGAGAAGATATCAATGTCACTACTCACACTATTCACAACGCGGCTAATAGTATGAAATGGAGAATTTTTCAGAACATTTGTGCGAGGTACAGATATGTGAAATATGTTAGAATTTCTAGAGGATACTCTCGGAATGCAGATATCAATTTTTCTCAACAGTTCAGGAGAATCAATTAAACCGTTAACAATTTTGAAACCTAACACATAACAATGGTATTCACGTCTTTTTATGAGGCTTAAAAAGTGATATCTTTGAAGAAGATTTTGGTTTGGTATTCCGATTGGCGGATAAACACCGTCCTCCTTTAAACACAGTAATTTTAGAAACCGCCTTTGAACTGCTTTAATTCGATCCGTGTGAAGTTGGTAAAATGAACTCCAGACGACAGACGCATACTCAAGCTTTGATCTTATAAGAGAGTAATATAACGTTTTTAATGTGGCTATATATTTGAAATCCCTGGTGCAGCGAGTTATAAAACCATACATACGATACGATTTTTAAATCATTTTATCTATGTGACATATAAAGGTCAATCCGGGATCAAAAATTACCCCAAGATCTGTAAAAGTATCTGGTCGCTGAAGTGAGACATTATCTATTAAATAATTATACTTTATTTGGTCGGTTTTTAGAGAAAAAGACATAACTTTACATTTAATTGGATTAAGTTCAAGTTTTTTATTATTATTACACCATTCAACCACTAGATTTAAGTTCATGTGAAGTTGTTCACAGTCGCCAATACTTGTCACACGCTTGTATAATTTTAAATCATCTGCATACAGTAAAAACTGCTCTTTAATTACACTCGAAATATCATTGATGAAAATATTAAATAGTAACGGGCCCAGAATGGAACCCTGAGGAACTCCAGATGTTGTTGCAAATTTGACAGACTTAAACCCATTAAGCTGTACAAACTGAGTACGATTTACTAGATAGCACTGAAAGAGATTTATCAAAGGGGGGGACAACCCAAACCCTGTAAGTTTTCCAAGAAGAATACCATGGTCAAGTCTGTCAAATGCCTTTGAGAAATCTGTGTAGATGACATCAGTCTGGGCGCGCTCATCAATGGATTCAGCAATGTATTGTGTGACGGTAACCAGGTTAGTGACTGTTGAGCGACCTTTCATAAACCCATGTTGATTGACTGATAGCATTTTACTAGCATAATGATATAAGGTTTTCTCCAATAAAATTTCAAATATTTTGGAGAAATTGCATATTATGGATATTGGTCTATAATTGGTTATATCTCTTTTATCCCCCTTTTTGAAAACTGAAAATACTTTTGAGTTCTTCCAAATATCTGGAACTGTTGATGTCTTGAGGCATATATTTATGAGGGTGGCTAACGGAGGAGCAAGTTGAAAGACACAATCCTTTAAAATAAAAGCTGGAATATGGTCTGGACCAGTTGTCTTTTTAGGTTTAATAGACTTTAGAGCTTTATATACCTCTTTTTCGGTAAAACAATTGACATTAAGGAACGGAACATTGAGTTGTGAATTTGAATTAGCAATAAACGGGCTAGAGGTAATATAGGACTGTTTGAAGAAGTCAGCAAATCCATTGAGAATATCTAATGGAGTTTTTAGTGATTTGTTGTCATAAGACATTATTTGAGGGGATTTGGATTGTGATTTCTTACTATTTATAAATGCCCAAAATTTACTTGGATTACTAGATATCTCTTGTTCAGTCTTTTTAATATATGCTCTGTAAGAAATGTCTATTTCTAATTTTAAAGCAGCCCTGAATGTCACGTCTGGTCAAGATTATAATTCTGATCACACTTAATTTTTACATTCCTGTCTGTATACAGATAAGGAAAGCATAGAAATCATGATTTTTTTAGAACTCGAGTTTTTGACAGATTTTTACGTTTTGGGGTCCCCTGAATCTGATTTGACTGTTTTCGCAATGATGTCTGTCTTTGTGTATGTATCCACGATAACTAAAAAAGGATATAAAGAAAAATATTAAATTTTAAGTTAAGCTCTAATCTATCCTCTAATGAGTTTAGGCATAGTCGGAGCATCTGTGAGAAACTTTATAGGGGGTCCGTGTTTCTACTTTAAGAAATATATCTGTTATTTATGATTGGAGAAAAAAATTTGACAAATAAAAGTTGCTTGTGATGTAATTATATAATTTTGGTTTTACACATGATTTCCCTAAAATAGTGAGTATTCGAGAAATTTAACAAAAAATGCAAAATTATAATTTTTAAGAAAATTGTTCAAATAAAAGATGTTGCGTTATCATTTTCTATAATTTTTGTTTTATACATGATTTCACTAAAACTCGAGCAATATATTTTGGTAATGTTAGAAAAGTTATAAAAGATAACTTGAATATTGACATTGACGATGCGTTAGTTAAGCCATGTAACTTAGTAAAAGTTTGGAAATTTATATTAACGCTTAATAGAGATCCATTGTCCAAAAATGGTATTGCTATTTAAGAAATATTTATCGAAGCAGGTCCTTTTAAATTCATCTTTAAAAAAAACTCAAATAGATTAATATTAAGTCATACCAATTATGTTGATTTTGTTTACAGGGCCATATATAGATGTAGATTCATTGGCAAGGCTCATTTTTTCATTAAAATCTTGAGATCATGTTTCAAACAAATTGAAAGAACAAGGGTAGCTTATTAATATGTTTAATTGACGAAAACTTCACATGCCTTCTTTTGTACACAAAGTGCTTAGAAATTATACTTCTACATACCTTAGAAAAAAAAAATATCCTCAAACTCAAATCAGGGTTGGCACGAATTAAGTCAGTGATTTAATTTGTGAGTTAAAGTCATGACTTATTCCAACCCTGGTTAATAGCCGAAATAATAGCCTTCTTGTTATACCTAAACATAGACCAACTCTCTAAAAGAGATATTTTTTATACAACGCCGTCAGTGTACCTGAACAATTTAAAAATAAATCATTAAGAAGTATAAAAATATTTTTGTTTTAATGTGGATTGTTTGTGTTTATGTATATTCATTTTCTTATCGCATGTTTCTATATAAAAGTTCTATTAATATAATTTTAATTTAAATTTAAATCTAAACAACAATGTCTATTTTTATTATATGAAATGTTTTTATTTGATACTCGGTTGAGTGGAACAGCTAACTATGTTGGACTCCGCCGAGGATCATTAAAATAAAGACATTTATTATTATTATAAAGCATATTTGTTATTATTATTAATAATAATAATAATACTCTCCCTATTCATCCCCTTATGAATTAATTTTAACCCCAGAAGCAGAGCTTGTATGGGGGAAGAGAAGACTGTTGTTATTACTTGCCATGGCACCCTGGGGCGATCTAAACTTAAGTATTCAATAATATCTTCACATCAACAGAAATATAAAAAATAACTTACTTTATCAGTCTTAATTTTGTTAGCTGCTTCATTCATAATACTTTTTGCTCTTTCTGAGTGGACCCTAGGAATGAAAATAAGGCCACAGAGATAGGCTGCAAGACCAAATGGACCTGTGTACAGAAGTTCTTTCTTTGCTATCACTGTGCATTTTCCCATAACTCTCCAAAAATTAAACATGCCTATAAGAAAATGTTTCTAATAATTTTAAGAACAGATAATTGCTTTTTAAAAAAAATTATTAGTTTTTAAATTCATTAATTTCAAAGTAACAATGTGAGTATTACAGAACAATGGTAAACATTAATTAAAAGTCAAGTTCAAAGTAAATTAAAAATAGAAGTTTTCATTGATAGAAACAATAGGAACTAATTTAAGAAGAGTTTATAATTAGAAGTTAAAATATATATTGGGTTAGCTTGGGGCTAGGGCAGTTCGGGTCAAGATATTTAGACCAAACTTGGCATATTATATAGATGTATTACCCCAAAAATATGAAATATGCATAAACCCCACCAGATGATATAGAGGGGGTGTCACCCTCAAAAAATAAGGATACATTTTTTTTTATTAAAACAATTAGAATCTACGATTTTTTCTACATACAAACCCAAAATTTCAAATTTTTTTATAAAATTTTTCCAAAAATATTTTTGAACTTTTTCAACCTGAACTATCATAGTTTGGATGTGGAGGCCTGGCATTTAAAAATAGTTACAGATGAGATAAAAATATAATTTTGGATACATTTACAATAGACCTGATTTGCAACGTTTTTGTATAAAAATCTTATCACTACCAGATGGGGATTGGGGGAGTGGCATCCCTAAAAATTAAGTTAAAACATTTTAAATAAATCAGTTGAAATCTATGATTTTTTCTACATACATATCCTAAATTTAAATTTTTTTATCTTTAGATGTGAGGCTGCCATTTAAAAATAGTTAGAGATGATGGTGGGTGAGGTTTTCCGGGTTTTTCTTAAATGGCGCCATCAATCATCTCTAAGTCGCCCTGGAGCGCCACAGCAAATAATAATAGCCGTTCCTTCCCCACACAAGCTCAGTAGGTGTTGCAATTCACTCGTAAGGAGGAATTAGGGAGAGTATTATTATGAAATAATTTACAATAGACCTAATTTTCAATGTTTGAAATTTTGGGTATGTATGTAGAAAAAATTGTGGATTTAAACTGATTCATTTAAAAAGTTCAAACTTAATTTTTTGGGGATGTTACCCCCTCTATATCCCTCTAGGGGATGGTGGTGGTAAAATTTTTATACAAAAATATTGCAAATCAGGTCTTTTGCAAATCAGATTTTTGTCTCATCTGTAACTATTTTTAAATGCCAGCCCTCACATCCGAACTATGACGGTCCAAAGATTGGAAAAAATGGACAAAAAAATTTTAAATTTTGGGTTTGTATGTAGAAAAATTGGTAGATTTGAACTATTTTATTGAAAAAATTGTAACTTTATTTTTTGAGGGCTACGCCCTCACCATATCAGCTAGGGGATGGGACAGGTGATTTTTTTTATGCGATTTTCATATTTTTGGGATATTAACTATATACCAAGTTTGGTCTCAATATCTTAACCGAAATGTCCTAGCCCCAAGGGTCGAACTCCAACCCTTATATTGTGATAAAAATAATTGCTTCTGAAAGAAATTGACTGATAACATTAAGTATATTTATTGTTTTGTGATTATAATAAAGCAGAATAATAATAATACCTACTTAGATTCATTCACCCATTGTATCAACAGAGATTATAATATTTACATACTTATTTCTGTAAAGTGATTATCCTATTTATAAAATTAATGAAACAATTTGTTGCAATTGGTAAAAAAACTCACCCAAAATATCCAAAGAGCTCTGATGGTTGGCAATGACTATGCATGCTTGTTCTTTTTCCAAGTTTTCTTTTCCTCTTAAAGTCCATCTTAATCCCAGAATATTGGTGATACCCCGGCAAAAATCACTAGCGATTCTAAAAGACCACTTATCGTGAATGAAACAAATTTAAACTACAAATAAGTCATTAAGTAAAATATACATACAGTAGGTTTTTTACATCTCCTGGTTTGAAAAAGTAAACGGGGATGAGTATGATTGAATTTATCATTACAATGGCATAGTAGAGGAAAAACTTTAGGTGATACCGGAATGCATGGCTAGATTCGTATAAAAAAGGTAGTATTAATATACAACTAGCCAAAAATATTTCAGTGTATGTTGCAGTCATGCTGAACACTTCTTAGTAAGTCACAACATACTAAATAAATCAATTTTTAAACTAGGTGCTAAACTAATAAAAAGATAAACAATTTACTCGCCGCAGCGTTGCCACTGTTATTTTTATTTTAATAGTTGTCTATTTTTATATTTTTAATAAATGTATTTTCCCCACAGAGCAATGATATGAGAAGTATGTGTAAGTAGAGGAAATGAGAACTATCTCTCTCTCTGTTTACAACATAGATCTCAAAAATCCAAATTACTGCATCGAAAACCCCCTACATGATGGGCGCCATGATAACTGACTTTTAAGATGGCACTACTGCAAAACAGGATCGGCGCATAGATATGGGATATCTATGGATCGGCGCAAGGTTACTGTAGAAAAAACGAGGAAGTTTTCAATTCGTCGAAATTTATGTATGTTTAGCCATAATTATTTACAACGTTGTCCGATTTCTTTGATTCCTCAGGGTGCCTATTCTTGAAATTGGGGAACGATAAATATTGAGAGAAAATGCTCCCTTGTAAAAATTCGTATGGAGAAATAACTTGTTTAATTATAGAGGGTAGTAGTGTAAAACTATCCCCTAACTTAGGGGTATATTCTGTAACAATTCCTTTGGGGTCTATTCTGTAACAATTCCTTTATATTTAACGGCCTTTAAAAATATTTTCTTCTTTACTTCTGTTATTATTTAAACGGATCTTTAAAATACATTAGAGGACTATCTTAAAGAAATCTTTTTAAATAATGACAGAAGTAAATTAACGAATACGAAAATATTTTAAAGACCGCCAATATTTTTAAAGGCCGTTAAATATAAAGGAATTGTTACAGAATATTATGTTAAAAATAATTTATGAATTATATAGTTTAAAATTTGAATGTTATTTATATTGAATTGTTGGTTTATTTTGAATTATTGTATATTATCTTTGATAAATAAAGTTACTTTATTATTATATTATTACTATACTATATAATACACCACTTTTCCAATAGTAATAACTGCTTGACATATTTTAAATTTGTTTGGACTTTGACTCGGGTTTTTAAAATGATTAATTATTTAGAAAAGTAATAACTTCTTCAATCATGAGTTTTAAACACATTTAAAGGGATATTCATACTTGGAATTATTGACAAGAGATTTGAATTTCTAGTTTGACAATTATTTAAAACAACAGTTTACCATGTGCATTAATATTATTTTTAATGAACAATAGATATGCACTCAGTTCATTTAGGGTCTATTTATACTCCCTTATTATTAGTATTTGCATTAGTATTATGATTAAGCATTAAGTTGAACCTTCACAATGTAATGGGGACATTTATACTCGATTTATGATTAGTATTAGCATTAATATTTATGCTTAATAATTGACAGGTTCAACTTTTAAATTAAATATTAAATTTCTTCTTTTCTATAAAATGAATCAATAACGTATTTGGCCTTTGTTTTTAATAGACAAAGGATAGGGATAATTGACAATACACATATGATTATGTTGTTTATATGTTTGTTCCAACAAGCTCGAAAACGATAATACTTTGGTACAAATCATGCGCTGTATACAATTTTTGTGTTTACCGATTATAAAGTTGACAAATGACATGTCACCACGAGGAAGCAATGGCCTCTTTTCTGTCTGATTTGTATCAAATTTCTGCTTCTTTTTATCTGTTATAAATTTGAGACTTAAATCCGTTAAAATATTCTTAATTAAACCTATTTTTGAATAATAATATTTTTAAATAAAATTAACTAGTAAAAATATTAATAAGAACACATTTAAAACTCAAATATCTTAAAAGAACGCAACTCTGGCCTCTTACATATTTCTTCAGTAACCATATATTTTGTTGACTGCAGAATTATATCTTATTAGGTATTAGGTTTAAAAAAGAATTACTAATACTAATTATAAAACGAGTATAAATACCTTTTTTGAATGATTTAACAAATTTAATGCTTAATCATAATACTAATACAAATACTAATACTAAGGGAGTATAAATAGACCCTTAAGGAAACGCGACTGTTTTTTGTCGTCTTATATATAGGTGAACAATCTATGTACATATATCATTGATCATGGCTGTCAAATTAAACGTCAAATCTATTGTCATAATTGTCAAAAGGTGTAGTTCCGTGTCAAACATTACTTTGACAAAAATGTTTACATTTCACAAGGTATTTCAAATAGCAATTTATTGAATGAATATGATTAAATCATATAACATCACAATGTTTATTCAATTAATGAATGACCAACAATTTACCTAGTCTAGTAATCTAGCGAAACATTCATATTATATATTCAATATCATTTCTAGATTCTCGCCTAAACATGTCTCATACTGAGACTACTTTGAGGCCTCAGCCCCGTCTTGATATAAAATGGCTTAAAACAAATCTCGAAAACCTATTTACTTCTCAGGATAATTTGATAAATTGCTGGAATGGATTGATTACCGATGGGGAACTTACAGGAGCCTTCTCTGTTGGCAGGCTTAACAGTGCTGGTGTTACTGCCAAACAGGGTGAATATGGAAAATATTATTGTGGACAAAGGGTAAGGAAGTAATTATATATTTTAAGTAAAGGTGTATTTCAAATAATTATAATAAACCTTTGATTTGTGTCCTAGTTAGATAGAAAGTACCTACATACTTATTCAGTTTAAACATAAATAAGGTACCAAAAAAGTACCATTCTTCAGATTATATAAACTATTTTTTTAGGTATTAACATGTACATGCTGTGATGGAATATGTGGCCCCCATAGTGGCTGTAACTGTCAGCCATGTCAAAAACTTGATGCCGAAGAATCCATTCAAAAGTTTTCTAATAAAGAAAAGTTACCATCTATTGAATCTCTCCTGTATAGATGGGCTTGGGGTCCTCAACCCAGTAAGTCCTGAAATTACACTGAAAAATAAGTATATACTGATTTATTTTTTGTAGGTAGGGAACAGCTCTCTGAAAGTCTCTACAGCTTGAACCAACAACAAGAATCATTATGTGCAGAAGCAGCAAACTCTGCACTTTCATCCATAAGATTACATCACCGCCTACTAATTTTTAAACGTTATTTCATTGCTTTAAATAGAGCTCCGCACCCTATAGAAGTAGGATCTGGAATATATACAAAGAAAACAAGTTTAGAAATCAATGAGGTCAAATCTTTAATAAAAACAAAGAACAAAATTTCCAATTTAGATCCTGCCAGTAGTCTAGCAAGGGTAACATTTTAATTTATATTTTGTTCAAATTATTATTATTATTTTTTTAGGTGGGGTCTAGGGCTGCATTAAATTTTTCATTTGCCTTTTTGAGAAGAGCTTGGAGATTAGGAGAAGATATTGATCTATGTAGCGAGCTCTTAAATGAATCCCTGGATGCTCTAAGGCTATTGCCTATAGCTACTCTTTTTGAACAAACAAATGTCTCTCCTGTTTGGTTAGAGGTTGTTGAGAGATCCATTAAATTTTTGAAACAAGTTGTTACGGGGTAAGCATTTTTATAATGTAAACATTTCATTTTCCATTTTATAAAATTTACCTATTTTTTTTTAGCGATTTGTCTAGCGACAGGCAATATTGCACTGTTCCTATTGAAGATCAGAATATATCCTTGAATTTATTACTAGAATTTGCTTTACAAAAAGCAACACTTAGCAGTATTCTTGATGTAGTTTTATTACTTTTAACTTTATGGAATAAAAAAACTCAAATGACTGATAACAGGTAAATAATTTGTACAAATAAAAAGTAATAGGTCAAATATTATGGAAAAATAAAGTAATTTAAATTCTGCAATAGTCAAATTAAAATAAATTCTTAATGATCTAATTATTATATTATGTTAATATAAAGGGAGTAATACAACAGTTAGGGTTGCCACTTGTCCTTTTTTGAAGCAAAATGTTTTTGTGACTTTTTAAAGCTAAAATTGTCCTTTTTCTTGGCAAATATCTTTAATAGCATATATCTTTGGAAGGAAGGGACATGGTTTGTACAAAAATATATAAGCTCAGTAGAATGATTAGAAGGAGGATTTTTTTGTTACAAGCTCGGCGACCTTTTTTTGTTTTTGAAAATTCAATAGAAGGATGAGAACTTTTTATATACAGAAGCCCCCCCACTTTTCAAAATGGTGGCAACCCTAACAACAATGGTCATTTCAATGGAATTGTACTGTATATTTTGACCCACTAAAGAAAATTTACAAAATTTTATAAATAATTTAAAATGGTATAAGATAAAATAACTAATTATTTTAAAAATTATTAACATAAAGATTTGAATATATTACTTTTACTAATTTTTAATAATAAAATGGTTTTAAACCTTTAACATAGGGAACTCATCACTCATTTACTTTGTAAATGTAAACTAATAAGGTTCCAAAGAATTGCAGTTATTAATTATTGAAGTTTTTTTTTTTTTGAAAACAAATTTTTATTGAATTCAGAATTCTAATATTTATATTTCAGTTTAATAACTAAAAAATATACCTAAAATTGTTTGACAGAATTGACAGTCATTAAAAAAAATGATTGATTTCATATAATCTCTAGAATGGATTTGTAGGCTGATGTGGCCTACATATTTATTCAGTATAGTGTGCAGAAAATAAATAATGTACACGTGGCTATAGAAAAATATTTTCAAGGACAGAAATATTAACGAGGCATTACTCGCTATCAAATTTCTCGTGATCCATGCATGAAATTTTTTTCACACATTTTGGGAACACCGATAATTCTAGTGCAAATTAGTACAAATGAAATAGAAACTGTATATAAAAATTCTAACATATATCAAACATGTTCAACAAAAAATAACTTATATGACTTGTTTTTTTGTAATATAACTTTGAATTTTTTTTAATAATATAAATTAAACCAAATAAATGAAAACAACATTAAACTAGCAGTGGAAGAGTGAATATGTATTTTGCTTCTAGTTTAACAAGTATTAGAAATTAAAAATTAAAATTAAACTGACCTTAAAAACGTTCTCATGCCATCACAACATCTTAACCAAATTTATAAGGAACCACCCTTGAGGTACCCCCTTACTAACAAATAAAGAATTATATAAATCAGACAAGGTGGTAAAGCATTATCGCTAAACATACATAAAAAATGAAGACTTTGAGGATTTTCTCATGGACCCAATTATTAGATTTTGACCAAATTTATATGGGACCACCCCTGAAGTACCCCCTTTCTAACAAAAAAAGAATCATTGAAATCAGACACCGTGTTAAAGAATTATGGCTGAACGTACATAAAAAAAATATTGCGAAGAATTGAGAACCTCTGCCTTTTTTGAAGTCTGTTAAAAATTAGTAATTTTTTAATGTGAGCTCTGAAAGCGAGGAAAGTTACAGTGAAATGGAAACTAAAGATAATGGTGTATGGAAAAAGTCAGACATAAACGAAAATCAAAAAGAAATCTGAAAAGAATCCACAAAAAAGTACAACACACCGCAACAACAAGAATAAATTTAATTGTAGGAATAATAATAAGATTAATTTAAATGCTTTTTTATGTGCACTACAAAAAAAACTGATTATACTAATGTATTCAACAAAAATCTGCCACAAACAAACCAATCATCAATTCCACCGAAAGAAAATGTCAACAAAAATTCTCCCAAAAAATATTCTTTAAAAATTCAAATTAAAAAAATAGTTAACCAACACTATAAAATACATCTTTTATATAACAACAGTAGTTCAAATTTTAAATATAAGCTTACCAGTCCTTAAAAGAACTCTCAAATTTGGCTGCGAGTGACTTTATGCAAGAAATGAATTGTTTTTATAAAGTACTTTTTGTTTGTTTTTTTATTAAATTCTTTTTTCTTTAATTTAGTGTCATTGTATCAACTACTTAGATTATTAGTCTCGTGTTTTGTGCGGGCTTTGTTACTGTTTTCCAGCGCCACTTTTAATTAGAACTCAATAGTGAATGGTCGAGAGGGTAACCATACCAATGAATTAGAATTAATATTTAAATTATTAAATTAAATTAAAATCTCTGCTACAGGTGGAATTCGAACCTGCGACCCTTCGATCTCAAAGTCATGACTAACCACTGAGTCAACCCACCCCCTCCCTAATTTTACTTTAGCTTTGTACATAGGTAATATTTTTTGTAGAACTTGTAAATGTAAAAAATGAGCAAAATCGACAAAATCGGCAAAATAGGCGAATGAACTGAATGCTCATAGTCAAAAAAAACATTACTTCTTGTAATGTATGTTCTAAATAAATAATAAAATAATCGGACCAACATCTCCAAAGGAAATTGCAAAAGATAAAAACAAATATTAATTCAAAGAAAGCTTTGATTAAATTACAGGAGAAGTTCCGAAGAAAGCCATATTTAAACTTACACACCTGTTTAAGGCTTCATTCAAACTAAGGTATGTCCTTAGGTTGTGGAACGTAGCTGGAGTCATTATGATCCCCAAACTAGGAAAACCTCCAAACCTTTCGTCATATAGACCAATATCTCTATTGCCTATATTATCGAAACTATTTTAAAAATACTAATAACAAGACTGAAACTCATTATTGATGAAAGGAAACTAATTCCAGATTATCATTTCAGCTTTAGAGAAAACCTTCAACTATAGATCAGGTTCATAGAATCTCAAATGCGATTGAAAAAGCATTAGAAAACAAAGAAGTCGGTACAGCCATCTTTCTCAATGTTACGCAGGCTTTTGATAAAGTATGGTATGATGGCTTAAGACACAAACTAAATGTGCTACTTCCACAGCCATACTCAGAGCTACTGGATTCATAAATGTCAAATTCTTTAGAGTAAAACAAGATGAAACATACTCTGAATTGAAATAAATTAAAGATGGAGTGCCACAGGGAAGCGTCCTGGAACCCATCTTGTATCTGTTATACACTTGTGAAGAGACTGTAAATAAACTACAAACATTAGTTAATGAAATAAATAACTGGGCCAAAATATGGCGTATTAAACTAAACGAAACCAAATATGTTATTATTAATTTTACCAAAAATGGTCACCGAATACCAATTAATATAAATAATGCCCAGATCCCTTATGCTAAGTCAGCAAAATGTCTAAGTATTACATTAGATGCAAGACTTCGCTGGAAGGTCCATATTAAAAAGACAAGAGTTAGATATAAAATTCAAGAAAATGTACTGGTTACTTGGTAGGAATTCCAGAATATATATACGTACAACAAAATTCTTTTATATAAACAAGTTCTCAAAAACCAATTTGGAACTATGGCATTCAGCTATGAGGTAGGTGACAGCAAGTGTAATATTTTAATAATCTAGAGAATCCAGATCAAAGTGTCAATACACCTTGGTACATTTAAAACAGCGACCTTAATCTAGACCTTCTGAACGGAACTGATGACCAGACAATCAACAGATTCGCTATGAGTCACAAACAATGGCTCCACCAACTTGTGAATGTTAAGGCCATCCACCTTTTTGACAACACGAACCTGACAAGAAGACTCAATAGAGTGAAACTTTTTGAGTTAGCCAAGTGATTGTGTTAATAACGAAGCATTGTGCGGTTTAGTGTTACACGTTAGTTTAGTGAAATTAAGTTATCAGACCCTAAGATATACTAGCGAGTAGAACTTTAGTTTTTAAGATTGCAACCTTAGTTAAAGTTAAGTTAGGTTAGAAAAAAAGAGCGTTTTTTCAAAAAAGTATATCTCCTTTTTTTCATGCTTCAACAAGAAAAAAAGCCACAAGATCATATTATTTCCCTTGCACTTCTAGGAACAGCTTGATTTTACCAGAGGCTACTTTTGAAAGTACTAAATACAAATATATATTTCTACTAGCTGACCCGATCCCGCTTTGCTGGAATTTTTCAAACCTCAATTATTAAAAGTGAATAAGTTTTTGTTACGCGTGAGAAATTTTTTCATGCCATACTTGAAATTTTTTTTATTAATTTAATTTTTATTAGTTTTTATTAATTTTATCAATTTTTATTAGTTTTTATTAATTTTTATTATTTTCATTCACTTTTATTAATTTAGGCTTGGTTTTTTTAACAACACATGATAAGAGATTTCATCAATGTGGGCCACCAAGCTCCCAGCATATAAATATAATACATTGTTTGTAATGTTTAAATTGGATCTTGTGTTCAAGACATTGACTGAGGGTGTGATAAAAATTATGTTATCAGTAGGAGAAACGGTTAAAATCATTTAAATCTGTCAATTCTATAGTGCAAGAGTTACTAGACGTGTTACAGTTTGCATTTTTGGATTTCAAAGTGTTAATAAATTTAACATTTTTACAGACATATTTGCTAGTACTTATTACTACACTAATTTTTCTTACGATATCAGACAGTTATATTTTGAAACCTTGTTTAGAATTGATATTTACATATAACATTCTATGTTCCATGTTATTGTCTTAACTTATTGGTCTAGTTTCTTGATTAAGTTTGTGGCAGTGTGTCTTTCTAAAATTGGAACATACATTATAAAGTTAGTCTAAGCACATAGTTTCAGTTTCGAACCAATATTTGTGAATTTAGGGATCTGGACATGTCAAAATCATTAGCACCTGCTACCACAATCACAAAATCAGATAACGAATATGTTTTTACAAAATCTGCAACATTCTTCAGTACATTGTCAAAGTTCCTTCCTGGTTTAATAATAGATTGAATGTTGAAATTTTTAAATCCAGGAGAGTGTCTCATATATTTATTCAAATTAATAGCAGTTTCATCACCTAATATTATTTTTTTTTCGAAGAAGCAGTACTTTGCGTTTCCCATGCATGTAATAAACTTTTTGGATTGTTCTTCCCTGGCTCTAAGTCAGATGTAGTTGCGGTCATTTGGTTTTTTGTATGACAAAATGTCGATTTCAGATCTATCGACTCGTTTTCACAGGTTTCTTTATCCTTTCAAGCAATTAAAATTAACATTATTTTTTGGATGTCAGTCAGTTCCTCTTTAGCTTTTACATTATAAGCAAATTATACATAAAAAACATGTCAACCCTTCGTTAAATAAACTAACTCACACACGACTACCGCAAGATTGAAAAAGTTCTCGTTCGCAAGGTGCAAATCGCCAAGTTTTTATTTTTTTTATGTAGTAAAAAGCATAGAATCAATTCTTTGTATACAATTATTTATAAAACATTTGTTTTATCTTAATGACCTCTAAATTAATTTTTAAAACTTTAGATTTTTTTAGTGAGTTGTAATAAAATATATAGTACAACTCGAGTAGTTTATCCATATCTCACTCGTTTGACGATTGACCTCCACCTACGTCGTCTTACTGAACCTCGTCTTCATATTATGATATGGCCATTATATCCACTCATGTTGCACAACCTTCTATTTCTTTACAAAGTACTGATCATATCTTTGTTCAATCGTATGTAATTTGAATTCTATTTGATTTTGTTTATATGAAATTTTATTTTTTATACAATACTTCCTTACCTCGGATAATAATTGGAATGTATGGTCGTCTTGATTAATCCGGACCTCGGTTAACCACGACTCGGATTATCGGGGTTTTATTTTATTTAGTTTGTAAACGCAGATTAACTTTTAGTTATGGATCAATAAATTAGATTTCCTCATAATATAATTAGTTCAAACTAGGATGAGACTTGAACGAGTTTGTTCAGAGTTGTACATTTGTCGCTATTATAAAGTACCTATTTTGATTAACAAAAGAAGTTATTTATCCCAAATTTGTTTTTAAAGTTAATAAAAATGTGGATAAAACTAAATTGTTCTTAGATTTTTAATTTTAAAGTGATTTTAGGTCTACTGAAGATGGAGCTAGTGCTCCACTTTTGCCATTCATTCAGAGACTCTCTGAAATCAAGCCATGCCAAACAATTTTTACTAACAAAGATGAAAATGAGCAGATAGATAGTACTCCAAAAGTTTATCTTGATTTATTTGAATTGCCTGAGGATGAAGACTGTGAAATAGACTTAAAACAAGCTGCCGTTTGTATAATGGCACATTTAGATAGGTTAGCAAGTTCGCACATTCCTCCTCTTTCTTTTAATAAGGTAAGAATAACAAATTATAGTAAATTCATATCTAAGTAAGAAAAAACAAATAGGAATTATAAATTCAATTGAACTGGGCACAATAAGAACTTTACAGGGCTGTTTCTTATATAATGTGCCAACATTGCTATATTCTAAACCTTATCGAAATTTAATGGTAAGATGTAGTAATTTTCGTAAATAAACTTTTCGTTTTCAATTTTTTAAATATTTTTTCAAATAATAATTATTTGCCCAAAAAACAAGTGACATTTTTAGTTCTCGTGGTGCAATTCGAGAATGACAAAATATCTTGTTATAGCTTTTGTTTTGACCACTGTAATCTTTCGGATTAGGGCCCTCTTATCTTCGTTGAGATTGATATATTTGAATGAATTTTTTTTTAAGTTTGGAGTAAGAATTTTATTACAAATAATTCAATAAATTATTCTGTGACTTCACGGTGTAATTCCGGTTTTTCCGGAAATAACAGTAAACCGCAATTTATTTCTTATTTTTAAAAGAAAACCCCAATTTTTTATTAAAAATTCTAATTTATTGAATATTTTTGGTTAAGAATCTTTTATTGAAAATGTTCTGTCAGCTGTCAAAATGTTATATCAGATATTTTGAATCTAAAATTTTATTGAAGGAACAGGACAGGGATTCTTATGTGCGAATCGAATAGAGAGAGACATTACATAAGAATCGCATTTTGTGGAACGAAGATAGGCATCTCAACACGTGCCGTATTAAAAGCTGAAAATCACAATGCTAGACTAATGAACATTGTAGGTTTTATTAATTTTATTTTTAAATGTATTCTGTTAACTATTCAAACTAATAAAAATTAAAAATGTATTAATCCAATCCTTTCAATATAATTTTAGATTCGAAATTTCTGAAATAACATTTGTCACTAATTCACAAACCAATGACTTTGGACTATAAGTATTATATACATTTTTGTAATTGTCTATTATTGGGAATTCAAAAATTAAGAGAAAAATATAGTTACATTAAAAAAAAATCTATGACATTATGTACACAAAAGTGGTAACGTCATTAGTACATCCAATTAAAGCATAAGATGCGCAGTTGAAAATAAAAATTCTCCTATGAAAGCATTTTGTTAAAATACTGTTGGAAATATATCGAATTTATTCCAACCTATTCATCCTCACTGTATAAGAAGTAGTCATCTTGTATGCGCTTTTTTTCTACTAACACTTCAATTTATTTTAGTCATCTTATTACTTTAACGGCCAAAAAGTATGGGGTTGGGGCTGGCTGTCATGGGCCATTGGTTCTGGGCCCCAAAGTTGCGAAGCAATTGCAGATTTGACTATCAAACAGATATGTTGTTCGGATAGAGGAATTTTGATTTTATCTTGTTCTGGAAAGGTTTATTTTATGTACTATTCATCTGAAACTCAGTGCCCGCAAGTAATCGAAGGTAAAATGGATTTTTTATAAATTTGTACATAAAATAAGTGAAAATTAAAAGAAAATTGTGTATGATTTAGGATATTTAATCTACTTTCGATCTAAAAAACTATTGTAAATATGTTTTTTTTTAGGGTTAAAAGAAGTAAATGTGATTAAAATAGCTAGTCATACAGAGGGTAAGCATTTTATGGCTCTAACAAAAAATTCTGAAGTATATTCATGGGGTAATGGAGATGGAGGTAGATTAGGTAAGTATTAAACCATTCCAATATGCGTTTTAATCATACTCGTAAATCAATGTGTATATAATAGTACCCTAGAAGTACATAAAGTTCATAACACGTGTACCAGAGGTCCAAATAAGAATGGATGCCAGTTATATCTAGGGAACCGTTTATCGTACATATCTGAGAATTTTTTAATAAAACTGCTTCCAAGATATCGTTGGTAATTATTTTCAATTTTATAATTTAACCTCTAAGGGGATTATGGCTCATAGACAAATATCAAAATGTTTTTTAATATAAAATTAAATTACCTATGGATTCTCGTTCTTGCGGCAGTTAAGCAGTGATGATGTCTCCGGTTACATCTTGGATGGGTTACCGCTCGACCGACTAGAGGTTAACCATCGATGACGTGGAATTAATGATGATAAATGAGAAGGAGTAAGGCATCCACATGGTGGAACAATAGGCCATCTGGGCTTCAGTGCCGCCATGCGAACCCCAAGAGGAGGGAAAGCAGGCTGGACCCCAAGGGGAGTCAGTGGCTGGACCCAAGCCTGATTGTGGGAGTATGTCGGAATCCCCCGGGATGCCTGAAAGGGTGAAAAAAAGTAGCCTATGTCAAAAATATGCAAATTGTAATATGTGTGAAATTTTATTCAATTTTGACTAAAACTCGTTCATCTGTTGTTCATTGGTGTTACTAAGCATTACTCCATTTAGTGGCAAAGTTAGAAATTTAAAAACCATTTCCAGCGATTGCTCTTGACCACTTCTACATTTAATTTTTTTCCCAAAATTCTTCGGCGTCCTTTCTTATCAAAACATTAACTGCTGCTCAAATTATCTTTCTCTCTTTTTCTTTCTTTCTCTTTCTCTCTTTCTATCTCTTTCTCTGTGTTTCTATCTTTCTTTTTCTCTTTCTATCTTTCTCTTCCTACTCTTCCTCTCTTCTTTCTCTTTCTATTGATAAAATACATCGTAACAAATTTAACAATTTGTATATCCAATATGGTTATACATTTGAAAATTGTAATTTTTTATTAAACATCTGATGTGTCCAACACATGACTTTCCTATCTAGTTATTACAGGCTTTTTTCGGTTATTTTGTACGACCTATTGCAGCACCTATATAAATGTTTAGAGGATAAACTAAATATATACATTTTCCACATACATCTACCTTGAAACATTTTTCTATAGATATTCATTGAAAACGAAAATATTGAAAAATTTAAATTTAGCACTTTTCCTACAATTTTTCCATTACGGTCCATTTTAGAAAAATCATGTATAAACAAAAATTATAGATAATAATATTAGAAGTAACTTTTATTTGAACAATTTTTTTCTCCAAACCTAAATAACATATATATTCCATAAAATATAAAAACGACCTCCCATAAAGTACCCCCCCAGATGTTCCGACTTTGTCCAAAATCTAATCATTTCACGTCAGGCCGAAATAGAACTTAAGTTTAAAATTTAATGTTTTTTTCTTTATCCATTTTTGAGTTTTCTTCAAATTTCGAAATTTACACATTTTCTCAAATATCTCGAATACGGTCCATTTTAGAGAAATTATGTATAGGATAAAAATTATAGAGAATTATATTACAAACAACTTTTGTTTGAACAATTTTTATAAAAAATTTTTTTTACATTTTGTCAAATTTCTCGAATACGGACCATTTTAGGAAAATTTTGTATAGAACAAAAATTATAAATAATAATATAAGAAGTAACTTTTATTTGAACAATTTTCTTCCCCAAAAGTAAATAACAGATATATTCCATAAAATATAAAAATGACAACCTATAAAGTACCCCCCAGATGTTCCGACTCTGCCCAAAATCTAATCACTTCATTAGACGCTGGAACAAAGCTTAAGTTTAAAATTTGGTGTTTTTATGTGTATCGGTTCATGAGTTATGCGACACACAGACATCATCGCGAAAATAGTCAAAACGGATTCAGGGGACCTCAAAACGTAAAAATCCATCAAAAACTCGAGGTCGAAAAAAATCATGATTCCTATACTTTCCTTATATCTGTATACAGATAGGAAAGTAAAGACGATAAGTTTCATTAAGTAACATCAACACTGACGAAAAAAAATGTTTCTTAGGAGATAATGATCTTAATAGTGGAAAAAGAGCTAGTGCTACATATTAATGATTAAAACAATTTTCTAATATTTGTATATTTACACATAGTATTTTCAGGCCATGGCGACACTACCTATAAAGAAGAACCAACTCTGATACAAGCCTTGTTGGAAAAAGATATACTAGACATTGAATGTGGAGCCACTTACAGGTACTTTAAAAGTCTATATAATTTTCAATAATATTCATTACCTCAAAACTATTATAAAAATTATTGAATTAAGTTTTAATTTTTCATAAATTCTTTTTAGTGCTGCTATCTCTGCCAATGGTTCTCTCTATACTTGGGGTAAAGGTTACTATGGAAGACTGGGCCATGGAACTTGCGAAGATTGTCTGGTCCCAACTTTGGTAGCTGGGTTATCTGGTCAACACGTTACTAAGGTTTCATGCGGATCGGGAGATGCCCATACTCTTTGTGTTACAAGTCAAGGTATGAACTCTATTTCCATATATGAAAATTTAGAAATTTTAGGTTCTGGATAGTTGATAATTATTCTCTTCTAGGAAAAGTGTATAGTTGGGGAGACGGTGATTATGGAAAATTGGGAAGAGGAGGCTCAGAGGGTTCCAAAATTCCTAGGTTAATAGAAAAATTACAGGATATTATTATAACTGATGTATTTTGTGGAGCACATTTTAGTGTGGCTTTATCAGATGAAGGAAAACTATTTACTTGGGGAAAAGTAGGTTTAACCCTTAAAAGATTAATTTGTCTTATTATCAATTAAACTTTTTTATTAGGGAGAAGGTTGGAGGCTAGGCCATCCTAACGAAGATCACATACGAATACCAGAGCCAGTGGAAATCCTCCAAGATAAACGAATAATTTCCATGTCATTAGGATCTGCTCATATTTTGGCTTTGACAGATTCTGGTGAAGTTTATGGATGGGGAAAAAATGAAAACAAACAATTATTTGATACTCCAGAGGTGTATATTCAACAACCAAGGCTGGTTGAAGCTCTAAAAAAGCAAAAAGTTGTTGGGATTGCGTGCGGACCTACTCAGAGCTTCTGTTGGACTGATATTAATTCTTTTGTACCTAAAATGTCTTTACCTTTTGTGATTGATCTTTCTGAGTCTACCTTCAAGTAAGTTAATAATAATACATAATACGTAATTTAAGTGAACGAAAAATCGGTAGTGACCAGTTGCTTATTCTAGCCAAACTTTAAATAAATCGGAGATTTCTTATTCCACTATTGAGAAAGAAATGCTCGCTATCGTATGGGCAATAAAGTACTTCCGCATTTAGGAAAAATGTTTCGGATATATACTGACGCAAAAGCTGTTCACTGGTTGTTCTCTTTGAAGGAGCCCAGCTCTAAACTTGTTAGGTGGCGTCTAAAACTCGCTGAATACGATTATGAAAGAGTATATAAAAAGGGTACTCTAAATAAAAATTGCAACACCTTATCTAGAATACGATTGAATTTAGATGAAACCAAAAATCAGTCGGGTACTTCAAAGGCTCTATTTGACTACATATATGGTTTTAATAAACATCTTTAATATAACTACAATTCAGATTCATTAATAGCCGAAGTGGGAAATGTCGAAAATTTAGAAAATGATCAATTAGATGATAACGCTACCATTCATTCTAATCTAGAAAATTCTATAATAGGTAATACCAATCGTAGATTGTACATTTTGGAAAAAATCAAATTAATATTTCCGAAGTAAATTTTTCTCTAGCACAACCAACAATAATAAAACTTTTCGAAGATAAGCAAATAATATTTGTTCGATTTTCCAAAAAAGATTTTTAAAATGAAGTTATTAAATTTCTTAAAGAATTTGTTGTGCCAAAAGTAAAATATCACTTTACGAAAAATTTAATGTTCTGTCCACAATTTTGTACTTAAAATATATCTAAATACGGTCCATTTAAGGGACATCGTGTATATAACAAAAATGATAGATAATGACATATCGAAAACCTTTAATTTGAAGAATTTTCTTCTTTAATCATAAATAACAGAAATATTTCAAAAAAATAGAAAAATGTACTACTGTAAAATGTACTACTGTAAAGTATTCTCCCAATTACTACAATTTTGCCCAAAATCTAATCAGCTCTTATGTTCTAAATCACATCGATAGTTTGGGCTGCATTGTGCTAACAAAACATGTCACACATACGTACATCCGGACATTTTTAAAACATGTTTTTTTGGATGGAATATATCGGATCTATAAACTGAACGATTGTAAATTATGTCACAAAAATTTAAGTTTAGGTTTTCTTACCCCTCTATTGGTGCTCGTATTTGTAAATTGATAATTAATGGAATTTTGCATTATATATTCCAAATGATCATTATTTCTGGAACATTTGAGGTTGTCTGATGGATACAGTTGGACTGGTAACGTCAGTTATGTTATGTTGGGAATGGGGTGTTAATACACTACGACCTAAAAGATTTATTGTGTCCCCTTCTGTCGCTAATGCAGCAAGGAAATGCCTCGTTGCCTATAATGACCCTTCTAATCCTATCTTCTCAGGGAGTGTAGGATTTGGAGTGACTTCAAGTTAGGTAAATATTCCTCTTCTATTTGATATGCTCCTAGGTATTGTGCCCTTGGACTCTGGAGTGGTTCACATTCGGTCAGAATGCGAATGAAGGTTTCGTCCTCCTCCTCCTAACAGAATCTGTACTCACTATTTTTTACTACTCTCAGTTTACTAAGGTGTTCTTTGAGTCGGCAATGCCTATAAGGATCCTTGTTACAAATAGCCTGTTCCTGCCCAGATAATATAGGCTTCCGATATTTTCTGGTTATATTCACCCAAAAGTATCTTAGTCTGTCTTATGGTCGGGTGGATAAATGTAAATATAAACGAAAATAAAAGTCCGGAAAATGTATATATATTTTTATTTTTTTCTGGCCCTGTATGGTTACGATAACATATTTTTAATAAAGATCTGTTATTAATATCTGTTAATTAAAAAAAAAAATTATATATTTTTGAATTTTTTAGGCTGCTTTATCAAATATTGGAATTGGTTGTGATACATAATCCATCTTCTCAAGACAAAGAATGTTTAGCAATATCTACATTAAAACTATTGCAACTGCAAGTAAGTTATTAGTAACAAATTTTAAAACTTCCCTATGATAGTTATATTATTCTTTATTGTTTAGTTGCATAGCATAATAAATAATAACTTGGATACAAAAATGCTTGGCCTAGGTGCTGATAGTAAACTTTTGGCAAATCTTAAATCGCAAGTTGTATATTTGGCAAGTGCAGTTAAAATATTACCCACAGTTCAAGCGGCTGCCCAAGCCACTTTACAGACAGGATGGTCGGTTTTGTTACCTACTGCTAATGGTAGAGCTCGAACATTATCATCTTTACTATTACATACAGGTACAATTCTTTTTTATTTAATTTTTTTTCATGTAATAAAAAATATTGTTAAAGTAACTTATTACTTCTTTATTATTTATTAGTGAAAATTACATTAATTTTGTTTGTATAGCAGACATGGAAACAAAGATGTGCAAATCAGGCCACAGATTCATGACCGATTTATTAGTGTGGAGTCTGATGGCCGACGGAGGTTTAGAATCAGCTCTTAATGAAGCACTAGGAGCTGATGCATCAGAATTAGCTAATATAGATGAAAGTTTTGAACAATCATCATCAATCATTACAATCCCGTTGCTGTATCTTGTAAGACAATTAGTAAGGTAATGTAAAATTGTTTTTGATGTTATTATTACTTTAAGCGTGAATTAAGATATAAAAATGAAAAATATTTATCTCTTCGATCATATAAACACTAGATACGTAATGCATACCCTGTAATTCAGCAAATGTTTTGTTCCCTCATATCAAGTATATTTAGGCATTTTTTGCATTTATATATTATGTATTTATTTGAATAATTAATTATATAATCTATTACAATTATTAATAATCCACCGGAATTAGGTTTTTAATGCGAATTTTTTATTACAATATAGAGACCCAGACAACAATGAAGATTTTGACTTCTTTTCACAAAATTTCACTATGCACAGAGATGAGAATAATCTGAAGAAAGTATTATATATACGTGTTAACAGAAGGGATGTATCATCACTAATAAAAAGGTCTACTTTTTTAAATGATTTAATTCACGATCAAATATTCTCAAATACAATCTTGTTATGGTATTGCCACTGTCTATTCACCTACTGCCTACTAGTCTGGTCTTCCTTCTTCCGCTCGTCCTTCTCCCGCTCGTCCATGGTGACACGCATGTGTAATGGGTAGCAGAGGCACACCGCTAACATACGTATATACATTTTTCGGCGTTTTTTCCCAGTTTTAGAATTTTACTCAAAAACGATGAGTTTTACATAATAATAATCATTTATTCTCAACGGATTCACACCCAATTACAGATAATATACTTACAATTCTACAATGTATAAATAAATATAAGAAAAAAAAATTAAACAATAAACTAAAGCTAATGAAAAGACAAGAAAAAAAACTATAAATGGAACAGATATAAACAGGTGCCCAAGAAAAGTAAATAAAAAAAAAATGTCAATTAAATAAATCAAAGACTAATAGGTACCTCAAACAAAAGCAACGATTCCTTATAACAATTAATTATTGATTTTATATCGTCGAAATATATATCACATACGTGCCCAATACCATTAAATAATTGGCTCATATTGTAAATTGGTGATTTAATTAGCACATTGGTTCTTGGTATAGCGCAATGAAATATGCGAGAGTGTCTTGCGTGAGTTCGAGGTACCAAGAGCCTTAGTTGGTTTAACAAACAGCTACAATCTATTTTGTTGTTTAATAACATGTATAAAAACGTTAATGCCGTGCAGTTTCTTCTCTCCGCTAGGGGTTCCAAATTGAATGTTTGTAATATAGCTGTATGATCAAAACCCCTAGGAGGATAGAAGCCACTGCACTTAAAATACATGTACTTTAGGCATTTACGTTGTACAGATTCTACATAGCTAATTGCATTCTGATATATCGGATACCATATCAATGACGCATATTCGATCTTAGTTCTAATAAATGTGATACATAAAAGTCGCAGTGTATTTACATCTGAAAAGCTACCCCAGTTTCTTATAAAATATCCCAGAAGCCTGTATGCAGAAGAAACAATTTCTGCAATATGATTATTAAATTTAAGTTCGCTATCAAAGACTATTCCTAAATCATTGAATGTTACACATCTATCCAAAGTGGTATTGTTAAGAGAGTAATTGAAAATTATGGTATTTTGTTTTATATGAAATGAGATTACTTTGCATTTAGTTAAGTTCAGCTGTAGATAATTATCAAGGCACCAGTTATAAATTGTATTCAATGCATTTTGCAGTAAGAAACAGTCTTCATCGGATTTGTTTTCAATATAAATTTTTAAATCGTCGGCAAAAAGTAAGTGTGGTATCAACAGTTGACTTGATATATCGTTTATAAAAACAAGGAATAGTAAGGGTCCCAGATTGGACCCTTGAGGAACACCTGATAATGAAATATATTTATTAGACCTCAAACCACCATACTCTACAAACTGGTATCGATTAAGCAGATATGACTCCATTAATTTCAAAAGAGAATTCGAAAAACCAACAGATTTGAGCTTTGATAATAAATGATAGTGATCGATTCGGTCAAAAGCTTTCTTTATATCAGTATAAATAACATCTACTTGACCGACAAAGTCAAGTGTGTTTGATATATACTGTGTTATACAGGCCAAATTAGATACAGTCGATCTTTTTGACATAAAACCGTGCTGAAGGTTAGAAATTAATGGTTTCACTTTATTATAGACGTTTTCGTAAATTATCATCTCAAACAGTTTTCCAAAGTTACAGAGTATGGCTATGGGTCTGTAATTATCTATAGCAGAGCGATCACCGGATTTATGAATTGGACAAATTTTTGCAGTTTTCCATACGTCAGGATAAGTTTCCGTTTTAAAGATTAGGTTAAACAAGAAGCAAAGAGGTTTCGCAAATGGATAGGAACAGTCCTTGACAACAAAACTTGGTACATTATCTACTCCCGCCGTAAATTTTTTTTTAAGTTTTTTTGAAGCTAAAACTATATCGGTTTTACATACTGAGTCAATACAAATATGCAAATTAGACATAGAGACTGATTCGAAATTGGGTAAATGATTAGGAGGTAAATAAACACTAGAAAAGAATTCAGAAAAGCCATTTACAATAGACTGAGACGTTTCATAGATATAAATGCCCAGAATTTATTTGGTTCTAATGATACGTCTCTTTCTATTTCTTGAACATAGGCTGCATAAAACGTTTTGATTTGTAACTTAATTAAGGATCTTAAGTTTCTAAATGTTTGTAAATAATTATCAGTTTTAAACTTTTTAAAGTTTCTGCGAGCTGAATCTTTTAAACGGATATTACATGAACACCATTGAAGATAACACTATTAGTAGTGTTGTAATATATTGTCTAGATTTCTTGTTAAATAAATTCAGACACTGAGTATTTCTGACATTAGGTGGCAATAAGTTATACATTTTAGGGCCCTCATATGTTCTGAATTCTCAAATTATAATCTAGTCTAGCTCTAGTGTTATACAGGGTATTTCATAATAAAGTACCGGGGACTTGTAGATCTGAACTAATTGTTAAGAAAAGCTTAATATAATTTTCCTGTAAACATTCCAGTTTTCATTCTACACGGTTACAAAGTGACTTTCATAAATACATAATTTTCTAAATATCTTCTCTCACGGTAAAAAATTTAGCTTAAAAATATGTACATGTTAAGTAATCACCATTATTAATTAATACACTCTATTTCGATAACCCATTGGCGTAGAATCAAGGGCTAAGGAAATAATTTTAGTCCGAACTTATAAGTTTATTATTCTAATAATTATATTCAACAAGTTTTATAAAAAATACGTATGAATAAATAATTTATGAGTATATTAAAATATTTTTCTCTTTTTGTGCCAAAACTGAAAATTCAAAAAAATTACACATGTTTATTTTAACAAAATAAATAATTATACAAAATATAGTTGAAATCCTTGAACAGTTTTTTGATTTTATTGTGTTGAAGCGAGAAAGCAGTTGCTAGTTAAGTGATGGAAGATGTGTGGGTTTTGAACGCAGCTGTTTCTTAAAACCAGAGCTGTTTAAATTGAGTGATGAACATATATTATGAAATTTAAACACCGTCCTTAGGTCTTTATTTTTATATTTACCAAGTTTTCAATGACTTCTTTCACTTACCATGAATTAACACAAATTACTAAACTGACATTACTTATACACACTTAATAAGTAAATCAATTTAGTTTTTAATTTTTTTTAGTAACCCACGACTACTCACAAGATACCATAGGCGTAGAATATATAAATTATATTTATCAAAATTAGTCCTTACGAATATTGGAGTATGTTACTGTGGGCTTTGGCATTGCCATCTTGATCCAAAATAAAATTATTCACTTTTAAATTGATATGAATAGGTACATGTATCAGTGGATGTTTTAAAAATATAGCTGTTTAGGTAAACTGAAAACATTTTAATTTACCAAGGTGGATACTGCATAATTTGCCGTTAATTATAAATTATATTTTTTGTTTGGGTTTTTGTTTTACCATTCTTACAGGTCCATACTCAATCAATAAAAATATAAAAAATTCAAATCTTCCAGCTACCTATTTCTAAAAGCTACTCCAGTTTTGTTGGAGACAAAAAATAGACAACATTACTTATATAGTGCTTATATGATCGACAATTTAGCTGGATATAGTGTTTCAAATTCAGTATCACCAAGAAATATTTTTTAGGAACTTAAGTGTGGCTGCACAATCAACAATAAAAGAAGTAGCCGCTACTGGTAAACTTCCATCTCAGAAATTTCCACCTTCACCTAGTCTCAAACTTCTGCAGAGATTCCAGAGATTGTTAATCGGTAAAATGTATTCTAAACTTCCTGAGTGTCAAGATTCAGCGGAAACACTGCTTATTAAGTATTTGGATTGCTTTACTTGCTTCGTTACAATGACATTAAATATTGCTTATGAAGTCAGCTTGGTAAATTCCAAGATTTTTTTGTATATTATGCACATACTGAAAGGAGACATTATAGGTAAATATTCCCTTTAGATTATAATTTTTTTCTACATATATTTTCTTTTAGGAGTATTACTTCCGGAACTCGTTGTAAGCCTCATCCTTCTTGAACAAGAAGCCGACATGTTCTTAAGTACAATGAACTGGTTAGGGGTTTTTAATGATGTTGTAAAATCGATAGACAAACTATGCAGATTAATGCCCGAGATAGAAATTCATGACTCAGATGACATTGTTTGGCCTGGGATTACCCAAACGAAGCCAAATAATTTTAGCCACAAAATGTATGAAGATTTACCATTGATTAGGCAATCCGATTTGGAAAATCACAACTTGGACGGAGGGCGATGGGTCGTCATAAATAATAAAGTATATGATGTTCAGGATTTGAGATGTGATAATCCAACAGTAACTGAGGTAAACTAAACAATCGCTATTCCGCTTTTTGATTTTAATTTAAAAGTCCGACTCTAATTCTGTATTTGTTGACATGTAAAAAAATGTATACAGGATATTATTGAAATACATTATTAAGGGTTTTATTCGACCTAAATCTATAGAATTCTAAAATATTCCAACCTGCAATATTCACTATTCTAAACTCCTCTAAAGTATTCTAAGCTATTCTATTTACTATCTTATTCTAAATTAATCTAGCCTATTATATTCCCTGGCCTACCCTATTCTATACTATCCTACATTATTCTAATCTACTCTATGTACACTATTCTTTTTTTAACCTATTCTTTCCTGTCTTAACCTATTCTATCTTACCCTAAGTACTATTCTGTCCTATTATAATCTATTCTACTGTAACTTATTACAGTTCTATCTAGATTAAAGGGCACGTTGGGGCCAATTTGTTATGGTAGAATTGCAGCATAAAGATGAACCATCAGGCGCTCTCGATAAGAAATCCTTTGATCTTAGCAAGTGAGGTTTCGTCCGCTTCAATCACAATTCTGGGCGGCTATCCTCGACAATCGCTAAAAAAACGAACCGTTTTTGAAAACGAGTGGTTGAAAGGCGAGTAGTTTCTGAAATCTATATTCTTGACTGGCGTTCGATGAGCATTCGTTTTTTAAAACGTGTACGTTTTTAACAAGCAAATAATATGTCTGGCATCACTGTAAACTGTGCAGGCCATAAAAAATAAGGACTGTAATTTATTTGCAACAAACCAATTGTAAATTTATCGAATGATGATTTTTTTCTAATCACATAATATATAAATGTTCAGGATAAACTAAATAGTCAATTTTTGATGAAAAAATAGCTATACGGGTGCAGTCAATGCAACCTATAATTCTAGGAAAATCGTACGTCTTAAAAACCTAGTTTTTATGGTACAAAATTAATTTAAATAATAACTTTGCTTATCTCATTCAGTTCTTTAATATTTTGTGGCAATTTTACAAAATTGTTAAAAATTTTTGGACACAACGTGTGTTACAGAAGAGCGTTGAACTACCACTTGCAAGAAACCGCAAGCAAATTAATATATGTAAATAAAATATACATGAATTAATAATTAAATTCTTACAGGGTAAGATATAAAAAAATATGTCTGAATCTTTGAGTATTCTTATCTTCCAAGTTTTCTAATTGTACAATTAATAATAATTGAAAGAAATGATCAGCTATTAGACTTTTGTAGGTATTAATAAAAAGTAGTTTAACTAGAATTTGTTAAAATCAATCAATATTATAAATCATCCTAAAAGTGACATATAAGTGACATTGGCTAAATCCTTGAAAATATGAACATTTTATCAAAAACGTATTAAAAAATCCGCTAGCTGTAAAACATCCGTTTTAAAACCGTACACACTTTTAAAACGAATGTCGAGAATAGCGAATAGCTCGCTTGTTGCTAAAGCGTATACGTTTTTCAGAAAATGATAGCCGAGGATAGGGTGCATATTTACCGACTTTGCTATGTATGAAAGATGCTACACAACTGACGTTGAGCATCCGGAGAATATGGCGAATCGCTTGCTTAGGATGCTGTCGGTACACTTATATTTTTACGCGGAGAGCGCCTGTTAGTTCTTCTTTATGCTGTGGTAGAAAGTTCGATTAAAGTGTTCGCTCCTAGCAATCGTTCGCTAAAAACAACTCCAGGAAATGGGTAAGCATCTCGGTTAGTTATCTTATTCAATTTATTCTGTGAAACGGGGCTATTTTTCGAAAGCGTAATATAATTTAATAAAAAATGTTTACGATGGTATTCGCGAACACTTTCCAGGTAATATAGTAAAAGCTTGACAAGATTTAGAAATTAAAAATCATAAAGATCTTTTCTTACAAAGGCTTTTTGGTATTGAAATCACCTTTGGGCAAAGAAAGTTGTTTATTAATTACGCTTATTGACAGTGATACCAGGTCTGATGAAAATGGGCACAATGTTTTTGAATCTCAAAAGACTCCGGATTATCTCGAAGACATGGATGCAAATGTATTTAAAACGTGGTTTCAATCTTTCGCGTTTTGAACCGGGTTCAGTCATTGCATTAGATAACTCATTGATTATAAAAACTTTCCTCCACAGCGTGGAAAAAAGCTAAAATACTCAATTGGTTGAAAACGAAACATACAGGGCGAATCCTAAGTTATATCTTTTTTTAAGTGTATACAGGTCATTAATATAAACAAATTCTTAAAAAAAAAAAACTCAAAAATAAAACGATTTTTATTATAAAGACCTTATAAAAGTTCCCATATTTAAACAAAAATACCATATGTTATCAAATAACTGAGATATAGAGATTTGTCAACAACGCACCACTTTAGCTTTGCGCGATTATTTCAAAAATCAAAAACAATTGATAAAATGTAATAACAGTTCAGAAATAGTAACAGAATTCTGAGAAACATTGCCATTTAATCAATTGTGTAGCTCTTGTAATAACCGAGATAGCAATACATGCAGCGCCAATCTGGGACACAGTGGAGAGGCATATTTTTGAATGTATTTGGAAAGGTGTTATAAACTTTGACTATCTAATAACTAAACGAATTTTTAAATCTTTCTGAAGTATGCAGTGATGTATTAATAAGATTTTTGTTTCGTGTATTGTTAATTAATACATTTAGGGTTCATGTACTTTGATAAAGAGTTAATCATTTTGTAAAAATAGTAATCTTTTAAAATTAAAATAATATTTTCATAATTCACATTCAGGTTTAGTTTTTTTTTAATATAAATCAAGTAAATCATTCATTTTCACTAATGTGGCAATCTTTTAAAAGGAAAGAAAACTACCACAAAATTTTAATCCTCTGTAAGCTGCGACTAGTTTTGGCATCTATGTGCCATCATCAGGCCTAAAAATGTGGATTACAGAGTAAGGTTGTAAACAGGATGTGTAAAAACTTTTTTTTAAACTTAAGTTTGAACTTAGTTTACTGAGATGTTTTTTGAGCCGGCAATGCCCGTTAATTTCTACTGTAGAATTCTATAAACGCTTTGCCGGTACTCCGTGTGACAGTCGATTCATAGATGTCAAAACATCGGACATTCTCGGAGGTTTACTAACTGATCTAAAAATGTTTGCTTGAATTATAGAGAGATTTGTTACTTTTTGTCAAGTATGTCAATTTCTGACAGATAAGATGCCGCTTTGATTTTGAGTTTGTGTTATCTAGTTTTTGCTTTGATTTGAAATGATGGTCCCTTTGTTTGTGGCCAATATATTATCTGCTGAAAAGGAGGAACGACTATAACATCTTCGTTTGGAAAATATAGATAGACTAGTAATGAGAGAGACAAGCGATCCATTCTCTATAGAAAATGTAAGATTTGTAGAGTTATTTCGATTAAATAAAGATATGTCCCAGTATAAAATAAAATTACTTCGAGAGCCAAAGAAGAAAAACGGCCAATATAAACACCTTCTCAGGGGAATGGATTCGGTTTCCTAGAACTCTACAAGAAAAACAACAAATTTAGTTATGTTTTATAGAAGCAAGAAATTTTCCAGAGATAATTGGAGCAGTAGATTGTACCCATGTTGAAATCCTGCGACCAAATGAAGAGAAAAATAAGTGAATCGTTTTTTTGAAAGGGCACATCTACTTAAATTTAATTCATTTGTGACCTTTTCCAAACTTATTTACAATAAAAGATTAAAAATAAAAATCTGATACATTATTTATTAAACATAGTTTTACAATGACATTATTAAGTAAGTTTGGAGACCTCTGTTGGCCAGTCAAGTACCATACTGTAAAATTATTTGTTTTATTGGGGAATATCCTGGATTAAGGATTTAAAATTATCTTTTTTATACTGATGATGTGGCTGTATGTGCCTCTTCAGCAGGAAGATTCGCCTTGGACCTAGCAGATTTTGCTGTTAAAAAAATATGGCAGAATAAATCTATTATGTTTACACCACACACCACAATAAAAAATTCACTTGATTTAACCAAAGCTAATGGCTTTACCGTAATTCTTATTTTTACGTTTGTTACTTTTTTTTTCATTTTAAATTAAATCCAATGTCATATGTTTTAGAATCAAAACAAAAATGTATGACGGTTTGCCTACTTTCGTAGAAAACTATATGTCTTGACGTCTCGCTTCGTGGCGATAGTTACAGTCGACTCCTGGCGATTATTTGGAGACACGGAGTGCCAATCGATAGGATTAAAGCGACCGGTAGACTTCTTTATGACACGGAGTCCCTGTACAGGCTTCGGATCTTTTCTGATTATAGTCACTCAGAAGTATTTAACGAACGTTAGTTTTCTTCACTTATTTGAGAAACATTTTAATGCATTACAATTGCGCCCCAATGTTAAAAATTCAAGTTTTCAAACGTTTACTGTGTATGGCCCCTATCTTCATTTGTTATTAATACACGAACAATAGTTTAGATTCCCCACTTCCATTAAATAATAGAATTTGCGTATCACCGCATTAAAAACCTATAAACCGTGATGCACGGGTCGAAAATCAGTATCTTCCACACCGCTTTGTCAATTGATCGACCTCGCCGCAAATATCGTACTCCGATCCACTTTCCGTTGACCACCGACCAGGTAAAAATACTAATCAGCATTGTATATTGTTTTTGCATAAATAGTCCACAATGGGCTATATTTCACAAAGGAAAGATACCACAAAATGCTTAAAACCGTTTCTAAGATAGGAAGAAAGAACTAAAATGTCTTTTGCTTGACAATGAGCACCGAAGATGGCTTAATGTCGAAAGCGCTTTGCTATTTTAATAAAAATGTTCCACGGAATACAAGCTTTCATTGCTTATCTAAGCTACGTGCACACAGACGTTAACCTCTTTTGATTCCTTTTAATTTGGTTATTATCTGCGGAAATTTTCCATTATTTTTATAACTTTTTAAGGGCCAATAACATGATTACTTAATTATTAATAAATAATATATATAAACCTAGCGAATGGGCTATATGCGTGGTGCAAGAGGACAGTAATTTGGGTATTATCCGTGAAAAATTGTCTTTTAGCGGTGGGGAAGGTATTAATTTTAAAATATTTAATTACGAATTGTTTCTTGTTATGCTCATTTTCATAAGCAATCTCAACCACAGCCCGATATTGTAAAGAACACTGTTTTATTTTATTTTCTGTAATTATTTATTAACGTCTGATTCGGCCCCGTCCCGTTCTAGCTACCGTTCCGAAGCAGATCTTTTTGTTTATTTTTGTTCAGTGTTTCAATGACCAGTGAAGGGGATGGACTTTGAAATAAAAATATTAAATATGTTATTAGCTATTAATTTTACCAACTTGAGTTATAATTGCGGTTTTTTAACCCGTGTATCGACCTTTCATTTTTCTCTTTTCAGCTACCGGAAATTTTCTGACGTAACAATAAAAATTAAAGCCCGTTATTATTACCCTCTTACAGTTGCAGTCTGATTTCAACGAAACCATTGGCATAACGCCAACTGAGGCCGAATTAAAAGGTTGTGGGGTAAACCACATTAACAAAACTCGCGCCCGAGTGTTTCCGAGACTAAGGCAAGGCATAATAAACAATCGGCAGGCTAACTTGTCTCGGCGGCAACGCTACGCGCACATCTACGCGCACACCGCCATTTGGGGTCCAACCTCTCAATCAAGCCAGTGGCGTCACTGTCGTCGTCTATATCGACAAAAACAAACAAGTTGCAGTAGCACGGAATCAGTAGCGTGTATCTTAAATTTATTTTGTTTGTGATGTTTGTATTATGTAGTTATTGTTATTTTTTTAGAATTATAGATATTTTTTGACACTTTATATAGTAGTTGTTTTCCAGTGTTAATTTGTTAACTTTTAAGTGTTTTACTATGTCTGGGCAAAGCTGTGCAGCAAAAAACTATATGAATAAACTATTAAAAGATTTTTTCGGTTTCTTAAAGATCTTATTAGGTATGTATGGTATACTTTTAAAAAAATCCTAGTATATGAGTCAGTTTGTCAGTTATAAAGCTATTAGTAAGATGTAGGTAGGTGCCTAGTTAACGTCACGTAAAGTTTAGCGTCAATTTATATTTACTTATGTAGGTATATTATTAAGATTTAAAGTAAAATGTTATATTTTAAACATCTCCCGTATGGAGTTGACAAAATGGAAAAATCTTTATTTTTATTTTAAGGAATAAGTCATTATAAAAAAATTCTGTTTGACGAAAAAATAGGTTTACTATATTAATATGTTAGGTCAGGTGTACATGGTCTTAATAAATCAAGAAACTTAAAATTGACAAAAGGAAAAAATCTGTATTACCTTATTGATTTTACGAAGAAAAGTCACAGTTTTCCTTTCGGTTTTCCTTCATAACTTTAAAAGGAAACTTTTTCTTGTAATTTTCTTCAACAAGCAGAATTTTTTGTAAGGAATATTTTTTTTTTCTGAAAAAAAAATGAATATTAATCGTAATTGTGTTATTCCCAAATATTGAAATGCTTAAAAATTTAATTCTGATATTCATTTTAATAATTATTCTAGATATGCGAATAACAAAGTTTTATAATCTTGATAAATCTAAAGTATTTTCATTACAAAAAGCAAGAAAATCTTAATTAGCCATTAAAGAAATTATAAGTAGTAAATTAGTAATGAGTCACAATCAAAATCATGTGTTTTAAGCAGTGCTATTAAAAATGTAAAATTCTTATATTTTGTCGAAGTAAATTCAAAAGCCCGCCAATTTTCAAGCTAAAATAGCATTACATCTTTCTATATTACCGACTGAGTATTAATTGCACAAAACTATTCCATATGTCGCTGTGAGGAATCTGCAACTCTTAATTATCCTTCCTCCGTGATGGTAACTGTGTAAACCCTACATCGGTCCAAATTCAAAGGACTTTCAAAAAATTGCAATTTATTACATTCTGGAACTGAAAACTGCGAAACAGGTGGGGATGCTTTACTTGTAAGGCTACATGAAATTCGTAGGACTAGTAAGGATGAGCCATTTTCCAAAATCACGTGTAATGGTGGCAATATTGTCGAAAATGTAAATATAAACAAGCATATTAATGAATTGTATGCACAAAATATTAATATTTTTTAAGAAAATTTTATTATATATGCGGATTTTTAATAAAAAAATGTCTTAAAATTCAACGTTGCGATGTATGTACACAATATGCCTTAACACACGAAGACTTATAAGCTCCATGTATTGTTATTATAAAGCATACAAAAAAAGATATTTTTGGCAATTTAAAAATGTCAAATAATAGTTTTGTATGTTTAATAACAAAAATTGAAATAATTTTTCATCACAATTTTGAATTATTTATCACTAAATCCGGCGTTTGTAATTTTTTTTTTAGATTTAATTAATTCCGAGATAACATTTGACGCTCCTTGTCCCCGATTTCCATAAATATATGTTATTAAGGGTCGACCACCGTTGTGTTAAACGGAGATTAAAATGACATTGCTAATGTAAAAATGTAATTTTAAACTTCGTTTAACACAACGGTGGAATCGGTCCTAAGTTATATATAAGTATATTTCACTTTAAAAATATTAATAGAAATTTTAAGACCATCAATAAAAACAAGCTAATTATTTGGCGCAATCTGTGAAGCTTTTTTGTTTTAATACGATCCTGCCTATCAATACCTTATTTTATTACAAAATCTTTAAATTCGCTTTAATCCGACCCTGACTAAGACCCCCGAATGGCGTCGTCAAGGTCAAATTTTCTTAGTATAATATTTGTATGCGATCAGCGGAGAGTGAGCCTGCCGATTGTTTTTTATGCCGTGACTAAGGCATCACTTGTAAGGGTTATATTTTCTTAGAGGTAAGAAAACACCTTAGACGTATCTTATCCCGTCTTAGTCCCAAGAGGTTGTTCCAATTATAGGTTCTTCTACCACCCAATTATTTTTTATTCTCTTCTAATATTACTGCTGATACCGCAAAACGGCTCAGGTCCCAAAAAGGGTGTTTGAGTCCTTTTCCTTTACCCAGTTATGTCTCGAGAGTAACTGTATTTTCTTCACCTAGTTCATTCAGTTTTTCTAGACATCTCCAGACCCTTTTTGAGCTGAGTATGTATCCGTTTTTGGAATACCATTTATGTAAAAATCATTTAATATTCTCATTACCTAAATTATCTCGTATATAAACAGATTTTCATTTGTGAAAACCGTCTATGGGTTTCTATAACAAATATTTTTATTTTGTGAAGTCGCAACAATAAATTTACGGACTTCCTGAGTGTCGTATACGTTTGCAGAAACTGAACCGATATATACAATTTAACAGTTGACAGAGAAAATAAACAGTGTGGCCGCCGAAATCCGACATAATCCTTCTGACCTAATTTCTACAATCTGAGGTTTTTAACAAAAACAAGCACTAGCATGTCTTGATAACGGACGGCATTTTGAATAATTATTGTAGTATAGAATTATCGCATGTTTTTATTATCTTGGATGAATTTGTTTAAATATTTCTCATACATTTTTTAACGGAACTGGCAACAGCACCGCAGGAGTTTGGTTTAAAATCAAGGGCAAAATAATTGTCAAAAATTGATAATTGACCCATTTTTTAAATTTATTTCTAAAATTGGTTCCATTTGTTGTTGGACATCATACACTCTTTTAATTATGTACTTCAATAATATTCCTGTCTTTTTAATTTATCACGTTAATTAAAATTCAGTAATCTTAAATATAAGATTAATTTTTCTTCTTGTAGATTTTACAAAAATATACGGGCAAGGAAGTGGGACATATAATAAATAATTGTCCTCAAAGTGGACAATTAATGAATTTGATGGAAAACTATGTAGTTGGTACATTTTGTCAACCAGAAACAGAAGTACGACAAAATAATTTAAATTATTATCACGTATGTTTGATGATGTTGGATATTGAAAGAAATTTAGGTTACTTATTGGGATTGCACGCCTTTAACTTAAGACAGAGCTTACCCTTGGCAGCAGAGGAAGTATCATCGAGCCAGTGGTTGAAGTCAGCCTTTTTGAGTGGAGGTTTGGAGGTAAGAATCCTATAAATCATCAATTACTCTTTCATTATGATTTTTGACAATAAGCAACCGAAGAGCGGATATTGTCTACAGAAAATATTTAATTTAAATTAATTACAATTTGCACTTAAGTAAGGTGTATGTGCACAATACAAAGATTAAATAATAAAAATAATACAGTATATTTATGGAGTATACATATTAATATATTGTTAATCTGGCGAAAATGACTTGCCTTAGAAATCATTAAACTCTAAAATGAAGACCTTGGCGTGAAAAGGGTGTAAGCCACAAAAATTAAAAAAACCATATTTTTAGTCCAAGTAGTTCAGAAATAAAGGTACTAGCCACATAAAACTAAATTGCACGATTCTCCAATAGGTGGCACTGGTGCGGTATTATGACGTTTTCACATTTTCTGCCGGGCGGTGAAAATTTTTATAACAAGGTTACAAGCCACCATCATGAGTGACACACGTGCTGGGTGTTCTCGCGATTTTGATGAGTTTTCCTCTGATTCAAGCGACAAAAATAGCAATGAGTTTGACTCAGATGATAGTGTAAAGGACAGGGACTATACTGAAAGTGAAAGTGAGGACAGTTCGTTATCTTTTGAAGAGCAACAGGTACGTGTTTAAGGTTATGTGGCATACACCCTTTTACTGAAAAGTTTGGCGACGTAATTTTTCAAGTCATGTTGCTTATTTTGTGGCATACATCCTTTTCCCGAAGTTTTATTAAATCTGTTTTTGTCTTCTTGGGTATGCTATGATTATTTTTCAAAGTGCCAGAAACTTTTTTGGGCGCGTTAGAGTAAATTCGCATGGATGTACGATACTTTTTTGGGAATTTTCCACAAACCGATTTTTACGAAACTACTCCTCTGACTATTTTTGGGATCAAAATTGACGAATTTGAAAGGGTGTCTTCGATTCTGTAGAGCATAGATTCTTAGTAGTAGGACATACTCATCTACCGTCTGACAGAGACTTTGCTATGATAGAAAAATATAAAAAGAAAATGAAGGCAGTATATGAACCAGCAGATTGGTATGATGCAGTAAGGAAGTGTAAGAGAACCAATCCTTTTGAAGTTACAGTAATTAAAAGAGAGGACTTCTTTTCATTTAAAATTTTGGAAGAAACTATAACAAAAAAAAAGTTTGCGGACGAAAAAGAAAATGTTTCCTTCTGCAAAGTTTGTGTCTTTAAGTTCGACAATGAAAGCCCAAATATAATGAAAATAAAACATTTTCTAAATGAGAGTTTTAAAAATGTAAATGTGGGAAAAAGAGGTATCAGAAAACAATGTTTAGCAGACTGTCTTAAGCAGAAATATGCGGAGCCAATAAAACTAAATCCGAAAAAACTTAGTAACTTATCGCTTTTGCTACCTTATATACCCGAAATAAACCATCAATTTTATTTGGAAATTGGTGCCAAAAATTTCGTTCGTCAAGAAATTGAGGAACCATCAACCGAAATAGAACATATGGATGAAGATTACCCCTTAAGTGATGACTAAGTTCTTATTTTTAATCGTTGTGTTATTTTAGAATACCGTTTATTTTTTCATGTAAAAGGATACAAGCCATATTTTTTAAGCAAATAAATCTTAGAAAAAAAGGTCGGTATTTTTTTTTAAATTTTTTTTTAATTGTTGAATACTAAATAACCAATTTTATCTTTTATACCTAAAATCAAATAAATTGTACATAAATTGGATTTTGTGGATTTAAAATAATTTTTAAAATTGAATTTCTTTAAAATTATTGTATGTGGCATACATCCTTTTCACGCCAAGGTCTTCAGTGTTTCCCCTTTGAAAATAAAATAAAAAATAGAAAGTTATGAATGAAAAACCAAAAATACAAAATTTTTAGAAATTTTTATTTTAATTTTTTATAAATAGTTATTAAAAACCTTAATAATACCTGTATTCGCCTCTGGCTTATCGGGTTTCTTGGCAGCATCTGGGCATAGAGTTCACTGGATTTTCAATAATTTGCCTGGGAATATTGTCCCATTTCTCCTGGACCATTTCTGCTAGATTATCTAAATTTTCGCCACCCTCACTAAACTGACATTTAAAAAGAAGAAGAATCGTACGCTGGAATTTTTTCAAGGGCTACTTTAGAAACATTTTTTGTGGTTCACTCCTAACTTAGAGATGCGTTTTGTATTATATCGCACACTTAGTAAAATATTACTACAAAAAACGTCTAATTTGAGTTAGGCCATTAGTATGTCTGATACTGTTATCAGAGTTCTTTTAATCTGAAGATGTTACTTACTAAACATCAGAATCTGTGAAGGATTATTCAAAAAGCGATATTAACTTTAATACGTTTAAATATCGAATTGAATATTTTAGTACCAGTTGTTATGAATCTTGAGTTCTTTGGTAAAACGGACTTATTAGTACATTGTTAACCTTTGAACGAATTACGTGACAATGGGTTGGTATATTTCTTAAATCAAAACACATTAAGCGTGATATTAAAAATATCATATTATATTTACTATATCTTCATCATAGTATTTATTATATTGTATTAGGCATAGCCATGCTCTCACAGCCAACATGTGGCAACTACGATATCCTACTATCGCTATGGTCTCTGGCTTTGTGACTGACATTCGGTTCGGCTAGTGTCCCACCACATCTTCTAATTCTAGTAGACGACTGGCTGTTGCCCTGTTGCCATTTTATTAACTTATGTACTAGTCGTATGCCTAATACGAAAAAATAAGTGCTATATGTCTTGTGGAATACAGTATACTTTTTTAGAACATTATTTTATTAACAGATACAGGTTGAAAGCATTCTTATAAGTTCTCTCTATCTTAGCTTATAATGCCATACCTTAGGGTCATTGAATTAGAATAATAATCAGATTTGATGAGAATAAATGCCATTTTTTTTTAAATAGCCACATTTAAATGATATAAAAACATTTTCATTCCGTTAATCTTCAAATATAAAATCATTGACTTCAATTAAATCAAAGTACTATTTTGTGTCACCATTTTGATTACACTTTTCCTTCACTCGAAGTGCGTCCATCTGTTATATCGCAAAAAAAGCCAGCCTAGAAAAAAGGGTAATAACATCGTCTCTAGGTGAAACTACACTGACAGCTAAAGCAGACAGGGGTTGCCCCCAGGGAAGTACTATCACCTCTCCTCTGGTCAGTCCTAGTAGACGAACTCATAAAATATCTGCAGATTTCTACTGCATAGGGTATGCCGATGACCTGGCGATCGTCTTAAGAGGCAAGTTCGCAGGTACAATATCAAAGCGCACACAAACCGCTCTAAACATTGTTGACGAGTGGTGCAGAGAGGAGGAACTAACAGTAAATCCTCACAAAACCACAAAACGAAAAGTACCAACAGGACTAAAGTCTCCAGTACTGAAAGGAGTGAAGATTACATTTGCTTAAGAGGCCAAATACTTGGGTGTCATCTTTGACCACAGGTTAACATGGAATCAACAGTTGCAAAAAGTCACCCGAAAGCACAACATCCTTTAACTTATGTCGAAGGTTGTGTGGAAAAAATTGGGGTCTACAACCGATAATGTCCCTATGGTTATATACCAGAGCCATAAGGCCGATGATAACCTACGGGTCGGTGGTATGGTGGCCAAAGACTTGGCAAGCTGAAGCCATTCGACATCTCAATGGTATTCAAAGGCAAGCATGCCTGAGTACCACGGGAGCTATGAGAACGACTCCAACAGCAGCTATAGAAGTCATGCTAAACCTAACACCACTACATGTATTCATTCAAGGCGAAGCCAGGTCTGTCACATACAGACTGCACAAAGGTTCATCACCCATAAGCAGTTTGCATGGACGCAACTACAGCGAGCTATATAAAGAGTTGGAGAACGACCAAATAATGGGAATGCCTTCAGACAAAATGCTCCCAAAGTATAGCTTTCAGAATCAATATAAACTAAGTATACCAGACAAGGAAGCGTGGACGAGAGGACCTCCTATTCATCCAGAATTCACCTGGTATACAGACGGCTCCAAAACCCATGAAGGTTCTGGAGTAGGTATATATAGTACCAAGCCAAAGACAAGAATCTCACTGAGCTTAGGAAAAGATGCGACAGTATTCCAGGCAGAAATAGCAGCAATACCTCACTGCGCAAAAGAGGTATTAAGACTTAAGGTAAATGGAAAAACCATTGTTATATACTCGAGACAGTCAAGCGACATTAAAAGCACTCAGTTCCATGCAGGTACATTCAAAGCTTGTGTGGGACTGTTTGAAAGCCCTAACAGAGTTGTGTAGTCAAAATAGACTAACCTTATGTCCACAGAGGACATAAGGACAATGAAGAGGTTGATTTACTAGCCAGAGAAGAAGACTCAAATGCTCTTATCGGCCCAGAACCCTTCTGTGGTGTAACACAAACAACTATAAGAACATGCATAAAGCAGTAGGTGTTTAAAAAATCTCAGGAGTGGTGGAAAAGCTCACCAGGACAGAGACAGGCCAAATAGTTCTTAAAAGGACCATCGCCTAAACTCACCGAGCATCTACTAAGCCTTAATAGGAAAAATACTAAAGAAATAGTAGGTCTATTAACAGGGCATTGTAGGCTTAACAAACATGTATAATATCGGTATGACAAAAAAGACATTGTGTCAATTCTGTTAGGAAGATGAGAAAAGGGCAGAACACGTATTGTGCTACTGCGAAGGTCTAGCAAGACTGAGATTCCTAACACTTGGAGAAGAAAAATCAAGGGCAACTAGCTATACCGGAGAACTACTTCCCACTCTATGGAGTCTACTACAAGAGACCGAATTAGACAAGGTACTCTAAACAACGATTAAAGGATATCCACAATAGATCTGAAAAGGTCGAGGTGGCCCACAGTCCTAATTAAATCTAATCTAATCTATATCGCAAAATATTGTTTATGTCTTCTCTACATCGTTCTATCTCGATACTTAAGACCGATTCAACTAAGGATACATAATTTCTCAAATAAATAAATTGTGCAGTTTTGAGCTATTTATTTGATGTGTCCATCTGAAGTTCTTGTTAATCACAATTATTTGTGCTTTTTATTTACATTTAATAACAGATTATTAGCAAGCCAGTTTCTAACAATCGTCGTCAAACGGTCTCGTTGTGTTTACGATGGATAGTCAAAATAATTATATCATAGCCTTCCAAAGATGATTTTAATGAATGATACAAAAAATTTGACGATAGTATCTAGCCAGTTTATTCCTAGATTGTATGTATAATGTCTGACCTAACCTAACGATAAAATAGCTAGTTAAATTTTTACAATTAAAGATGTAGATCCTTTTATTTCTTTTAGTTGCACACAGTGTATTTTTATTTTGTGTGAATGTGTACCTACCCTATGCTTTGTTTAAACAGTTGTGATGGCGATGGATAGGTGGATATCAAAAATAATTTTATTATAACCTACCAAAGATTGTTCTAATGGGTGTTAGATTATTAAACCCATAAAATACCAGTTTATAATTTTATAATTGAAGATGTAGATTCTTTTACTTGAGTATTACATAAAAAGTTTAGAAAAGTTATGAATAAGAGTGGATCTAGCACCGTACCTTGCGACACCCCTGTTTGTGTGTATTCTTCGTTACTAATATATTTATGTTTTCTAAACGTTTACTTGCGATCTGATACGATAATAATTTATACAGAACTATCAATTAAATTAGAAACTACATCTTTCAGAGTATTGAAATTATACTTGGAAGTGTTGGTTTCTGTATTCAAATTCGCAAAAGATATTTTGAGTTTTTAATAGGAAAGCTTTCTATAGCAAAAATGATTAAATCGTAATTTTTTAATGTAGGTTGATCAGCCGCCAAATCCTTATGAAGACGAAAAGGGAGATTCGCGCAGCACAAATTCAACAGCTGAAAATACACCTACAGAGCCTAGGGTTAATATGGTACAAAAAACTTTAAAATACTTTCAGCAACCTACGGAAAGAATTAAAGCATTTATTAATGCTTTGGCAGAAAGTAGATTGTCAGTAAGTCTTTTCTATTTTTATATTTTAATTTTTATATGCACCTTTCTTTAAGAATATTAAATTTGCTAGTAAATAAGTTAAAATATAAAGAGTGATTTACAAAATATGATAAGTACTCACGCATGTGAATTAAAACCAAACTACTATTTTAAAAAGGGTTTTTTTTTTAATTGCCTACTTTAGAACAATTTTTGTGGATCACTCCATATTTATAGTGTGTCTTGAAAAAAATATCCTAAATTTCACGTCACATAGAAGTGATGTGCGCTTTGAAATTAATAACCAAGTATCACGTTTGTAATATTTATGATTTTTGATATTTTATATATCACATTATATTTGATGATTTACAAGAAAAAATAATGATTTATAATAACAAGAAAAGACCTTTTATATTCAAACGCAGCAAAATATTATTTACAAAAAATATTAATAGGAATATGAAATGGGAAATTATTAAACTTTAAATTCATTGCCTTTTCCATTTAGAAAAATATCTATTAGTAGATAAACTTTCAATAATTTTTAATAAATACTACAACAATTGTTGGTTTTTTATTTGTTGTATTTCTAATTTTTCCTGTATACTGCCAATTACAAATTTGATTCTTGATTATTGATTTCTAAGTGGCGCAGGCACGTTTCTGCCTGTCGTACAAGATAACTAAACGGATAAAGGGAGCAAAGACAAAGGGGACAAGAAACACTTCACGACAACTACTTTAGAACAGTAGGCTTGTTGATGTGGAAGGAAAAGTCACTTGGCCCCTGGAGGATGCAAAATGGTTTTAACGAGACCTAAGAAAAGTGGAGCTTAGCTCACCCTCCAAAGTTTTTCAGATGTATATATACAATTCGAAGAAATGTTTGAGGTTCCATGCGTTATTCTTAATATCCATGTACATATCTTATTTTTTCTATTTGGATTCAATGTATTAGGCCGCAAATATCGACAACGAGGCTGTTTCTATGCTTATCGCTTCACAGAAGACTCCAACTTCTTAGCCACATGCTATAGTGAGATAGTTGAACGCAATGTTGCCTTTAATAGCCAGAGGCAAGACAGGGAAAATACGTATTTACTGTAAGTTTAAAATGTATTTAAATTATGCTGAGAAGGTCCGTAGAGTCACCCTCAACTAATATCAAAATTCGACTCGAACCTACATGTTTTTTCCTTTTCATGTATGCTCATTCTAAGCCGTAAAATTAATGATAAATTTCGAGTTGGTGAAATAAATAACGAAATTTCGAAGACAACAGATGGAACTATAAAAATTCGAATGACAAAAAGTCGCGATGGCTCCAGACCGCATAGGTTAAGTAAATTACTTAAGTTTTTTTAATTGTATGTATAATTTTTCTGCGAAGCAACCCGCGATGGCTTTAGGCCGCACAGGTTAGGTAAATTAGTTATTAATTAATTAATTAAAACTCTAGGAAAATATTTCTATTGTCTTTAAAATATTTTACATTAATATTTAATCATCTGAGTTCATATGCTGTGCTGATAGTATTATCACTGTGATAATACTATCAGCACAGCTTACCATAACAATCAGCTGAGACACTCCCCGGCGGCACCTTTCATCTGATTGGATTTGCTTGACTTTAGCTATCTCTCTCCCACTATGGGTAGAAGTCGGGATGGATTTAAAATATTTGTTTTATATTAAATAGACGTTAACAGTAATTAAGTAATATTTTTTAATTCGGTGTCGTCGGCATCAACTAACGTCTTACTTCAACTAAAGTTTGTAAAAAGAATTATATTATCTGAAATAAAACATATAGGCATCACCTTTTGTACATACATTTCTACCTACTTTTATAACACTTAATACAATTATTACAATAGAGATATAAAGATGAAACGATTTTGTGTTCCTTCATTAGAGCCCTAGCAGTTTTTCTGGATAAAACCATTTAGACGGACCTATACCTTCTTATTTATTTATTGCCTAGTTAGACTATATTCATAACATATGCACGTGTTTAACAAAGTACATATTTGAATAATTACAAACAGATTTACTACTGCAATGATCGGATTTATTATTGTTGTATTAAATAATCCTACAAGCACTATACAAAGTATACTAAACTTAAAATAGGGAAAATATTCACATGGATGACTAAAATGGAATACAATACATAATTCTATAAGTTTGCTGCAAACATTATGCAAACAATGTAAATCCGCAAATGCGTGGCTTGATAGTAACCGACTAATATCAACAAGCGAGCCACTGCAATGATGTATGTAACCTGTAACCACGTTCTACCCGGGAAGGCGGAGCTAGAGCAATGTGCGTAAAGATCGACGCAAACCGTTTCCGCCATCTAAGTCCCCGAGCTGGTTGTTATGGAAGCTGTGCTATCAGTTACTTTACCTTCTCAGTTCATGTCTGTTCAATTTTTTATTGTTAAGATTGTTATAGTTAAACTATCAATTTGAAAACATATCAACCATATACAGAGTGGCTCTATCAAAACATGTTTGTATAATACAGGATTTTAGTGATAAGACTTGCATAATTTGAACTGGTGCTAAATAAAAAAAAAAAAATGGACAAAAAAGCTGAAATTTTGTTTTGGTTACGATCATGTTAGGTCAGTGTCAAAGAGGATATTATTAATTATCTACTGACAAAAAGGTATCACTTTTGTTTATGTTTATTGTTTTTAACGGGCACAGTTTTAAGTCGGTTACATCATCTACTGCATTTCCATTTAGGTAGTTTATATGTCCAAGGCGGTACTCAAAGAAAAAGTTGTAATCCTGTAAATTAACCCACAAATGCGCCATGGGTTGATATAATTTTCTTTCTTTATACTTTATACTACGAGATGCACATCGTACAGATACACACGAAAGTGTTCAACGGCTTCCACTATAGCAAGAGTCTAGCTAGATCTTAAGAATGTTACCTTGATTCACAATCAGTCGTACGGCGACTGTATACGCAACAGGTCGAGTAACAAAGGAAGTTATGCGTTTTCAATTTTCATTTGATAAAAACTTGACTTCATGTTCAACATGGTAAAATATTTTGCTAAACAAAAAGCATTAATTTCATCTTAAATAATTTTTTGCTTACTAGCATAATAGGACTTGCATATTTTGAGTGACATTTAGCAGATAATTCCACTGCTTATAATTTTCTTTTGCTGAATTCTGTCTTGAAACGCTAATCGCCTTAGTCAATACGCTACTGGAGTACTGTCTTTTAATCGAATTGTCATTTTCCGGTAGTTGTATGGTCAGAAGTTTTATTTTTGTAAAATATTAAAAGTTTCTCCACTTCTAATTGATTAATTTTCATATCGTTCAATTTTTTTTTATTATAAACACTTTCGGAATGTTGAACAGGTCATGATATAATTCAAACCCGTTTTCATTTTTCTCAACACGTCAAGGTCGGCATATGACCACCCATCCAATTAGGCATTCCAACGACCTGTCCAAATGGCTATCAGTGGGGACTGACAGTTTAGATATGGCAACCCTGTTGTCATGTTGTCATTAATAGGGTCAATGATACATATATAGTTATATAGATTGCTCAAAGCTGGTCGTTTGCGAGCGGCCATATTGCCTGACAAATATTTATTAATTTGAATCGGAAAATGTATTTTAAAACCAATTTTCATCCTGTAGATATTAAAAAATAATAATTGCTTACATTTTTACTTCAAGGCATAAGCTTATGTTTATTTTGAAAAATATGGATGATCAATCTATGTAACTATCTATTTCATTGACCTTGTCAAATCACCAGGCTTACAGGGTTGCCATAATTTTGCCATATCATAACCTGTCAAAACCCACTGGCATCCATTCAGTTTGGAATGCCTAATAGTAGTGTTTTTACTACGAATTGTTAAAATATTGGCTACGTTCAGCAGAAAAAATCTGATCGGGATCTGTTTCAGATCAATTTGCAGCAGTCTTATAGTCTGTTGAACAGTATTTTTATGCGTTTTAAGCAAGAAACTGTAGTGACATTTGACATTTATTAAAATCATGTAACTAACCTCCAAACTAAACTCCAAATGTATGATTTTATATTTATCTGTGGATCGTGTGTAAATTAAAAAGTAAAATATAAAAGGGTATTGCGTATAATAGCAAAAGCAACTATCGTAGAGAAAGCTTGAGTGATACAATGGATGGCAATATTTAATTGGTCGCCCTTAACGACGATATTGACTTAAATATTGTTGTAAAATTGATGGGACCTACATTCACTACTAGATGCTTTTCTTTAGCAGTCACCTGAACTTTAAAAGTTTGATCGAGATCTGGGTTACATAAATCTCGAACTTCCATGTTTTAAATCGGCACCCTCGCCTTTCTTTAATCTATTTTTAAGTTGAACTTAACCTCAAAAACAGAATACGCAACATGTTTACTTAAAAGGTAGCATAAATTAAATACGCTCCAATAAATTTCGACTGATCCGACAACTGTTTCGCGCAACGTTGAGAAAAGTTGTTGTTCAGCAGAAAATAAGTAAATTGTTGCGTCTGCTGAACGCAGCCATTGACATGTCAGCACCACTATCAATAAGGTTAAGGTATTTTAACGACTGAGCTTGCTTACAGCATAATAACGTGGCTGTTGGTGTCGAATTCAAATGGCGTAAATTTTTTTGAACGCAAATGTTTTTTAGGCTTTTCTTGTTTATACCAACAATTGGATTTGACATGTCCCATTTTTTGCAAAAGGGAATGTAGGTACTAACACTGTCATCATTCTCGAGGTTTCAACAAGGAGCGCATCAAATTCGCTGAGTAGTTTTATGAGTTCACGCTCGGAATTAGGTTTTTGAATGTGAATGGGCTTCGGAATTGTCTAAATCATATTCAAACCATCATAAAATCTAGTGATGTTACGCAATTTTTGATTTCCTTAATCATACAGCGAGTTACAATTATGGCATTGAAGCCTAGCTGCCTTGTATTCTCGAGGACTTGGTGTTTCCTTGTCAGCGAATGCAACGAAGGTCATCACAAAAGTTATCGAGAAAGAAGTCGCCAGACACAACAATAACGATAATCGCTAACCGCGATTATTAGGTGCGTAGCTCGCTTTAGCGATAATTAAGTTATCGCTAATGTTGAGTTCGTTTGTTATTTTGGTAGCGTCACTAAGCCATTCTTCTATGGAATATGCGCTGTCATCAGTGTTATAGCTGGTAAGTCGAAAAGGTTGCAGAGGTGCGAATGTCGGCACTTGCGTGTTAGAGCCATCTGCTCCTGTAACGCTGTCACTTTCTATTCGCGTACTGCTTACTGCTCTGCTCAGCGCTATTCTTGACATCCTTCGCAAATACACGTATACTCAATATTGCGAAGGGTTCATTTACGCATGCTTTCCTAAAATGAGATTCTTGAGACCCCTTCGCAATTACTTGCGAATGTTCTACATTCTCACTTTGGCAACTTTGCAATTATATTAAAATGGCACGCTGAATATTTTGTATCATGGAATGACAGTTTTCATTATCTGACTCACATACTTTGATTTTCTTTTACTATACGGAGAATGGTCGCACTGCGCAGCTTTCTGAGTGCCTTTTAAAAGGAGATAGAAAACTCCGCCATTTTGAACCCCTATTACGTGTTGCCTACATCTTGGCGCAATATTTTTAATAGGTGCGTTTTAATCATCCGCTTCTGCTTCGGAATTGTCGGTTTTCTTGTTTTAATTTGACAGGTTAGAACGACTGAACCGACAATTCCGGAAGCAGAAGCGGATGATTAAAACGCACCTGATATTTTGCTTGCTGCTGTCAGTATCAGTGAATATTATTTTTAGAGTCACAGTTTATTGCTAAAGAATCAGTTAGCTCACTCGGACCAGTTGAAAGTTCCAAAATAACATTCACTCCAGGGATACAAATTCAGGACACGCAGAAGACGGCTGTTTTATTATAGGCGGTTGTCATATGTTATATTATCTGAGTTGCGCAGTGTATAAACTGAACCATTGAGATAAAAAGTGCCGACGCAGAGTGAGCGATCTGATTCTTTAGCTATAAACTGTGTCATAGGGTTCAAAATGGCCGCGCCCTATGTTGGGCGTGTCGGGCCTCTCTCTTGCCCCGTATAGTAATCAAAATATGTGATCTGACTGCATTTAGCTCATTAAAATTTCTTGGGAAATTTGTTAAAAATAATCTGATTCATTTAAAGCATTGCTGATTTCTTCAGGGCATCGGTACACTGATGCCCGGGAAACTGATATAAATAAACTTCTACCAATGTCCATGTTACAGCTTCCTGGTGCAAAAAACCCTAAAGCTACTAAAACCTACAAAATCAGAAACCTACTATTAACTAAATAAATGAAATATGTTAAGTTATATTTAATCTGAGGTCTCATATAGGTCGAGCGTGTGTTATTAAAAATCGACACAATTCTTTTGCAATTCTAAATTTTTGCACAAGCTCATGTTCACTTAAAATATAAAATTAATTATTATTCAGGAACGAATTATGTGTCTGCACTGGTATAACCATGGTATAATCGCATCTTCAACGTTTTTAGTAAGTCTTATACAAGTATCCATTCAAAAAAATAGATCTTAAATTAAAAACTAAACACATATGACACAAGACAATTCATTAAACCCACACGCAAGTATTTTGCGATTGATAATACCCACTCGCAGTTTTATGCGAGTACTCGAATTTGTTGCGTATAATCAAGAATACACAATTTGCTATTTCATTCGTAATGTCAGACTTTACGAGTGACCTTGAAATTTGCGAGTGGTCAAGAATAGGGCTGCTGGTCTTACGTCTCCCGCTCATTCATCCTCACACGCATGTGTATGGACTTTGACAATATGTAGTGAAAAACAGGGGCGCACCGCTAACAACTGCATAAGACTTTTGCTCCATTTTGTCACCTGTTAAAATTATGTTTCTTTTATACCTAACACCCTATGTATATGCAACAAACAGGAGAAAAAACTAAACTAGAAAAACAACAGAGATATCACAGTATGGCAGATAATACATCCCTAATCAATTTAGACCTTTACAATAGTGAGTAGGCGCTATTAAGGCTCTATTACATCTTTTTAATGTACTGGTCGTCACAATAATGTACTTTGCTGCTTAAAAACATAGTAACTAATATCCTACTTTTCACCCTTAGTAAAAAATATATATTATTAAAAGTATGTATTTTATAATATCAGATATTAATGACATATGGGTAAATATCTGAAGGACCAACGTTCATGCATAGGACCTCAAAAATCTTCGTTCTGCATATATAATACCATTATATTTCATTTTGATTTCCTGGAGGTTAGCAATAAGTCTGGGTAAAATTTCTTACAAAAAAATCATTTCAAATATTTTTCAAACAATCATTAGTAGTTGTTACCATCAATTTAGAATAGATTTTATTTATGTTCAACTGTAGGACATAATGAGAATTAGTACCTATATCAAAAATATAATTTACTTATTGCAAGTATTTTTTAATTTAGAAATGTAAATATAAAATGACCTACTTGAAATTGGATACGTGAGTAACGGAAAAAAACCAAATGTTTGTTTCTTATTTTATATGCAATTTTAAATTTTTTGACAAAATCGAATTATTTGTAAGTTTTTTCACGAAATCTTTTTTGAAAATAAATAACTGCCGTAAGAAGTAATATTTTGCAATCTGTTAATTATATTTTTAACTTAGAAAACCAGATGCACTTTAATATTATTTTTTTTATAGGATCCTTATGTTATATCATTTTTGGCTATAGTAGAACAGCATTCTAAAGCGAATAATTTTTTGACTAGAGTGGATTTTTCATTTGAGCATCCTATAGAAGAAATTGGTAGAGTACTTTATGCTGTTTTAATTAAACACTTAGGACTCGGTTATGTTTTGATCCCAATTATTGAAGCATGTAAGTGTATTCATATTTTCTCTAATACTCTTGTTTTAAAAATAATGCATAAAATAATATTATAGGTGATAGTAGTATCGCACTATATTTAAAATCTTCAATACTATCCTTGTTAATTAATATATTAGAAAGCCAAATTTCTATATAGGTAATTAAAAATCTAATACGAGTAGGTAATTAAAGAAAATGTTAAAACTCATTTTTGAAATTTCAAACTTCAATACACTATATTTCGAAAACAAGTAATATTTTACCAAAGCATGTCTCGTTTAATCATCTTACTTTTAATCAGATAATCTGCAGTTGTTCTGTGTTCCATTCTTAATGAAACGCCCTGTATATAAAACATATTTTTTTAAGTCTGTTTAGGTTCGAAACTAAACGCATTTTTTTGGAAATAATGAAAATGAAAAATCCACAATTCCCCCTACGAAATTATGAAAATTACGCCCTCATATTCATAAAGAAAAACCAAACCAAAGAAAAATTGAAAAAAGCTGAGAATTAAAGAAAGAAAAAATATATTGTACTTATGTTCTCCTCAAGGAAAATTGATGGAAATGAGATTTAATGGGAATTTGTTTGTGTCAGCGAGAATCGGAATCTGATGACTTCAATACATATTAATACATAGTAGTTTCGATAGCTTAATTGGCAGAGCCCGGACGGTCCAAGTCCGAGTTTCCAGGTTCGATCCCTGGTCGATGCACTCTTTTTCTTTCTTTAATTCTCAGCTTTTTAATTTTTTTTTTTTTGGTTTGTTTTCACTTTGGTAATATGAGGGTGTAATTTTCATAATTAAAGATTTTTAATTTTTATTATTTCCGAAAATAGTATATTTTTTGTTTATCATAAATCTGAAAGACAAATCTCTAAAGTCAGACATAAATTTCATTATAAATGATACAAATTAATACTAATTTCGTAGGTAGGTATGATTTTAATTCCTGTTGTTTTTATTCTTATACATAAATAAAATAACTAATAATTTATCATTTTTTCATTAGTTTTCTAGTATCTTCGGCTCCTCTTCACTTGTTAGATGCAGTTTAATATTTAACAAATAAGAGTTTTGTTCTTATAAATCGTCTTTGTTTAGAGTACTGATTTCTTGTTTAAATTTTCAGTATTTCTTTTTCTGCTTCATTAGTTTTTTCTTTGTGGAATTTTTAAAAATATTTATCTACCAAATAATAATAAACGCTTCACTCGTTGTCCCATGAAGGCACAATAATACAAGACAACAACCTTTTATTTTCTATTGAGCTTATATCGCTGCGCCCTCTTCAAATTGCTGAGGAGAAGCTTGTAATTCGTTCTCGCGTAGTTATGTATCAGGGTCTCATTTGTTCTTTCAAATTTGTAGATATAGTCGAAAAGCTGGAGCCAAAAAACTGCTTTGATCTTTGATATTGAAAAATTCGACTTAAAGTTATTCTACCACTAAATGGGATTACATATCCGAGCTCTCCGACACTTTCAGTGGGGTATATTTCGTGCATATTTCCTTAAGGCCCCCATAGACGGTATACTTGAACAGTAAAACAAGTTGACCGTAGCCTGGGTGCTAGGCCATGAGAGATATCAGAACGAAAGGGCCAATGAATTAGCCCGAGAAGGCTCATATAAGGTCATGACAGGCCCCGAACTCTTGTGGAGTTGCTAAGGCATTGTGCAAAGCATCCGTCAAACAAGGAATGCAGAAAGAGTCAGGAATTGTGGAACAATTTTCCAAGACTGAGATAGGCTAAACAGTTCATCAAGGAACTATCGGCCAAGTTCACGAAATACCTACTGGATCAAAAATATCAAATCGTTACTATAACATTAGAACTTCTTACTGGACACTGTCGCCTTAGAAAGCACGAGTGTCATCAATCCAGCAGAAGAATAAAATTTGTGCAGGTTCTGTGAAGAAGAGGAACATTAATCCCCGTTCTGTGCCAGTGTGAAGGCCAGGCTAGAATTAGGTTTCTAAAATTAGGCGAAGATAAGCCAAACGTATGCAACTACATGCGGGAGCCACTGTCTGAGCTACTAAGTTAAATAAAAAAGATCAATCTAGACGACATACTCTAAAAAAAACGGAGTCGCACAATAGATCTGAAATGGTCGCGGTGAACAAGGACAAATAATGTCCTTTTAAATCTTAAACTTAATACTGGAACGTGTATTTGGTAATAACTGTACAAGCGATATTGAACTTGTGGAAATTTTATATTTTTACCTTTTCATATTCGACTTGCGCAGATGGAATTGAGCGTATGTATGAGAAAGACTTGCACAAGCTTGAAGCTGTTGAGATTTGATTATCCATAGTGTAATACGATTTTGATGCTATGACGAGTCACTTGAAAAAGGAACATCGAGAATGTCTCAAATAATTTACTTCTATTTACGAACATGAGGCCATATGCCTGTGACGCGTTAAAAGCAAAAAGTATCACGATAAGGGAAAGAGGGAGAGGCGACTATAAAAAAAAAACTAATAGATAAATTGAGGGAATAGACTCAAAAGCAGATCATGATACAGTGGTTACAAAAATTAACCCCTTCGAAACGAATCGCAGGAAGGAGAAGAAAAAGTCAACTGCGGCCAACACGTTGTCGTCGTCTGACGATGACATGGTTCAATTTTAAAGTGGAGCAATGTGCAAGCGTACTTGAACGTGTGGTCGACACAGATATCAAGCATACTTTTGTGCAATAAACTTGTACATGTATACTGTTCAAGTACGTCTATGGGGGCCTTTAGAAAACTTTATTGATATGACCTGTTAGCTCAGTTCGTAGAAGACTAAAGAAGCAATTGAATGTGCATTTGGCGCCGCGGTTCAATTCACGATGAATGAATGCCATCTTTTTATTTTGGAAAAAATATGAAAATAAAAAAAAAACAATGAATATCTCGGACCTATTTACTACGTTTCTATTGTATAATAAACCATGTATGAAAATCTCCGACACGATGTGGATGCAAAAAGCAGTAAAATGAAATTTTATGGACCTCTCTTCCGAGCCCCGCCCTATGAACGTTTATTATGCGTATATAAATATATTATAAAAAAACAATTGCATGCTTATTAAGGTACCAATTAATTTACCATTTTCGTTATGAATTGAATTATATTTTTCATTATAATTCATTTCAATTGCGAATACTTGGGTACCTAATATGGAAATATTATTTACGATTTTATATTCGATTTAATACATATATAGGTATGTTCCAACACTGATCCGAAACCAGTCATTTGGGGTCTTAATAATCTACTGCGCAGAATCCTGGTGGCAAAGACTGGTTTCTGATCGTTGTTAAAACAAACCTTATAAATAAATGCCCCAAGTGAAAAATTTACGATTATTACAATCTGATCATTACCATCAATGAACAATTTTATTCTAACCTAACTTTATAAACGAAGGTTCTACTCACTAATGTACCTTAGAGTCTAATTATTTAGATACACTACCGTTAACATATACCACTAAACCTCACTTATACTCTGCTATTATCTAACGAACTCAAAAGACTTGATTCTTTTGAGTCTTTAATGTATTGGCATTGTTGAGCAGCTAGATAATCTCAATGTTCCCATGTTGGAGCAGTCAATGTTTGTGACTACTGGCAAATTTTTCTATTGTGTTTTCAAAAGTCTCCACCTTAAGGTCCCTCTGATGATCAGATTGCTGCAGTATCAGAGTGTATCGACAATGTTCCTTAATATTTTATTCTGAAAGCGTTGTACAACTTGGATGTTACTTTTACTGGCTTATCCCAAAGCTGGATGCCACACATTCATATGGAATTCAATATCTGCCTGTAAAGGAGCAGTTTGTTGTATGTAGATAATTTGGAGTTTTTTTTTCCTAGAAACCAATACATTCCTTTGTATTTTACATATATACGATATAGAAAAACTTGGTTGAGTAAAACTTGCAGCAAATTTAATAAGCTTTCATTTTTTATTTATTGGTTATGTCGATAGGAAGCATAGTTTCAGAGATATAAGCGAAAAAACGAAAAATGGAACCTTCAGACCCCGGCTCAATAGGTACGAGCGGAGACTTTTGATATGTTCACCTCCTAACTAGTCCAAACAAAGTTACTGTGTCAAAAATGAGTTTCAAATCGAGTTTGTCCATATCAAAAATCAAATCAGTTTTTCGGCTTAAACTATTAGACTAATATGTAAAATTCCAAGTTCACATTTAAAAACTATTTTTATTTAAATTATAGAGATTGCTAAAAAAATATTTACGATAAATTAGATATGTTCTTAATAACAATTTATTTACCTAAAATCATGTAAGAACATTGTTTTTAATACTGATAAATAAAATGTATAAACTTTATGAATTAATTACCATTTAAATTTATTTTTCATCCAATATTTCCCCCGTCTGAGTTAAAAAAAAGTAATTTGTAATCTCTTGTACTTCTCAGTTTTATTAGATTTTTCTTTTTCTTTTCTTTAGATGCAACTCAATCATCAACAAAAATTCCAAAATCTGTAACGGAGATAATAAAGTGCGTCCACCAGACAAAATGGAACCTCATAAAAACAAGACAGGAAGTTAACAAAGGCTACAAAGAAATTTGCATACCACTTTTAGTAAAATGTCGATTTTTACTGTATGAAGTAAAACCAGCAGTAAGTTTAGAAATGGAGGCATTTAAAAAAGTAAATGTGTTATATAAAGAACCCAGAGTAAGAACTTTGGTGAAGAAAGTTATTAAAGATTTAAAATGTGGTAGACATACTTCGGAAATACAGAAACCTGAAGATATAGTAAACGCTACAATACAATCTCAAAGTATAGAAAGACACAAATCTTCAGAAGATATCAGTAAAATGAGAAAAGCTAGTTCAGATGGAAAAATATCCGAATCAAAAAGTGAGACTGATGATGTTAACAACGAAATAAAAAACAGTACACAAAAAGAAAAAGCATCAGCAGTTACAGAAAGTTTTAATTCCAATGCTTCAAAACCAGTCAAAAATTGTGTAGATTTAAAAAATGACTTGGAGGAAAAATGGAATGTGGAAAAAACAGAAAATATTACTAGAGCCGAACCGACTCAACAGGAAAAAGAAAAAAAGTTGGAATCACAGATAATTTTGACTGGTATAGTAACAAAACTGCACGAGAAACAAATGAAAAAAGTTAGCAATGAAAATTTAGATTTGATACATTCTATATTAGAATTTATATTGCATTCTTCTTGTGATATTGAGATTTTAAGGAAAGTTATGTACAATCAGGTAAGTTTTGTGCAAATTTAGTTAAATTTCGCTTAATGTCAGGTTTTGTTATTTTGAATTTTTTTTGTTTTTAGGTAAAACGTTGCAAGGCACGCAAAGATGGTCTCCAAATGATTAGTCACCTCTTAAAAGAAACATCTTTACTAAATTCAGTTAAATATTCAATAATGACTGGTTATTTGATCTTAAATAAAAAAGAAAGTTCTTGCCATTGTCTAGACAATATAGATCTTGTTACGCCGTTTCTAAAAACGGATATCCTACTATCACAACTTGCTGTTACTGAGTGGTGCATAGAAACACTAAGAGCCTACATTTTAAGAGACATTCCTGGCAAAACGAGTAAATCTAAGGGCACAAACGCTAAAGTTAACCTCAATTTAGGAACTTATACTTTGCTAAGAGATCTTCCCAGAGCTAGAATGATATTAGCTATTCTAGGAATACTATCTTCTAACAGATACAACGCACTGGAACTAAGCCCTATAGTAAACAGCGGAGTTATAAGTTCAGTATTAGGTCTATTAAAACAATGTGGATGTGATCAGGGCATCGTAAAGAAAGTTTCAGAATTTTATGTGTTGTATGCCGATATGATTGAAAGTAACAAACCGAAAACAAGCTGTTTGTCAGGTCCGGAATTAGCCAATTTAATGAAACTGGGGACTAGAGTTGTTAGAGGAGCTGACTGGAAATGGGGAGATCAGGTAATTACTTTAGATCATTTTTTAACAATCATCTAAATCACTTGACATTGTTTTCTTGTCATTAAGTGGCGTTATAACTCTGTAATAATTTAGGATGGAAACCCTCCGGGAGAAGGTAGAGTAATAGGTGAACTTGGAGATGACGGATGGGTTAGAGTAGAATGGAGCAATGGGACAACAAACAGCTACAGGATGGGCATTGAAGGAAAATATGACTTAACTTTGGCCTCGCCTCCCTCGCCTGTTACTTCTGAATCTGAAACAGAAGAACCTTCAGATCACGGTAATAAGAGAAAACATATCACATAATTTAAGGAATCTTTTTTATTTAATATTTTTTAGGAACTCAATTAGTGAAAGACAACCAACTAATAAAACTGCTACGCGATGCTAGTATCAATTTTTTAAGAAACGTTGCTATTAGCACTGGTTTGACTAAAGATAACTTACATCCGACAACGCTGCATGGTTTAAGTAGTCTATTCTGCAACTCTTTAAATGCATCTGGTTCAGAATGGGCGGATTTAACGTTAGTTAGAAGCATATGTCAATCTCATCAACTGTGCAAAGCTTTTAGTACCAAACCCTGGATAAAAATGCTTTTAGGATTTTTGTCACCACCTAATACCACTGGAGGAAATGAATCTTTTTTATTGAAACAGATACTTACAATTAGATTGCTTCAGGTCGTTTTGAAATCTTGGGACCTGGATAACCCAGATATACCTCCTCTACTCGAGAAATTGCTCAACGTTTTAGGAAAAATTATATTAACATGCTCTTACGATACATATAACAAACCCTTAACGTTAACAAAATCTTCTGTACTTTTAACACAAACTCATAGTGGTACTGTAACTCAAGAAATAATAAATTTATTAAGAATGCTACATGGGCTAGTAGGTTGGAACCAAATCCTTAACGCTATGCTGATTCAAAAGTTAAATTTAGCAGCTTATTTATTGAGTGACGCTTGTTTTCCTACCATGATATCTGAAACATCCTCTTCAGATCAACAACATTACATGGTTGTTGCATGTCTTAACGTAATTGGTGCTTGGGATGCGAGACCTAGAATAGGTGCATTGGCTGAAGTTGAAGGGTCACAAGGAACAGTCATTAGGATAACTCCTAAAGGAAAGTTGTGGATTCAAGTTCATGAGAACGGAGAAGTTAAAAAAATACCAATAAATAGTTTGAAGCTGGTAGGAGACTCGGAATTTAATTTTGACAGAATGGTACTTGGTGAAAATTTTGTGAAGACATGGGCCAACCTTTTGATGTTCAGACATTCTCTAAATAATCACGAGAGAAAGTCCCATCATGGTAAGTCTAGTCTTGTACATATTAAGTAATTTTTATGCACCAAAAAAAAGGAGTATTCTGTAAATGTCTAGTAATAAAAATTTTAAATAACGCAATAGTCCATCGTTAGTTACAATAGTAGCGTTAATTTTAAGGCTTTTAGAAAGATGGTGCTGAAATGCAAAATTAATTTTCGATTACTCAAACATTGAAACATAGTACATGATAGGGTAGCAATTTTTTTTTGTGAAACTATTAGTTTTCAAAATATTTGAAATTTTACAAATGATAATTTGTATTAACCGCTTGTTTAATAATTGTTTAAATGATTGCAACTTTTATCAGTACTATGGATGCACTGCATAAGTGTGACGTCAGAGCCATGCTGTCGTTGTCATTTTAACAAAAAAGTTTTGATTTTTTTTTATTTAATTTATGTACACAGTGTACCTGGTGCCCTAAAAGTCGCTTTACCGAAAACAATAGAATAAAAAAATACAATTTTATAAATATTTATAATTTGATAATAAATGTTCCTATTCATTTGGTAATTAACGTTCATGGCGCAAGGAATTGATTACTAGAAATGAACCGCAAATTTAAATTATATTGTTTTCGGTAAAGCGACTTTTCGGCCACCCCTGTATGTACGTAAGTTTGGCGGCATTTGCAAAACTTTTTTATTATTAATTTAAGGAAAACAGTTATTCTTCATCAAAAGTGGTGCATGGTCTGAAACCGAAAATCTATCAGTCGCATACGAGGTTTTATCAAAAAAATTAAAGGTACTTTACTCTTGAGCAAAATAATATTTTTTGACAAACTTCGTATACGACTGATAAAGTTTATTATTAGATGGTCGCATTTTAGATTTAGACCATGCACTACTTTTTATGAAGAATAACTTTTCCCTAAAATTAATAATAAAAAAGTTATTCATATGCCGCCAACTTACGTAGAATGTAGACACAATGTATTTGGATACATATGAAAACCTTTTTTATTATTAGTTTTATTAAAAAAATGTATTCTTCATAAAAAATAGTGCATGGTTCAAAGCCAAAAATACAACCTTCAGATATCCAATTTTATGAGTCTTATACGAGCTCTGTCAAAAAAATTATTTTTGTTAAAGAGTAAAGTACACTCGTTTTTTACAAACCTCGTATACGACTCATAAAATTTGATATCTGATGGTTGTATTTTAGGTTTAAGACTATGCATAATTTTTTATGAAGAATAAGTACATTTTTTTGATAAAACTAATAATAGGTTTTTTCCATATGTATCCAACTTACATGGACACACTATACAGGGCGCTAGTATATTCGAGCTCTCGTTAATTGATGAATTTTGATATGCACCCTTAAAGGACTTAGTAACCGAGATACATGGTGTTAAAAGTTTGAATTCAAATTTCAAATTTTGCCATAAATCGAAAACGCCTTTAAATATTTTGAGAAAGTAATAATTTGACATAAATGAACTTTTGAAAATTTTAACCAGTGGTGTGCTATCAGGGTTAAAGGCAACTTTTTCCCACACATTTTTACGCCGCTGCAACAATTAGTTTTTTAATTTGCTGTTCATTTTTAGTTAAAAATAACCTTTAATTTAAAAATTGTATGGTGCTAAAACGAATTGTATGCGCTAGTTCAGTGATGATGTAATTATGGTTCCACTGACAATTAAAGTGACAGTAGATTTTTGAGTGCGTTTTGTTTACCTAAATTATATCGTTTTTTTCACTTTTATAAATATATTCCTAAAGTAAATAGATAGAATGTATCAAATATGCAATCGTTTAGTTACCAACTTTAAACTATTTTTATGACCTGTAAACAATATTTTGAAATAAAATAAAAACAGTAAAAACGTAAATGTCAAATTTATTGATGTTTTTGTTAAAAGTTTGGTTAGAATTAAATGTCAGTGGAACCAAAATGACATCACACTGAACTAGCGCATAGTAGACATTTGCTTCTAAACAAAAGTCTACATGTACTTAGATCATTTGTAACGACTCAATATTTCTAAATTCTAATCGAGTAGGCATGTGTCAAATTTTTAATAGTTCGTATAGGGACCGTGCGTGAAATATAGAGGCAGCACTACTGCCGAAGTTAGCCCTCTCTAGTGTTTAATTTTAGAATTAAATGGGGTAAACATTGCAAGTAAATAATAGAGGATATTTTTTAAAATATTAAATATAGTTAAAAATAGATACCGGCCCGTACCAAACAATCGTGTACATGGTCAAAATGAAATGAAAATTTGAAACATTATTAAAATCTGGACATGTATATACATTTTAAGCAAAAAGATTTAAATGGCTAAGGGACAATAAATTGTAAAGTTGTACCTTTAAACAAGTGTATCCAATGTCAAAATATCGGTATTTAGTAACACTGAATTTAAAAGTATTACAATAACATTTAAAAAATGTAAATTAATAAAAAAGATTGATAGTAATAATAATAAATCTTTTTAGCTTTGTTAGTCGAAATGTCATTCATCCACTGACGTTTATGAGATGTCCAATGATACATATTATAGATTGCTCACCCATCTATAAAAAAAAATATGAAAAGCCGGTTGCAATGTGCCTTTCCTAGAGCTCACTAAATAGAGCCGTTCTAGCCCAAATGTGTTTTAAAATAAAATTTCAGCATTTTAATCTATAGAAAAAGAAAATAATTAAAGTGTTACTTCAAGACATGTTATTATGTATTTGGAAAGTTGAGTTCCATGTAGTTAAATAATATTAAGAGATCTAGGGTGAGATTACAGAACGTTGCAGATCTGCAAATATGGCGGACTTACAAATATTCTAAAAACTATCTGCAAATTCGCAATATTTATTGTGGTTTATTACTCCCAACAACACTAAACCCAAATTTGGAATACGAAAACTTCATGTGTACTCATAACTTGCATGTGTAAGTCAGTCATATTTGCAGATTTTCAAAGTTGCCGCCATATTTGCAGATCTGCAAAGTTGCAGACGTTCTGTAATCTCACCCCTAAACAATTTTTATAACAGATTGATTTAAATAATTTTAGACTACTCTCATTTCAGAAATAATACTACATAAAATACTTAATTGCAATATGTAATATAATTTTGAAAAGGTAATGTAAACAACTTTGATATGAGGTATAAACAACTTTGGTAAGAGTTGAAATTGGACACTTATCTATTATTCTGAATAATGTTTAATGGTAATGTCACTAAAAGAATTTACAAAAAATCACTTGATTTTTAATATTTTAAAGTTTGTTGCAATCTCTTTTGACAGTAATTGCAATGTATTTTTTTTTTAATTTGGTGTCAACGGCGTCGACTACTACGGCCATTAGCCTCGTGTTCTGTGTAGGCTTTGTTACTGTTTTCCAGCGCCCCTTTAGGAACAGCACTGTTAATTAGAACCCAACAGTGAATGGTCGAGTGGGGAATCCTACCAAGGCATCAGAATTAATTTTAAATAATTAAATTAAATTAAAAAATCCCGGCCAACGGTGGGATTTGGTCCTGAGACCTTCCGATCTCAAAGTCATGACTCGAACCACTGAGCCAACCCACCCCCCAATTGCAATGTATTATTTATGATTTGTTTATTTTAATAATAAATGAGAAATAGTTAATAAATTGTAAAGAGGGCCATGATATTTTTGTCAAATTGGCCATGATATTTTTGTCAAATTGGCCATTCTTATTTCATAATAACATTCTACATTAGTTTTAATCAACAGAATAAACCATTAATTATCTGTAAACTTATATTTATATAAAATGTTCATTTAAATATGTAAAAATCTTAATGACAAGACAACACTAACGATTCTAATTTCTAAACCGGTTCTGTAAATGATTTCTTTACAACTAAGTGCTCAAAATTGATACAAGCTAGATAAAAAGAAAACTTTGCCCAGTGAAATACGCTTTTCGTCGTCTGATTTACATGTAAGCAATCTTTGTAATTATGTATATCATTGGGTGTGAGACATTAATTGTTGTGCTCTGTGGAAATTTATAAACTTTCTTTACTTTCGAATGAAATCCAGGTTTCCAAAGTGATGTGTTTGAACATCCACGGATGCAACAAATTTTTTCGATAATGATATTACGAAAATAATTCGACTTTATTTAATTAATAATTATTAAACAATAAATGCCGTATAAAACATTAATAAATACCCCCCATAAAGTTCACATTTTTGTCACCAGTTAGCGTTAAAGTCATGACGCACGGTCCCTATATTTGACAAGATCTTATAGTCCAGGATCTGTAAGTAAGGTCGACCTTCACCCATCTGTTTAATGGATAAAAGTTTTTTTTTATTAGATAAAATATGTTTTTAAATATACCGCAAATGGGTTGCCTAAAAAAATACGGTCACGGCCATTTTTTGCTTTCCTTTCTGTGTACAGACGAGGAAAGTATAGAAATCATGATAAAAGTTGCTTATGATATCATTCTCTATTATTTTGTCCCTATACATGATTTCCCTAAAATGGACCTAATCCGAGATATTTAAGAAAAATTGCAAATTTCGAATTTTGAAGACAACTCAAAAACGGATAAAGAGAAAAACACCAAATTTTAAACTTAGGCTTTAATCGATCCTGCGGTGATCTGATTAAAGTTTGGGCATAATCGAAGCATCTGGGAAATACTTTACAGGGTGTTGTTTTTTTATTTTTAGAAAATAAATACTCTGGACCGTATTTTCTTAGGCAACCCTTTTGCAATATATTTATAAACATATTTTATTTAATAAAAAGAAACTTTCATCCATTAAACAGATGGGTGAAAGTCGACCTTATTTCGGATCTTAGACTATTAGTATATCAAATTTGAAAAAAACATTTAAAGACGTTTTTAATTTATGGCAAATTTTAAATTTTGATTTAAACACTGTTAACACTCTGTATCTCAGTATTTAAGCCCTTCAAGGGTTAACCTTCATATATTAAAATTCATCAATTAACGGTAGCTCTCAGGGATAGAGTATTGTCGGTTCAATATACTAACACCCAGTATATTATAAAAATAAATTTACAGGTTTATAACAAAATTATTGAGTTATCTCGAAAATAATAGAAATAAAATTTAAATTGACAATTAACCCTTATTTGTATTTAATATTTTACAGATTTAATTACCAAACGTATTGTATTTATAAGCGCTTCACTAATACAGAATGGCGCGAAAATGTTTTTTTTTAAATTCCTTTTAAATTTGTTTAAAATAAATACTTTTTGATGGTTTGCAAACAATTCAAGGTTTCTGCACCCTAAGTTCTGTTATTATTGTTATTTCCTGAAAATTCACAAAAATCGGAATGTAAATAAAGGCTCAAAAGGCTCTTAAATAATTGAAGTAATTTAATTTGACGTTTGTTGACACATACAATAAATTTAATATTTAAGAACCTTGGGTAAGATACTTATATTATAAATTGAAGAACCTTGGGTAAGATACTTACATTATAAATTAAAGTAAATGCTCGAAATTGTTTCCGCCTTCATAGATGCTTACGTTAAATCGATTAAAATTAAGGTAAAATATTGCTGTCCCAGTAGTTTTCCATAAAGTATTTCTATTTATTGTGGCAACTTCTAAATTTTGTTAAATAAGTCTGCCGTACATAAATCTGTAAGGAAATTTTACACTAATCACCCTTTATCAACTAACTATTGGCTTTATTTTTAGGACAAGTCAATTTGGCTTACTTAAGAACCCAGCAGAACATTTTATGCACACTTAATGCAACCAGAATTCTCCATGGTAACCAGTACAAGCTCAGGAAAGTTTTAAAATATCCTGTGAATGGCATCGATCAATCTCAAGAACAACAGTCTATAGAAGAAGAATTAAATCAACAACCGATTCTTTTAATTCAGAAATTACTTTCAAAGTCCATTCAACCGAGTCCTCTAAAACCTGGCTTCACCATTCAAGAGATGCAACTGGCAGCTCTCAATTTGAGTCAGTTTCTGGCGGCTGAAGGTTGTTTTGAGACTCCTAGTAATATAAATAATGACAAGGTTACTCCCAAAAATGGTACTCGATGTAATAGTGAATTAGCAACTCCAAATAGCGAGTGTTCTGTTAATAGCGTTGTCAGTGAGAGAACAAACAAAAGAAGAGAGTTAGAAGATGAAACACCAGTCCACCCAATGGTTTCTCAAATAGTGGAAATGGGGTTTACAAAAAAAGCAGTTGAAACTGCTATAAAATCATTAGCAATAGCACCTGATTACATGTCACCAGAATCTATAGTAAGTTGGTTACTAGAACATCCTGAAGTGGCAGCTGAAGATAGTGACTCCTTGAGTTCAGTTTATGACTCAGAAACCGAATCAATTTCATATGATAATGCTCTAGGGGCCCAATCTACTAACCCCTACGGTGATGAAAAACATCAGACTTATGCTAGGCGATCACAATTTCTATCTACCGATGAATATGCAATGTATGTACGCGATAATGCAGAAGTTGGCATGTTAGTCCGATGTTGCAAGAGTTACGAAGAAGTGCAATTAGGAGATATAGGAAAAATAGTGAAAATAGATAGAGAAGGGCTGCACGATCTGAACTTACAAGTTAACTGGCAGCATAAAAGTACCTACTGGGTGCGATTCATCCACATCGAACTATTGGGTTTTCCGCCATCTTTACCTGCTCCTTCTGTCATTAAAGTAGGAGATAAAGTCAGAGTTAAATCTAATGTTACTACGCCCAGGTATAAGTGGGGTTATGTTACTCATGATAGCGTTGGGATTGTGACAGCTATTTCTCCAAACGGACATGACTTAACTGTTGATTTTCCTAAACAGCAAAATTGGACCGGACTTTTAACTGAGATGGAAATAGTGCCGTCCTGCCATGATGGCGTCAGCTGCAATGGGTGTTGTATAATGCCAATCAGAGGAGCTAGATTCAAATGCAAGACATGTGAAAGCTTTGATTTATGTGATAATTGTTTCTACACAAAGAAAAATCATAGGCATTCGTTTTCTAGAATTGACGAACCAGGTATAACAAAAAGAAAATATTATGTAGTAATAAATGTTTTATATTCATTAATTTTTTCTAGGAACCCCTGAAGTATATGCTGGCAGAGCTGGTCGGTACTACAGGCATGACACTGTTGATTTAGAAGGAGAACTTATAACAGAATGGAGCAGAATTGTTAAAAATGTCACAGTTTCTTCAAAATATGCAGTACGATTTGAAATACCTGGTACGGTATGGCAAAGTTGTGGATCTCAAGGAAAACACTGGATCAGATTGGACATATATCCTGATATAACAATAAAAACTTTAAAAGTGGGAGTAGATCCTAGTGATAATAGCTACATGCCATCCGCTATTGTTATCAATGGAGGTTATGCCATTAATTCCATGACAGAATTAAATGTAGTCAATGTGAAGAATCATGATACATCCGTTTTACTCCTATCAAACATGGAAAAAGTAAGTATTTGCCTATTAAATTATGGATGTAGAGATGGTTGTTAACCCTATTACTATTATACATTGCTTCTCAAAAGTTCTCTCTCCCACTATTTTCTTTTGAACGGCGATACTTAGACTGATGAAATTTGGAGGGTGAAAATGAACTATTGTAAGCTTCTCTACTAGTGGTAACAGATGACGCAATAGTCATCGATGACGTCACTAGGTGACTGGAACCAATAATATTAAATGATACCTTATTGCAAGTAACACCTCGTTTGAAAGGGATTTAGAATACTTATTTAGTCATTTTAATGATGTAATTTTGATGGATAAAATATATAAACACTATAATTTGAGTCGCTTTTAATTAAAAATTCAAGAACCAGTTCTTATAATAATTGTTCAAAATGTGCTATATCTGTAATTATTTCCAGACTGTTATGTCGTGGTCTTTCTTGGTTATTATTACCAAATGTTTCAGCTGCAACTGTGGTAGTCATCTTCAAGGGCGTGGACGAAGTACTCTCCATCTACTTCCTGGCAGTGAAAAGTCTAATTATTAAACTCTTGAGGACCCTTTCAAATGTGTCAAGGGAAATTGCCCTACATTCTTCAACAATTTGTTGTTTTAAAACGTCATTACTGTCAGGAGTTGTAGCGTAAACCTTAGATTTAAGGTACCCCTCAGAAAAAAGGTGTTAGATCCGGGGACCGAGCTGACCATTCTATTGGACCGTGCCGTCCAATTCGTCTACCAGGATATTCCTCATTTAGATAACGTCTTACTACGAAGTAGTCTTGTTGAAACGTTATTTCCAAATTACCAAATTCATCTAGATTATCTTCCAGAATTTGAAGAATTAACGGTTCAATTGCGTTTTCTAACATCTCCAGATATACTGGTTGAGTTAGAATCCAAAAAATAGGCCGGACTATGTGGTTCCTAAAATTCCTGCCCAGGCATTTACTTTTGTCAAAAACTGTGTATGTTTTTCACGAAACATGAGGATTTTTGTCACTCCAATACCTCGCATTTTGAGTATCAACATTTCCATTATAAGGAAAAAATACTTTCGTCACTAAAACATAGTCTGGCTGCTGGACAATTTTAGTGGACATATTTTCACAAATTCCAGCCTTTGGTCAGGGTTGTCATCTGGAAGTTGATGCACCATTTTTAACTTATATGGGTGAAATTTGTTTTTGGTCAACACCCTGTGTACTGTACTATGACTAACTTCACAGGTAGACACAACTTGCGCTGTGGAAGAAGTAGGGTTTACTACAATTTCTTCAACTATATCAATTTGTTTATCAATACTAATATTTGGTTGACCAGATGGTTTGAAATTGTGAATACTACCTGTTCTTTGAAGCTTATGAAGATTCTTCCTCAAATAAGTCGTCGATATAGGGCGATCGGGGTACCTCTCATTAAAAATGAGTTCCGCCGCACGCATATTGTTTCCACTTTCTCTAATTATTAAGATAGCTGTTATTTTGTCAGCTAGAGCACGTACCATTTTGTTTATGTAGATACTCAAACGTCTCGTTAAACAATAAACTAAAAATTCAAGATATTAACAAGTGTAAAAACTTTTTGACCATATCCAGACTTTTGAATCTTTATTAATTAAAAACGAAACTGAAATTATAGTGTTTATTTATTTTATTCATCATTAAAATAATCGTAAATCCAGACAAAATTAGTATGACTGAATAGGTATTCTAAATACCTTTCAAACGAGGTGTCACTTGAGACATAAGGTCCTATTTAATATTATTGATTCCAATCGCCTTGTGACGTAATCGATGACTATTGCGACACCTGTTACCACTAGTAGAGAAGCTTACCATAGTTTATTTTCACCCTCCAACTTTCATCAGTCTAAGTATTACCGTTCAATAGAAAAAAGAGGAGAGGTGACTTTTGAGAAGCACTGTATAACATTAATATTGTTCATATTGCCTAATTAAAGTGACCCACATGTAAATCCTTAAATATAAAAATGTCATAATGAATATCCAAGAAAATGACACTAAATCAATCCCACATAAAATATTTTACTAAAATATAACAATTGGTTTAGGCCAATTAAAAGAAAACAATGATGTTGACAAAAAAAGTAAATGGTGTTAACGTATGCTTACAGTATATGTTTGAATCTGACCAATAACAGCCAAGACTCATTCATCATGTTAAACTTCAACGCATGTAACCCTGCTCTCTCTCCCCGTTTTCCCTGTTTAAATCGTCCCAATAGCAACGACTACGCCTACTGCGCAGGATTCAACGGTCATCGTATACGATGGTCACCATCTTCCTCATCTCCACACCTCCCCGCCACTAGTTCTTCATGTCTCTAGGTTAGATCGCTACCACGGCAGGATCAAAAAGGATAGAAAATGGCGTTAGGTTAGACCGGTTAGACGGTAGGTTAAAAAGGATAAAAATGGCGAAAATGGCGCCCAGGGCTGGTATATCTAAGGGGGTCGCGACATAGACCCAGTAAATCGATGAGGGGGTGACTGAGGCTAGGGGGGAAATAGTAGTCAGCTTAAGTTGGCAACACTTTTCTGATGTTCGTTTGAACGAGCATCGTGCATAATAATGTCAATATGGTACAAGTGGAATGGACTACTGTTTTCCTCGTAGTAGTCGTGTCCAATGTCGAATTAAAACTAAAAACATTTTGTACTTTTTATATACCAAATTATGCAATTTGTTTCCACTTTATTTTATTGTTACATGAATAGGTACATGCGTTTGTGCTGTGGTAAATAAGTGTTCATGTGAAAATTATATCTTAAACTACATTGAGACTGCACTCATCTCGAAACTGAATGCTGTAAATCCAGGATTTAAATCTTTCATAGTGTTGCTTGGGATAAATTGTAAAAAAGGTGTTGGACAAAACGTTTACAACCTAAAATTGCATGAAAAACACGATAGAAGAAGGAATTTTACCTTTATGACATTCTCTTTCAACATTTTTAAGTGACTGTGGTTTGGTGAATGGACTGTTACCACAATCAAAAGATTCAAAGTAAAAAAAGTGACCAAGTTCTAATAAGAATACATAAGTTGAATATGAAAATGTAATTACTTGATTTAAATGTGATTTAATTAAGAGTTACTTAGATGTTTCATATAAACAAAGTGCTGTAAAGTGTTAATAAATGCAAAACCATTATTAAAGAGAAATTAGCTATCATCAATAAGATATTTTGTAGTAGCTGGTCTCTATAAATAATAAACTTGAAAGACTGAATTAGTAGTCACTTTTACACTAGAAGTAAAAACAAAAAAAAAAGTGTGGTTGAGACTAATTATTTTAGTTTAATAATCTTTATAAATTGTGGGTACATTTGATCCAAATCTTGCAAATACTATAAAATGCATATGCTTCTATATGGTTAGTATTGGAGTAGAAGCACAAAAGTTTTGAATAAAAATATATTCTTTAAATACAATTTTCACTAGATATGCTAATTTTGGTAATTTTCTATTCGAAACCATACATGTTTTCTATTATAGTTTTCATACGTTTATAATTCTGGAGATACCGGAATATTTTGCTTGATTACTAAACTTTGGATGTTTTTGTTGTAGTCTGCTGTTAACACTATTGTCCTGAAATATTAAAAAAGCTAGACAAAGGTTTGTCCAACTCTTTTGTCAGCTGTGTTATCTATGCTACTGTTATTCTGCATGCAGACATTTTTTACTGGAGATGTTCTCTAAGAACTATTCAGTTTCAAATTTCGGCCAGTTTTAGGAAAGTACCTCTGTTGTAAAGGTATTTCAAAGCCATCCTTTGTGAGATGTAGACAACAAATACATGCTAAAATGTACAGAAAACAAATCGCAAGATATTACACAAAATTATTTAAATTAACTAAAAACATACAAATGAAGTGAATAATACCTACCAACAATTTAAAAAGACCTAAAATAAATAGACTTAAGGGACTGGAGCTCTAAAAAAGGGAGCAATAATTTGTTATGCATCATCTATAAGAAAATTGTCTTCATCTCTTCAGTTACCTTTTAAAATAAACAAAACCAAAACAGCACAAAATTGAAAGTGATCTACTTTTCCCGACGTATTCTATGTACATCTGAGATTAATAATTTATTAAATTGAAATATTTTATCCTAAAAAATATGGGCATTTTATAATGGAAATGTCATTTAAAAAATGACATTGATTTTTTTCTTATATTGGTAAACCTGGCGACTACAAGCTGCCACGTTGCCAGATCAATGGCGACTACTATGTGACTACTATTTCGAAAAAAATGGCGTCCAAAATGGACTCCTATGTCGCGACCCCCTTAGATATACCAGCCCTGATGGCGTCGGACCTATATATGTCATCAGAGCTATCAATTCTCAGGTTATATGATTTTTTGACGTGTTAGGTTAGCCAACTTAAGAAATATGGTCGCTTTGACATGTTAGATTAGGTTAGCCAACTTCGGAGCTATATTAGGTTAGCACCGCTACTGGCAGATGTCATATGTTAGGTCACAGCTCACATAGGTCCGACTCCATCTCCCCTTACTGTGCCACCACCCTGCCTCCATGTTAGTGCCGCTATCTTGAAAGTCTTTGACAGTTGGCGTCTGTGGCGACATCATAGCACCACATAGTCTTACCTTTAGTTTTGACTTTTACGTCAATTTATTTTAAGGTTTCTTATAGCGGATTCGACTCAAATGCTCTTGCTCGATGTCAAAGCGCTTTTAGTTCTGAATTGATTTTGGGCAGCATTTTTATAATCCAAATTTATATCTAGCAGTGCACAAAGTAAGTACGAGCTAGAGTTCGACATTGGTGTAGCGCATCTTTATCGTTATTCGACTGGCACAGTTAGCACTTGACATTTCAGGTTTATAACAAATTTTTAACGATATTTATTTATAGTTGCCTAACTAAAAATTAAATCTCTATTAATTTCAAAGATTTTCCATTCTCACTAATAATAAAAACAGAGATGGTAATACATTTAAAAATATCAAATAATTCCTAACCTCCAAAATGACACTGGCACTGAAAAAAAGTACAGTTCCAAAAAATTCGAACTTTGAGCAAGAGCGCCAGCCAGTCGAACAAAAATTTGACTATGCCTTGGTACCAAGCAATTTGAGTCGAATGCAATAATTGACTTTTAATTAATTATGTTTTGTCAGTCGAACAGACAACACTTAAAAAAGTCGAACTAAATGCGCATTAATGCAGCCAGTCGAATCCGCTATTAGTCAGTTTTTATTTGAGGTTGGTCAAGTGTCAATGTCAGATGGTACCATTATAATATCACATATATTATGATCTTGATCGATAGCTGCGTACACTAGCACCCTACTTATCCGATGGATGGTAACCATGGAAAAAGGAAACAAAAGATTGATGATTACTGATTTCGAAAAAACAAGACAAGACGTACCTTTGACACAACAATTTTTATATAACGCTTTTCATATTTTAAAATAAAATTATCTTTTAATTACTGAAATTCTGATTTCCTGCTATCTACAGCGTCTTCCATCTCGTTGAGACATTTGCGCCATCTACTGGCAGGTACCATTGTTGGCAACACTGTTGATGTTTGGTTGGCAACACTGGATTAACAAATGACTTGACAGCTGGCAACACGGTTAATAGATGGTTGGCAACATATGCCGCGCACGCGCAGTTCAAAAGTGTTCCGGGCCTCCACGAGTGTTGAAAGTGACAGTGGGAAATATTGTCGCACGAGGCATAAGCCGATTGCGACAATCTCACGAGTGTAAAACCTCACTTTTACCCAAGTGATATACAATATTTTTGCCACAAAATAATTTTATCGAAAAAAGTAAAAAACGTTATTGCAGTTTTAATTATTTCTTATACATTATTTTATTTTTATTCTTTATTCGTTAACAATTTTATTTGAACAATTTATTTGATATGAAATTAATTTTCTATTATGCATTTGATAAGAAAGTCATTTTCTATTGTACAGGGAGTGCCGTTGTTACTGTTTTTATTTTTTTTGTTTCATTATTTTATTTTAAAATACAACTTGGTTAATAATTCCGGTGTTTCTTTTATTTTATTACCGTTTTATTTCAGGATACCGCTTGGCAATATTTTAACTCCACTGTGTTTGCTTTGGGTGTGCATTAGGTACACTCCAGGGTCGCAGAGTTTTTTGAGTTACCAAAACTAGGGCCCGGGCAACCCTTGTCCTAGAGAACAGCCTGGCGCTAACTACGCCTTTCCCATTCGTCACTAGGTGAAATGGAAAGGCTTGTCATATTATCTACTTACTATTTTTTTCTAAACAGTAATCAAAATAGTACAGAGTAAATTGCGGAGATATTAACTATAGTGGGTATATTATTATAAATAAAATGTATTTAAAATAATTAGTTTTTTCTTATTTTCATATTTTACAAATTAAAAATTAAAAAACGATTGCTTCTATCGGGACTTAAAATGGCGTCGCAACGTGGTCGCGACATGTAAAGTTGAAAAAAGATAAAAATCAATGTAGGTATTTTAATAATTTGTTAAAAATAAATATCTAGGATCTAGATATAAAAATAAATTTTAAAAATTTGATCATCAAATAAATTTTACTGTTAATCTGGACATTACACATATATCAAAATAGAAATTATACGTTTGACATATTTGACTTCGCAAATATGCCCTCGTTACACACAATAAGGCTTTTTGTAACTGGTGAGCTATTATGTGGGATTGTTTAGTGTCATTTTCTTACTATATGTCATTTAATTATTTGAATTCTGGTAAGCTGACATGCTTTACATGTTTTTCTATCGATTTCATAAATGTTTGTTAATAATTGAGGAACCATAACCCCATTTATTTGAATTTTACTAATTACAGTAACGATTCAAAGCATGATTGAAATATCACGCCATTTCCCAACTTTACTTTTTCTTTAGTTTATCGGAGATTAAGTACGAATATTTTTCAGCATTATCCACTGATCGAAATTAATATAATAAAATGTAGAAATAACGGAATAGACTGCAAAATTCATGGTATTACAGTAGTTGGTATTAAAAAACAATCCTATGGCGAATTAAAAACATCAGTTTCCTTTTTGGCTAATGATTGGGACTTGAGTCAGGAATCTACACCGGGACCGTCTTTGGTCACAGTCAGTAAGTTATTTATCTCAACTTATTATTAATTTTTGGTTATTATGTCATTTCTTAATCAAGAACAAACCAGCAGCATCGTGATATCTATATTAATTTCTAGCACAAGAATCAAATAGTGAATCATCACAAAACACAAATGGCGGCAAAGTATATGTTTGGGGTTTAAATGATAAAGATCAGTTAGGAGGAATGAAAGGTTCGAAAGTTAAACTACCCATTTTATCCGATTATTTGGGCCAATTAAAGCCCATTCACATAGCAGGTGGATCAAAATCACTTTTTATTGTATCCCAGGAAGGTAAATTATATGCCTGTGGTGAAGGTACTAATGGAAGGTTAGGCTTAGGCCATAATAATAATATTGGTACTCCAAGGCCTATACCATTTTTAAGTCAGTATGTTATAAAGAAAGTTGCTGTACATTCTGGTGGTAAACATGCCATGGCTCTTACCTTGGATGGAAAAGTATTCTCTTGGGGAGAAGGCGAAGATGGTAAATTAGGACATGGGAATCGCCTTAATTTAGACAAACCCAGGATGATAGAATCGTTGAAAAGCAAAAAGATCAGAGATATAGCCTGTGGCAGCTCTCATTCAGCAGCTATAACTAGTAGTGGAGAATTGTACACTTGGGGTCTAGGAGAATATGGACGTTTAGGCCATGGCGATAATGTAACTCAACTCAAACCAAAATTGGTAAAGGCCTTGGTAGGCCACAGAATTATCCAAGTAGCTTGTGGTAGTAGAGATGCTCAAACTCTAGCTCTTTCGGATGAAGGACTGGTGTTTTCTTGGGGAGACGGAGATTTTGGTAAATTAGGACGAGGAGGTTCAGAAGGATGCAACATTCCTCATAATGTAGAAAGATTAAATGCTCTTGGGGTTCTTCAGATCGAATGTGGTGCTCAATTCTCATTGGCACTTACCAAAGCAGGTAATTACCATAATAGTTTGTGTTTTTTTTGTATTCTTATTTTGTACTACTAATTTTTTGTAGGTGACATTTGGACGTGGGGCAAAGGGGACTATTTTCGACTAGGTCACGGCACAGATCAACATGTTCGAAAACCAACAGTAATAGACACTCTTAGAGAAAAAAAAGTTATTCATGTTGCAGTTGGAGCTCTACATTGCTTAGCTGTGACAGAAAACGGTCAAGTTTATGCTTGGGGCGATAATGATCATGGTCAACAAGGAAATGGTACAACAGTAGTCAACAGAAAACCAGCGTTAGTTCATGGTTTGGAAGATGTTCATATTAACAGAGTCGCTTGCGGTAGTTCGCATTCCATAGCTTGGACTTTACAGGATTGTCAAACTATTTCAAAGGTAGAACCTGTTATTTTTCCAGTAGCGAAAGATCCCCTTGGATCATCTATTTTGGGACTTTATGTTGGAGAAAAACCTCAGATAAGACTGAAGGACAAAAACGCACCTACTCTGAGTGGTATAGTAATGTCTCTAGAGAGCAATACTGCAAAGCAACAAGCTTTGCAACATATTTTAAACGCCATGCACATACAACAACTAAGGCAATCTATAGTAAAAGCTCTGTGTAGTCATACCAACATTAAAAATAATACTAAGGTAATAATTCCCGCTTATAATAACTTTTTAAATATACCACAATTTTTCAATTTTATTCTTAGCAAACTAGTTCTACTGAGACACCATTGGAAAGATCATTTGTTAATGGAAGTGTACTTTATAAAGATGGAGAAATTGCATTTGGAGGTGGAGAAGCCCCAGTTTCTATTGCCGAAATTGCTGCAGTTACGGTAAATTTTCTTTCTCTTCATATTTATAGCTTTCTCACTTCAAATAAAATATTGCCCTTACACCAATCAGGATTTAGGAAAGGACACAGTACGACAACAGCTATATGTCACTTAACTGATTCTATAATAACTGGATTGGATGATAGTCAAGCTTCAGTTCTTGTGTTGCTTGACTATAGTAAAGCATTTGACACCCTCAACCATCTGCTATTAATCTCTAAATGTAGTTACTATGGTTTTAGTGACAAATCTCTTAATCTTAGTAATCGCTCACAAAAAGTTCAAATAAATAATCAGTCATCTGGATTTGAGTCCATAAAATCAGGCGTACCACAGGGCTCCGTCCTAGGTCCCTTACTCTTTCTTCTGTATACGTCAGACTTGTGTGAACAAACTCTGACATGTAAAATCCAGTTTTTTGCTGACGATACCCAACTACACCATTCATTTCATTCCATTAATGCAGAGGTAGCAAGTAAAGCGGTTAATAAGGACCTAGCTAGAATAAAAACATTTTCCTTGGATCATAATCTGCATTTAAATCCATCAAAATCCAAATCAATCATATTTTCTAATGCCCGATCTCGATCTTATATTAAAAATAATTTTTCCATAAAACTTGATGATGAGACAATTCCTATGGTACATGTAGCCAGAAGTCTGGGCTTACTACTGGATGAGAATCTTCGATTTATTGAACATATCAACAGTTTGTCCACTCAATGTTATCTAATTCTCAAACTTCTATACGCTAATAAAGATTTGCTCTCAATGAATATGAAAAAATATTTATGTGAAACTCTAATCCTTAGCAAAATTTCTTATTGTCATATAATTTTTTATCCTTGTCTAGATTCAATAACATCTATAAGGCTTCAAAAAATTCAGAATACATTTTGTCGATACATATTTGGTTTACGCAAATATGATCATATTTCCCAAAGCTTTAAAGAACTTCGGTGGCTAAATATCAGTAATATGTATAAGTATCATTTGCTATCATTGGTGCACAAAATAATACACACTCAAAGTCCAATATATCTTTCTCGTAGGTTAATTTACAGAAATCAAATGCATAATATTAATGTACGTGAGCAATCTACGTTAACAATGCCCCGCCACACACATGCTATTTTTGAACGCAGTTTCTCATACTGTGCTGTTAAATATTACAATGAACTTGACAATGATTTAAAGAATACCCATTCATATACTGATTTCAAGCGTAAGCTCAAAAATATCCTGCTTCATCAACAACGATGATCAAATTAAATTGTGTAATTTTTAATTTAATGTATTAATAATTCAATTATTATTTATTTGCATTAACATTTTAGTTAAATGATTGTTTTTTTTTTTTAATTTTTAATTTTTATTATAGTTTTTTGTTTTTATAATATTATTTATCGATCCTGTTAAAAGGGTTAGATGGAAGAATAGCTGTAGGCTAAATCTCGCCCTTACAATGCATTTTTGTAATTTTCAAAAATTTGAATAAAGACGTTCTATTATTATTATTATATTCAAATTTGGCATTTTTTGTTATGAAATTTTCAGAGTCCGAATCCAACGTCCCCCGAGGCTGAAGAAAACCCAGCAGCTGTACTTTTACAATCAATGACAGCAAGCAGTTGCTCGGCTAGTATCTCTTCTAAACATTCTAGAATGTCGACTAGCGCTATGTCAGTAATTGCCGCTACTCTAACATCACATGCAGAAGTTATAGGTAAAAATACGCTATAGTGTGACGTAATTTGTGTTAACAGTTAACTTTTAACAAAAAAAAGTTATTGAATTTGGCATATACGTTTCTATTTTTTTTTAATCTTGTTTGCAGGCCAAAAAACTTATTTAAAAGCACCAACCAAATTATTTCTAATGTTAAAATGAAAACAATAGAAATAAAATGTTAATTGAATAACCGTAACCTCTATTTTAATGTCTTCTGTCATTGTTAGCGAATCACAAATCATTAATAAAGTGGGTATTTTCATTTGACGATTAATATTTCAAATTTTGATTGTCAACAATTATTAAAAGAAGCAAGTTAAACACCTTTGACTTTTTTCCAGGTGACAATGGATTTAGCGGTTTAGACGAATTTACTTCATTATTGACAGAGAATGATGCTAGATTACTGGTAGATCTCTTAAAACTGGCGGTAGCAGATAGAATCGAAGACGATCAAGCTAAAGATATTTTGTCATCGGTATTAATAAGTAATTGTTTCAAACCTATGAAATTACAAAATTACTATATGTATTGTGTTTTTTGTAGCTATGGGAAACTCAAATCGATCAATAGGAGCTATGTTGCTAGAGCTTTGTGTAACGGAATTGGAAGATACAAGTAATAGTACACAAAATCTTTCCACTACACCACACCCAGTGGTGCAAGAATCTAGCCATCCTTATGTAGACGATGTTACACTAAGAGGTAAGTACATTTCTTTGCCCCAGCGTCTTAAATAAAATGCTAAAGAAATTATTCGAAACAAAATGTATTAAAATTAAAAATTACCTGACTACTTTTCCAACCAACGTCCAAATGGCATATATTCTCATTTAGATAACCATTTCTTACGTTTTCAAAAAAGGAAATTCTTAATCCTTAAAAAATAAACAAATTATCGTTTTAATGTTCTTTGTGGAACAGAAGCGACGATGTTTCATATTACGATTCGATAAGATCTTTCCCCAAACAACGTTTTTTAAAAAGCATTGGGAATTTTTCTTTGAAATTAGCGAATGTTCTAAAACACTTCAAATCTATGTTTTCTCGATATTCAGTTGTAAAGACCTGGGATAGTCTTGCATGATTAACATTTTGTATTGTTTGTATTAATAGACCTTTTAGTGAGATTGAAGTCGTTAATTATGTGGATAAATCCTTTTCTAAATTGTACAAGAGTGTGGGTGCTGCAACTCCCCAAATGTGTTAACTGCATTCGAATTGAGGTCTTCTTTGAGAAGTCAAACTCTTGCTCTCATTTCTTATCAGCAGCAGTTGCAATAAATGCTAAATCATCTCTTATGTTATAGTGATACTGTAATAAATAAAGGTTTCTAAATAAATAACGATTCCAATTATTTAAATAACTGCCAGGAGAGCTAGGTCTCTAACTAGTCTTTTAATTAATTTACATCACTATCACCAATATACTCTTAAGGGATGGAGCCCTAGGGTCCTGGAGTTCTGATGGAACATCCATTCACTTGTGGCCAAAAATAAAAGGAAATTATGTCACCCTATATGTATGCCTTCGATGAGGGGTGAATCATATTTTTAGGTTTGAAGAGTTAATCGATCATGAATATTTTACTTATCTTCATGAAAGGTCAATGGTAATTAAGACGAAATTTTCTTGAACACAAAAATATAGTAACTTTATTAACTTTCAGTAAATAAAAACGATGTACGCTTATATGTACAGCTCAAAATTTCTTTTATTCTAAGAAGAATCGTGGGAAAATTAAGAATGTAAATTCCGACTTTTGATAGTAACATAAAAATGTGATGCTCCATGTGAGACCCAAGTATCGCCTCACTTCGATGTCAGCCTATTTATAACTTTAATATTATAACGTTAGTAGGGTGGTTTGTGTTGAATACCATTGGCTAGAATTGGCAATGTGCTTGGCGCGGTCGATGTTTCAATTTGGTTGGCTTGAGCAGCCAACTGTATGGATTCGATTATTGCAACGTTCGAGTCAGATGCCCTGCGGTAATAGAGAAATGAAAAATGATACTATCGTTTATTAAATTTTATGTGATTCACACCACCTTCAAGTTTCGCGTTGAACAATATTTTAAACTTGTAACTAGTTACGAATTTCCGTTGTATTTTTTAAAAAGTGGATGATTTTTGAAGTTTGAGTTATTGGTATGCGATAGTGACGTTCACGTTTAAATTCGGACAGATAGCGTAGTTTGTTGGTTTTGCAACTGGTTAAAGACTTTGACATTCCTTAGAGGTTGGACTGCCAAGCCTTCGCAAATGCTTTGAGTAATTGATTTTGAAAAGGGATGAGTGAATAATAAGTGAATAGAAAATTGAATCACAAAGTAAATTAATAAGTAAACAGTAACAAATGTGTACCTATTAAAAAAATACAAAAGATAATAGTCCCCAAATAAACACGATTTATTTAAGTAATAAATAAATTTAACCTACTTTTTGATAATAACTTAAATGATAAGATTTGTTCTCGCGAGACCCAACTTATGAAATAATGAACTTACTATTGAACTATGTAGTTTGGACTTATTAGCAATTATAGCATTGAGAAATTAAACTGTATATGATAATAATAAACGATTAGTGAGCAAAAATGGAAAAATTGGCATTCATATAAAATTGAAAACAAGCATGTTAAAATAATTACAGGATATTTACGCTTGCCTCTGAGTTTCAATTCACGGCACCATACTTTTCTTTATTTTACAACTAAGTGGATTCGGGACATATGGTCCCAAAAGTACAGCCATCACTCGACTTAGATTTTATGAATAATAATGTCAATTATTACACGGTTTCGATTTGCCATATAATTACTAAAAAACAATCTCTTTGTGAAATAATTAAACCTCTGTGATTATCACCCATTTTATTAAAAGCCTAGGTCCATTAATATCACACTTAAAGATGTGTTGCTGACGGTAACAATTCTCTTAAGTTAAATGAGGATATGGTGATACAGAGAATAAGTTAATTTTCTAAAATTGTATTAAAATGCTAGACAATGAACTAATTTTAAAGCTTTTCACTAACTTGTTTGTGCCTTAAGAGTCTTTCCAGGCGTATTCTATACGTTTACATATACTTTTCTCAGCTTTGTATCTATTTATTTTATTTTTACAAATTCTATCGCATAGAATATTTAAATTTACTGTTGCCTGCCACAGGCACGATTATTAAAATGTCAGAATTAGAACTTAGATGTTTTTAATATAAATAAAATGTAATGTAAAATTAATGTGAAGGAGTAGAGCATCCAAATGGTAGTACAATAAGCCCGTGAGGCTGTAGTGCCGTCATGCTAACCTGAGGAGGGAAGGTAGGCTGGAACCCAAGCTTGATTGGAGGGAGCTAGGGGTTGGAACTCATAGCTTGATTGGGGAGCCTGCCAGAACCCCTCAGCGGAACAGAGGGATGCCTGAAAGAATAAAAAAATTATTGGTTTTACCAATTGTATATGTAAAAAAAAAACAATTAAACAACTACGAGTTTGACATTTAATACTGCGATAATCAAATTAGAAATTTAAAATGGAGAGTCTGTGTCGTTCATAGATATTGGATGGAATAGATTGGCTTTGTTTACATTGTTTGTCCCCAACATAATCGAGATGAGAAGACCTTCACATGTTGTCAGATCTCTCTCAAAAGATGTTGTATTAAATTATGTATAAAACTTTTAGTATGGTTAAATATCAACCGCCTCAAGTGTACCTGTATTGCTTGTATTTATTTTTTTTAGCATTTATTTGATGATACAATCTATTTTCAGGTCATGTCAGACTTCCAGGAGGAGATGCTTTGAGAGTAGAATTCGACAGAAGATGTTCAACAGAAAGGAGACATGATCCATTACAAATTATGGATGGAACTGGTAGAGTTGTGGCAACAATGTCCGGTAGAGAATGGAGTGACTGGTCGTCTGAACTTAGAATTCCAGGTAATATATTTGTTTTCTTACTGTAGTTTTTACATTATTTATTTAATGTATGCCTATTAGGTTTAATCAACGTCTCTAGTGAACCCACTACTCCTACTCAGAAATGTTTATTATATTCTATTTTTGGCTGTAATATTCAATTACATCGTTATTTAGTAATACCTGTGGTGTTTTCCTGGTAATCCGCAGTTTATTTACGGATCAGAGTCCACTAAAGCATAATAAAATAATACAGAATATTTATTTATTTATTTATTTATTTATTTGTTCCATCCTAACAGGCTTACTGGCCTAAATTACAAGGATATAGACAATATTTATTATTTACACAATCGATCAAAACGTATTAATATACATATTAAATAAATAGATATATAGATATAGGGGGATTAAACACAAACTCATATTGAGAAAAAAAAATTCTAAAAAATAAAAAGCAAATCATATAATAAAAGAAATGGAAAAACTAAAATAATTAAACAGACAAGTTCACAATATACCTATAAATTAGGTGTCTGAATGTTATTAGAGGCATATGCCAATCTACTTCGTGCAAGCAAGTAATATTATTTGCTAAACGGAGCATGGTTAGGAGAGGTGATCGAAGAGTGCTACTTACAAAGGGAATATTAAACATAATCGCGGAACGCGTAGGTCTAGGAGGTACATTAAATGGCAAAACTGACAATATTTCTGCGGAATTTATATGGTTATTTATGATTTTATACAAAAAAAGTATAGCAAACATTTTTCTCCTACAGTCTAAAGAAGGTATTTTAAATTCACTTCGTAATTGTGTTGTTCTGACACTATTATAATCTGGTCTAATAAAGTATTTTTTAAAGTAAAGGTATCTTAAAAATTTGTTTTGTATTCTTTCTAATTCCTGCAAAATGGTTTGGTATTCTCCATTCCATATTACAGAGCCATATTCAAGTTTAGATCTTACTAACGTAACATATATCAATTTTATAGAATCGATTTTGACAAAAAGAGACGTCTGTCGTATCGTAAATCCAAGAGCTCGATTTGCAGATTTTACTACATTTTCAATGTGTTTTTTAAAAGATAGTTTATAGTCATACGTAATTCCTAAGTCTTTGAATTCATATACCCGTTTTAGTGACTCATTATCCATACAGTAATCAAAAATAATTGGATCCTTTTGTCGAGTAATTGACATTACATTGCATTTTTTAATATTAAAGTCTAATTTACATTGAGCACTCCATTCCAATACACTGTTTATATCTTTTTGCAAAGCTGAACAATCTCTAACGGTTTGTATAGGCTTAAATATTTTTACATCATCAGCAAAAAGTAAACATTTGGAATATCTAATAACATCTGGCAAATCATTAATAAATAAGAGGAAAAACAAGGGACCCAAGTTAGATCCCTGTGGAACCCCCGATGAAGCGTGAAATTTACCTGAAGTGTTTCCATCGTGTTTTACTACAAAAAATCGATTTTGTAAATAACTTTTAAAAAGATTCATAATATTTTCAGATAGTCCAAAACGATAAATCTTTTGTAGTAAGACGCCATGATCCACTTTATCAAAGGCCTTGCTAAAATCTGTAAATATTGTGTCTAGTTGAGTCTTATTTTCTAATGAGTCATTTGCTTCGTTGATGTATATTAACAGATTTGAATTCACAGATTTTTTGGATACAAACCCGTGTTGTTGTTCTACAATGGTATTTTCGACAAATGCATACAGTTTACTATAAATAATTTGTTCAAAGAGCTTTGAAGGAGCACACATAACAGATATCGGCCTATAATTTTTTATACTACGTTTATCCCCAGTTTTATGTATTGGGGTACAAATTGAAGTCTTCCACTGCTCTGGAAAGGCAGCATTATTGATTATCAGATTAAATATGTGCAGTAATGGGTCACGTAACCATTCTTGACAGCCTTTCAGTATGTATGGTGGTAAACCATCTACACCCGCTGATTTTTTTGGTTTAAGCTTTTTAATAGCTTTATTAAAGTCTGAAACAGTTATAGATTTTATTGAAAATGTATCGTTAGCTATATTTTGAAAACTTTTAAAATTTACATTGTAGTCGGTTGCATTTGTGGAGTATACACTGGCAAAAAACTCTGCAAAGCATTGTGCTGTATCTTTGAACGGAATTTCCTTATCGTCGTGAATGTAATTTTCATTAGTTGAACTCTGACCCCTCCTCTTGCTAACATAATTCAAGAAAACATTAATGTCTGTGCTTACCTTATCTTCAATAGATTTAACATAATTTGTATATTCTTTTTTCGTAAGATATTTTAATTTTTTCCTAATCTCTATATATTTTTCAGTATAATAGGCTGAAATGTGCTTTATTTTCCTTAACTTATTCTTTTCCGCAATTAACTCTTTGATTTCTCTATTGTACCATACCGGAAATTTATTGTGATTTTTATATAATTTAAATTCAGGAACACACATTGAAAAATATTATTTAAAATTTTATAAAAATTATTTAATGCTCTATCTACATTAGATTCTAAACATACCTCATTCCAATTAACGTCCTTGATAAGTTCTGCCATAAGATTGAAATTAATTTTTTAAAATTATATTTAAAATTGCTGTTACTCTTGGCTTCATGTTCTGATAAGTTTTCTACAAATTGTAGAATAATTTCTAGTGAAGGATGGTATGAGTCCTCAATAATTAAAGGACTTGATGCATGTGTAATATTGCATGATTTTTCGTCTGAACATATTACTAAATCCAAAGTCCTTCCTTGAAAGTTAGTGACATCGTTATACAAGTTAAAAAAATTAAAATTTAAGAAGTCATTTAAAGCAGAAAGTTTTGTATTAAAATTGTGGTTGGGAATGAATGAGCCACTGATTTCCGGTAAGTTAAAGTCTCCGAATATGTAGCACACACAGTAAATAATAATAGAATCCTAAATAATAATTAATTAACATTACGAAAAATTCATTATGTCATCAATTGCGAGAAGGAAACAAAAATAAAGATTTTTGGTTTTAAAATCAATATACAGGGTGGGCCACCGGTAACGCCTCGGTCTGTGGTATATCAGAGGTATATCAGAAAAGGCAACAATTTAAAAATAATTTCAATTATACAGGGTTCTCTAAGAAAGTTAGGTTTTTTAAATGAGACATCCTACATTTTGTATTTTATCTGAATTGTCCTCACTGTTCCCATTATAACAATACCAAGGAAAAATCCGCCATCGGTCGGACGTGCTATTTTTTTTAGACCATTTTAGACCCTCTGAAACACATTTCAAAATACTTTTTTTGCCCTGGAAACGCTTCAAATAATTTTTTTCTTTCCCTAAAACTTCCAAATGTGTCGTCCAATTTCGATATTAAAAAATGTCTCGGCTACGCTTTACGGTCTGGAGTCATTGCTTCGCAACTTTCAAACATCCTCCAGTTTCGTTTTGATTTCTCGGCTACGCTGTACGGCCCTTGAATCTGGATCCCGACTTTTAACGAACGTGTCTTCGTCGCGTGCATCTAATAATAAGAAAATATACAAGAAGACGAAGCAACGGTAGGCTAGCGGACGGCTTCGTCGCCATCAGAAAATTTAACCCATACCTGGCTACGCCGACCGGCATAGGCTCCAACGGCCTGGACAAAGCTCAAATTGTAATGAGCATTCTTTTTACAAACAGTACATAAGTTACGACATGCAGTATTTGACGCACATCATGCAATGAAATAGAAAGACGGATGTCTGTGATTACTATAACTGTTTTCACTTCGGGATCCAAGTTCACCTGCTGGTCAGACGCTTTTAACGATTTGTCAACACCGCATTTACAGAAACGCCAATTGTCATAATGTCATTGAAGATAATTTACTTCATATTTTTTTCTATCACATTGAAAAATGAAACAAGAACATTTAATCGTTTACGAAAAAATGTAGTATGGTTTATTGCTCTATGAATTGTTTAATATTGATATTTAGCCGTTTCTAGAACAAGAAATCAGTGAAAATTATTTAATTCACATTTTTTTTGTGGCGGAGACTGGACAAATTATAATGCTTTTAAGGTAAAAAAAAAATAGTGTCAGCGGACCCAAATTTTTTATGTATACGAGTAGTGTGTTTCAAAGTGTCTAGAAACTTTCTGTAAAATTTCAATAGTAATATCCGCCGTTCGAGTGTCTCCGTATATTACCCAGTACTAAATAGTATGAGATTATACAGGACATTTCACAAGCTACAGCCAGTTTTATATGAAAACCATAAATGATCTGTATTGTGTAAAAGAAATAATTGAAAACAAATTTTTTTACGGTAAAGGTTTTCGATATTAGTCAAAATTTATGTCGATGCACTACTTTTTTCAATTAGTAACAAATCTGTACAGGGTGAGTCAAAACTCAAATGAGTATCACTTTTACTCCCGAGAAAAAAAATGTTACGGCTCACCTATTTATGTTGCTAACTCAGCGGTATTCGGTTCAGAACTATTCTTCAATACCACGATTAACAGAAGAACTACGGATGTCGAATTACCGCGATCCTATTTGATTTAAGGTAGTTCACTCGCGACAGTTTAAATTTAAGTGACAAAAAAATAATTCACAAAATAGTTTAATTTTAACTGACCACTGGTTAATAAGAAATAGATTGTTTGTTAATTAGTAAGTAGAATTTAACCAGCTGTAATTTCTTATAGGGCTGTAATACTCAGCTAAAAATAAATACCAATATCAACCAATTCTAGACTCACTCCATTATAATACCTACTTTATTCTTAGTTTATTATATTGTTAGGTTGACTTTGAAACCTCAATACTGATAGTTCGTTATTACTAACGTCATTAGTGTTGGGATATTTATTTTTAAAATAGTCTAGCCAGTTTTTTAATATGGCCTTTGGTCGTGAATAAGTATTTCAAGTGTTACTTAAGTGTGTTTAAGATTTTTCTAAATATTGTTTGCAGGTCATAAAAACTAGTTTAAAGGTATGTAATTGGTAACTAAACGATTGTATATTTGATATATTAATATAAAATAATAAACGATATAATTTAGGTAAACAAAACGCACTCAAAAAATCTAATGTCACTTTAATTGTCAGTGGAACCATAATTACATCATCCCTAAAGGATCGTTTGATTTGAAACTCGATCGAGTGAGCGTTGAGGCACCCGAGAAGTGATGACGTTACAATAGAGCAATGAATCAAATCAAATATGCGCTAGTTCAGTGTGATATCATTTTGGTTCTACTGACATTTAATTCTAACCAAACTTTTAACAAAAACATCAATACATTTGACATATACGTTTTTACTGTTTTTATTTTATTTCAAAATATTGTTTACAGTTCATAAAAAATAGTTTAAAGGTATGTAATTGGTAACTAAACGATTGTATGTTTGATACATGATATCTACTTACTTTAGGAATATATTTATAAAAGTGAAAAAAACGATATAATTTAGGTAAACAAAACGAACAAAACGCACTCAAAAAATCTACTGTCACTTTAATTGTCAGTGGAACCATAATTACATCATCACTGAACTAGCGCATTACAAAGTAAAAAACATAACCTCGCTTTTTTGTGATTCTTGTTTCTGGTTTGTGTGTCAAAACAATGAGCAAAAAGTGAAGAATATTGAGGAACTTTTAATAATAAGGGGCAATGGCTCTGAAATGCAGCATCACAAATGCCCGGGTCCCTTTCAAACTTCATGACTTTGATTACTGGTGATTAGATCTGAGCAGAAAATATGTATTTTTTCCAAACGCACATTTATTTTTATGATGCATAATTTTAGCAATAAGACAAAAGCGGTTAAGTAATTTGTTGACTTCTTGTCTGGTCTCGAATTTTGAGATTCAAGTTTGTTTGTATGTTAACTAAAAAGAGATAGGTAGAGACAAAGATAAATTTCTCCCTCTTCTCGATCCTTCTGCTCTGAGAACATCGAGCTCGCTCTATGTTCTTGCTCCAAAGCGAAACAAACACTTTTGGGATCGCTCGGAGTCAATTAAAACACGTTTGCAGCATTAGGAGATCTCCGATGATCAAATCAAACGCACCATATAATGGCATATTGACAAAATTCCAGGATTTTTTAATATCATTATCAACAGGACTCAGTAAATCTAATGTCATAATTGTAATCTTGTTTAGACCTATATTTACACAAGCTTTTTGTGATTATTTTTTTTTAGGTGATGAGCTTAGGTGGACGTTTACAACTGACAGTTCGGTCAATGGTTGGGGATGGAGGTTTACCGTATACCCAGTAATGTCTAGTCATGGATTAAGCGATTTAGGATCGGATAGAGCCATTTTGAGTCAACCATCAATGGATATGGTCATGAGTTTGCTGGACCCAAGGTTATACCCATCGGCTGACTCAGCCTTGATGTCACGATTAGCTGCTGCCTTGGCAGCATGTTCTCAGTTAAGTTTTCTTTGTAAGTACTAATAATTGAAAATGAAGCAACATAAACTATTAAGCCTTTAATAAATTCGTTTTCAGCGGCTAGTCAAAGAATGTGGTCGTTACAAAGACTTCATAGATTACTTGTTGGAGAAGATGAACGAGGTGAAATTGTTCCCCTTCAATTACAAGAACTTAAAGCTCCAGATAGTGCTCTAGGTTGTCTTCTAGAAGAATTACCCCAAGCTTTGTTAAGACAGTATGAATATGAGGATGGGTCTGTACGAGCTGGACTTCATTTGATGCATTCAGATTTCTTTAAGGTAAATTGTAACAAAAATATGTACTTTAGAATGGTATATAGATTGTAATTTCCAAATATGATCTACATTCTAAAGCTATAATTTGTAATGTTCTTTCAGGTATTAGTATCTCTCGCCTGTGATTTAGAAATGGACAAAATGGCGAATATTATTGACAACCACAAATGGTCGTGGTTTAGAAGATATTGTCATGCAGCCAGGGTTGCAAAAGCATTGATACATCGAACAGTTTTACCATTAAATTTCTGCCAAGAAGTAAGGAAGAAACTTTCAGATTCCAATGGGGAAGCACCTGCAGATTATTGGGAGCATGAAAAACATCCAGAATTTAAAAAGGAACAGGATGAACAATTACTAATATGGCTTAATAGGTAATATAACTATTATGTGCATTTGTATAAGAATAATTTCTTGACGGCAACAGAATTTTATATAAATAAAAAGTTCCTTGGTTTATTCGGTCTTTTTTTTTTATTTTCAATTGTTTAGCACACTACATATGTTTCAGAAAACTGTTCCATCTTCATTTTCGAATACACTTTCACACGATGAAATAGAAAGATGGGGTTTCTGTTATTTTAAAATTATTTTAAAAATGTTTTAATTTGTTTGTAATCGTCCCCATGTTTTATTAATTTATGACTGCACCCGAAGATGGAAAAGTTTTCCGAAATATATGTAGTGTGCTAAACAACTGAAAATAAAAAAAAAGACCGAATTAACCAAGGAAATTTGTATTTATATAATATGTGTATTATTATTTTTATATTTAACATGTTTTTTTAAAGACGTCCTGAAGATTGGACTTTAAGTTGGGGAGGATCTGGGACGATTTATGGCTGGGGACACAACCATAGAGGGCAATTAGGAGGTGTAGAAGGTTGTAAAGTTAAAACTCCAACGGCTTGTGAAGCTTTGTCTACATTGAGGCCAATTCAGCTTGTAGGAGGTGAACAAACGCTTTTTGCAGTTACTGCTGATGGGAAAGTCTACGCTACTGGTAAGAAAATTGTAAAATGCAACTAATGTATATTTAAGTTTTTTTTCTCCTTTTATTTAATTTGTTCGAAGTTATATCCAGTTGATGCGTACCAATGCTTAATCGAGCCAACAAAAAAAACTTTCAATTGTAAATCCACACAATACAATGCGTAGAGTGTTTTTCAAATTATCCTAAGTCCATCTCAAAACAATATTTGTCTATCACAACGACGAAGAACTACTAGACAAATTTTGTTCAGTTTAATGTATTTTTTTGATTGCAACTGTTATTGTAGCAGGAAAGTTTACCATTTACTTTTCAGTGAGACAACAGTGTAAAGCAGGCGTAGTACTCTTATGTGCTCTGATTAATCTGGTTCTTTCTTCTACTCGTTCAAATTGCGGGACCTCGCTCTGCTCGTCCTGCAAATATTCACTTGTTACATAAAATAAGGTATTTCGTAACTGGTTGCATAAATAGCTATTTTATATGAAATAAATATGTACCTCCATCAATAAAGGCAATACGATATTTAATAGTAAACATAATCCGAAAAATCGTACTTGTCTGCAGAACCGGTCGAATCAGTGTAATGCCATAAAATTTTGTAAAAAAATAATGTACTTATAACGGTAATCACGGTGGAATAATACAATCCCAAGTAATTGTGAGTCTTTATTTACAATCAGTTAAATGTAATAAAAATAAAAAAATAAATATAAATCACTGAATATTCATATAACCACGGTATGCAAAGTAAGCGCTGAAAACCTCAAGGTTAGCAGTGTAACACACTGAAATATTTATACAATTACTATCAGCGGAACTACATAAAAAAAATCAATAAATACGGATATATTCATAGTACTTCTAATAAGCGATGAAAACCTCAAAGTTAGTTAGCAGTATAACTAACAAGATGAAATATGTTTACAAAATTAATATTTAGTGGAAATAAATATAAAAAAACAATAAGTACGGATACTCGCAAGGTATTTCTAATAAGCTGCTGTAAAAATTCCAAAGTTAGCAGTATAACTAACATGAAAATGTTTTCAAATTAAAAGTTTAGTGGAAATAAATAAAAAATAAATCAATAAATATGGATATCCCCACGGTATTTCTAATAAGCCGTGAAAACCTCAAAGTTAATTAGCAGTACAACTACTACAATGAAAATAATTACAAATTTACAGTTTGGACACAATTATTGTCATGACTACCCAACTCTGTTAGGGCTTCCAAAAAGTCCTACACAAACTCTCAGTGGAACTGAGTGCTTTTAACGTCGCTTGACTGTCTGAGTATATGACAATGGCTTTTCCATTTACCTTAAGTCTTAATACCTCTTTTGCACAGTGATGTATTAATTATTGCTATTTCTACCTGTAATATTGTCGCATATAGGTTTGTTCCAACAACGATTAGAAACCAGTTATTGCCACCAGGATTTTGCTCAGTAGATTATTAGGACCCCAAATTATATACTGCGCACAATCCTGGTGCCAATGACTGGTTTCGGATCGTTGTTGGAACAAACCTAAGCTGAGATTCTTGTCTTTGGCTTGGCACTAATTGGTACTTATACCCTTTGTATTCTAACCTCTTAATTGGTCTAAAAGGCGTTTCTAACACCTAAAAGCGATACATTATTTTTTATTAATACATGGCAATGACTGCTAGAATATAGAGAGATTATAGACATTGCGAGGCAAGCTTCAAATTAATTTAATTGTCAATTTTGATAAATGTTTACAGTCAATTTGCTAAGATGAAGTAATGTTTATAAAATACAATGCAAACTGATTAGAAACGTACTTCACTTATTGATAGGAACTTCTTGTTTAAAAATAGTTTTAGGATTTTATGTACGAAGTTTGTTGGTCTTATTCTGAATAACTTTGAATATTTCATGCATATTGATTAGGTGCAATCGATTCAGTTTTCTTATTAATTTGTGAAATTATGTCAAGGTGCACAGTCAAAAAAATTGTTCTATTTCTCGTCATCCGTTAGATAACATCTTTACTTTTTCACAAATACCTCGATTTAGTAACTTTCTATTTTTCAGGATATGGTGCTGGGGGAAGATTGGGCATTGGTGGAACCGACTCAGTATTGGTGCCAACTTTATTAGAATCTATTCAACATGTTTATATTAAGAAAATCGCAGTAAATTCAGGAGGAAAACATTGCCTAATATTATCGGCTGATAATGACGTCTATTCTTGGGGTGAAGGAGATGACGGAAAATTAGGCCATAGCAACAGATTGTCGTGTGAAACTCCAAAATTAATAGAAGCCCTACAAGGTTATGAAATTATAGATATAGCATGCGGTGGTGCTCATTCTGCTGCTATTACATCTTCTGGACACTTATACACATGGGGCAAAGGACGATATGGCAGATTAGGCCATGGAGATAGCGAAGATCAACTTAAACCAAAATTGGTATAAAATATTTTGGTATTATTATTTTTATTATTGTTACTTTTAATTAAATATCTTTAAGGTGGAGGCTTTACTAGGATACAAAGTCATTGATGTAGCTTGTGGTTCTGGAGACGCACAAACACTCTGTATAACAGACGATGATAATGTTTGGTCCTGGGGAGACGGTGACTATGGAAAACTAGGAAGAGGAGGTTCTGACGGATGTAAAATACCAATGAAAATAGAAAGTCTAGCAGGATTGGGTGTAATCAAAGTTGAATGTGGATCACAGTTTTCAGTAGCTCTGACAAGATCCGGAAGTGTATATACTTGGTAAGTTTTACAAAAATTCCAGGTGCAACGGGTAGAATATTTGTATTGTAATTGTAGGGGTAAGGGCGATTATCACAGACTAGGTCACGGTACCGGAGACCATGTAAGGAGGCCAAAAAAAGTAGCTGCGCTTCAAGGCAAAAAGATTATTTGTATTGCTACTGGATCTCTCCATTGCGTTGCTTGTTCTGATGAAGGAGAAGTATATACTTGGGGAGATAATGATGAAGGTCAGTTGGGAGATGGTACTACAAATGCAATACATCGGCCAAGGCTCATAACACATCTGCAGGTATAAACAATTCACTAAAGCTTTATTTTCTTTTAACATTGTCATTTTATTTTAAATATAAATGATTAACTTGTCTTTCCTTATTTCAAAAATAATTGATTTGGATTTCAGATATTTCTTCTAATTTGTTTACGTTGCTTTGCATTTTTATTTCAGTCAAATGTGAAGAAAATAACAAATGTTGCTTGTGGCTCGGCTCACACGTTGGCCTGGTCGACTAGTAACGCCAGTAGTGCGTGCGCTCGCCTACCAAACATCGCTCCTCTCGAATATGATCTCTTACAAGATATTTCACCTCTAGTATTACATTGCCGATTGGTTCTTTTACATCATTTTGCCGAACTTATTTGTCCATGCATAACGATGTTTCCCATCACTGGACCAGATTCTTTGCATGAGTTGAGGCACATATTGATTTATACGATTAAAGAAGCGACTTTTAGGAAGGTTGTACAAGCTACTATGGTTAGAGATAAGCATCATGGACCTGTCATTGAGCTGAACAGAATACAGGTATGTGCGATGATATATGTTATTTTGATTGTAAAAGCAACTCTCAAATAATTTATATATAAAATCTCTTTGACTAAGAAACATTGTCAATGAAGAAATCCTATTTTGAAAATTTCACATTGATTACTAAAGTGTTCATACTTTGTGAAAGAATAGTCGGCTAGTTTAAATAACATTAAATTTTATTTTGCATCCATTTCCAAGGTCCGGAACTAGTTAATTAATAGCACAATGGCGCTTCTTTTATAATTTTGAGAAAAATATTGCAAAAGGGTTGCAAACTTGAAGTAATATCTTTTTGAATGTTTTCAACATTGTATCAGGTTTGCAACTTTTTTGAAAGTCCGCTACATGATTATTTTTTGTGAAATAACGTTTTTGTTTATATCATAGATGAAAAATTGCAAACGTGCTTCAAACCGATGACATAACTCATACAAGTTTCTGAAACAGCTATTTCAATTTGCAACCTTCTATTGTGCACGCAAATATTTTTTCTTAAAAAATAGCAAAACGATTATTTGCCTCTAATTAGAAAAGTTTTGCAAATTCTACAGAGCCATTTTATATACCTTCCTATAAGTAAATGCAAATTTGCGACATTGGGAAATTAATGCAAAAATTTTGCAAATCTAAGGCAACAAATGAAAAATAAATTCATTAGATATGGACTTTGCAATCTTATACCTATCCTGCAGTATATTTAAATAATTTCTTGTTTTTGTTTTTTTGCGGAAAATATTTACATTTATCCCATATTAAATAATTGGCAGACACTGTTTAAACTAGTACTTAGGAGAGAAATCAATCAATATCCTAAACAGAGTTGATAATAAAAAATTAACCCAAATAGACCATTTAGAATTTATACAAAAAGACATCCAATTTCAAGAATCTATTAATTTGTTTCTGTAAATCCTGGACCATCCAATTACCAGAAACCAAAGCGCACATGACTCAAATGTTTTTGTAACTTTATTGGATTAAAACAGTAGTTTCATAGTACCTTAATTTGAATATTATAATATGTCCAAGATATATTTGAGGAAATTAAAAATGAAGCTATCAATTTAGCTTGCAAATGGAAAATTGCACAACTAAATTTAAAGAAAAACGTATATCATATCTGAAAAAAAAAAATGTGATAAAATATCTAACATATATCTCTGTAACGTGTGGAGGGTGGGTTACCCCCCACGGCACTTAGGTCTCACTAGGCTCATTGTGCATCTTCCTAGTTGGTGAGCCAGCCTACAGATTTAATGTAGTTGACAACGTCGCCAAGAAGTGCTTCTCTTATATCGGCCGGTGTTAGCCAATTCTCGTCGAACACAAATCCTCTAATAAATGAGAGCATCTTCTTGTTCGCACCCCCTGCAGAGTGACGATTCTGACAGTCCCATGCTATGGAAATGCTTCCGTACTTGGAAATAACCAATGCCTGTGATCAGGTCCACTTTCTGTCTAGTCATAGTCAAGTATTTGTTTGCTGTTGTGTTGTCAGATAACTTAAAAGCTCCCTGGCAAGTTTGCAGCTTCTTGTTTCATCCCATCTTTCCTTGAATTTCACAAGGGAATATTCTTCAGTTAGGTTTGTCACTAGCGATTTGTCAATCCGATACAAGGGTCCAAAAAGTATTTGGTTGGCTGCCTTCTTGGCTAGTGAATCAGCAAGACGGTTACTTTTCAATATGGCGTTACCTTTGATCCATCTTTAGGTTACCACATTTTTGATGGATACATCGGCCAAAGCTTCGTTACATTCTAGTACTAAACCTGAGTAAATTTGTGGTCTGTCCAGGGTGAGTAGTGCTTGTCTGCTGTCTGTATAGATGAGCATGTTCCATCCAGTGATATTTTTTCTGGTAATTTCTTTTGCTGCTATGATAATCCCCGTGAGCTCGGTTTGAACTACACTGGCACTATTGCTTACAGCCCATTTTATGTTTAGTTTTAAGGATCTGGAGTATATTCCACATCCTTAGCCTTGTTTTGTTTTAGAATCGTCGGTGTAGATATGAATCATACCTGTCACTTCCGACTCTTCTATTTGTTCCGTTATAACTTTATATGGCTTATTGAAGATATATCTCGGTGAGATGGAGTCCATGTACGCTTAAAGCAGTGAGAATATATTGAGCGCCTCCTAACAAAAACAACGTCTCACCTCACCAGATCGTACATCAGGTTCTATTCCAACTGTGAGGAGGCGTGTCATTGTCATGAGAAAAACCATCTTAATCTAAATATCAAGGAGCATAGGTTTTATGATGGCCGTGTAAGTGTAAGACTCTGGAAGAGAGACCCCAGATGCGCCCTACGGTTCAACGGAATTGTTCATAAGCAATGTACGTTTTTTTTTACTGTTTTCTTGGTGTGAGTACCATGTTAACTTGCTGTCAAAGGTGATATCTAGGTACTTCGCTTCTCTCGCAAAGTTAGTTTTGTGTTTAGGAGTTCTGGAAGTTTTAGTTCCATTTTCATCCTTTTTCATGTGAAAAGGACCATTTATGTCTTCATGGGATAAATAGAGATGTCCACATGATTCCTAATTAAATGAAACCATTTGACGTCGGTGAATATGTACATTAACATAGTTTTTCTAGGATCACTATCCAAAGTTGGCTTTTGCACATTCAAATCTAACTGGAAAATTGACGTTTTCAGCAATTTTTCATAATTTGAAATTATTGGCGCACCAGTGCGACAAAATTACTTTGGCGTATTCGTATTTTCGCACGTCCCGAAAAATGGTGTAATAACTACAAATTTTTTACTAAAATGTAAAGAAAATCTAGTAATCTTTCTTTATCTGTGACAAATGATCTAATTGCCACCAAAGCCAAAACCTCGAAGGAAAAAAAATAGTAAGCTTTCTGCGATGAACACTGCAGCATCATACCTTTTCATCTCAGATAATGCAAGATGAATTTTTCTGCCGAAAATTTCCGACGAAAACAGTTGTTTGCCAGTTACTACACCTCGCACATCCCCGATTAAAAGCGTAAAAAGTTACAAATATTACTGTCTTCTTCGGAAACCAATAATAGACATTATTTTCAATACAATAGCATACCAACATTTTACCATTCTATATTTTAGATATCGTTCCTATTGATGTATGTTTAGTATTTTGTTAATAAGTTTTTAAATAAAAAATACCTTTCATTTAAATATGATATTATTTGAACTGAAATTAGAAACTGAAAAACATTTTTGGTAGAAGACTGTAATAAGTGATTTTTTTTAAATCGCGTTTAATTTCAAGAAAATATAATTAGAAAAGAAGTATTTTATATTTTTGTACCTATATTTTGGTCTTATTTTTTCTAGTATCATTAAAAATCGCACAAATGTAATAAAATTGTTGTTATTAACATTTAAAATTTCGTAGTTAAACTTTAGGTAGTTATTACATTATTATTGCTTGGAAAGTGCGTTTTCATTAGAAAGGTAGTCATTCTTAAATCCAATCGATATTTTAATATAAAATATTGACTAATCTGAACATCTAATATTCAAACCCATTTTCCTTAATATTTAAATGATAATTGAAATATTGAAAATAGATTACATCCTATTCAATCTGCACGTAACTAGGCAACACAACTTACATATAAAAATCAGTTCGCTAGTGCTATCTCTCAAATAAACATTGAAGTTAAATTTGAATTTGGTAATATGTGATTGTAGTAAAAATCTTGTGTATAATTCTAGCGTGGCAACTTTTTATCTCGATCGACAAAGTAGCACTTTCCGCTCTTAATACACAAATAGCTATTCTAAGTTTATACTTATTTTGAAGGAATTAAGTTTATAATCTATTAACTCAAATATTTAGGTCAAAAGATCCCGATCACGAGGTGGTTTAGCAGGAGTAGATGGTATGAAATCAGTTTTTGGGCAAATGGTAACGAAACTTCCCCTTTTGACCTCTGAAACACTAGCTCTACCTCACAGGGTGTGGAAAGTTGAATTTGTAGGTAAGTTTATCCAATTTCATTAATTTTAAAGAAAATTCGTATGTAATTTAATTTTTTTTTTACATTTTTCAATAAAATATTGTAACGACTTAGCTGTCTAATAGTGCCAAGGTACTAGTAGGAAAATGTTACTATAAAATAGGTGTTGAGTTGCCACTACTGGAACTTAATATAGTGGTCATAACTTAAATACGCTAGTTCGGTGTGATGTAATTTTGGTTCTATTCAAACTTTTAACAAAAACGTTTTTACTGTTTTTAGTTTATTTCTAAATATTGTTTACAGGTCATAAAAAATAGTTTAAAGGTATGTAATTGGTAACTAAACGATTGTATATTTGATGCATGTTATCTACTTTAGGAATATATTTATAAAAGTGAAAAAACGATATAATTTAGGTAAACAAAACGAACAAAATGCATTCAAAAAATCTACTGTCACTTTAATTGTCAGTGAAATCATAATTACATCATCACTGAACTAGCGTATAGTTGTCAGATAGATTAAAAATAGTTGTCAACCGTATTCGTTTAAATTTTGAATTTCCTGTAAAAAACCCAAGTGTGTTACAAATTTTACAACTATTTTTAATTTTTTAATCTATCTGACAAATATTTTATATATGACTACTATATTTACTTCCACTAATAGCAACTCGACAACTATTTTATAGTAATTTCTTCCTCCTATTACCTTGGCACCATTAGTCGGCTAACTCGTTACAATATATTTATAATTAAATGATAATGAACAAGCTAAACCACTTAGAATCTGTTAATTAAGGTGATTACAGCACCTCTTATAATTTTCGGACAAGGTTATCTTAAAAAGTAAGTTCTTTAAAAAATTAAAATTTTTGCAAAATAAATTAGGCCATAATATCTAGAATATGCATATATCTTAAAGTTTTAATTCCTTTCACTTTCCAAGAAAAAAAATCAACGGCTCTAAATTTTGAAATATCATAATGAAAATAAATGCATTTCTCAACAGCACTATTATTAATATAATCCCCAAATTTAAGCTCTTAATTCGCCAAAATTAGTGGCTAAATTGCCTCGTTAAGTGTTATCTTCTGGTGTAAACTGGTGTAAATCGTTGCAAGAAACGAATGATGACTGAGAGTGTATGATACGATAGTTACAGACGCGTTACACCAGAAAGCAGCACTTCACGAGGCGTTTTAGCCACTAAAATCGGCGAATTTAAAAAAAAATCATTAACAAGAGATTAGAGCTCAAATTTCGGGATTATATTGAGAAAAGCGCTGTTGAGGAATGCATTTATTTTCATTATATTTCAAAATTTAAAGCTCTTTGATATTTTTTCACGGAAACTAAAAGGATTTAAAACATTAAAATATATGTATATCTAGATAATATACTTCCTAATTTATTTTGCCAAAATTTAAAATTTTTAACAAAGTTACTTTTTGAAATATCCGTATCCGAAAATTACAGGGTGTTCCAATGAAAAGTAGCCCGTTTCCATTTGATAAAATTTGGTTACGGAGATTTTTAAAAAACACCCTATAGGTAATACATAATTTCTGTGTCACTGAAGTAAAACTTATAGCAAAATAACACATATCAGCAAAAACCGCACGTTTCTACGATTTGTTTAAAAGTTATGAGCTCTGGAAATGGGTTACTTTTCATTGGGACACCCTGTATGAGGGGTGCTGTATTCACCTTAAGAACACTATACAGTAAAATAAAGCTAATGCTTGTGTTAAAACACATTTTTCAAGAAAACATCGAACTAGAAATTATAAATAATATATTCACTAATAAATAACAAGGAAGTAATAATCGCATAAATATATCGCCTATGTGTCCCTTACCACCGTCTCGTATAAAATACTTCATCGACTCGGTCCAGCTGTCATATACCTCACGATTCTCGGGACTCGCGCCTAGAAATCCGCAATGCCGCTATCTATGGTATCGCCGTTATTGAGAGATGGGAACTATTGTTCTCGTCTGGAGCGTAACACTTGTATTTATAGACTTTAAGAAATGCCTGTTATTTTAGCGACACTATGATCTTATGAAGTTAACTAATGCTGGGCGTGTCTTGAATTTGTACAGTGTCGTACAGAGTTTATTTTTTTACAGTTAATGCTTTGAATTTATAACATTATTTCCGGTTAAACCGGAAGTGAGTCAAACAAGAAAGATTCTTAGAAGAAAAAAAAATATTGAAAAATGAGAAAAACTGACTAAAGCATCATTTAAAATTGAGAAAAAACTGACGGAAACTTTATTTCATTATCTAAACTAGTTTAAAAATTATATATACGTAGGATTGAAAAGGGTCATAATATTATGTCGATATTCGTATTCTTTAAATAAATGTTACGATTTACGTGTTCTCTAATAATTATGGGACTATCTATGTTACGATTTACGTGTTCTCTAATAATTATGGGACTATCTATCTTCCGGGGGATAAGCAACAAAATATATAACTATGCGCCTCAATAACGTAAGGGCTATACTGCCTTGAAGTTGGCTTCTTTAGCCTTTAGTTCTATGGGGGTTTACGGTTTACTCTGGAATGAAAAGACTAAGGGAAACACAATGTCTTATAAAACAATTATATTTAAAACAACTATACAAAATAGATCCCAACCCGACATACACAAATACACAATAAACAATATCCATATAAAATAAGAACTTACCAACTCCGGGAACACATGTCACAACCCTTGACAAAAGTTAAAACCGCGATTCAAAGATTTAAAACAAAATGCAACCTTTTACTTTTCACGATTGAGATCCAGAGCCTTTGGTTGGAGCCTCCGTGAGCTTGTATTGCTAGTGGGAATCTTCTAAAAGGAGGGTCTCCGACAAAGAGAATCCTCTCCTGTGGAAAACAGCCCTGCGCGTCTCCGCGAGATTAATTTATAACGTTTTCATAGTTTATATTATATTTCTGTTTAAACTATTCAATAATTAACCATCTACGTGATCGCGACTCAGTACGGGGTGTTATTTTATTATTAGTTAATTTGAAAATATTAATTTAATAAAGCGTAACAATATAACGGGATACCCGGTACCATGGCCTAATGTATATCAGATTTAATTTAAATAATTTTAGGAGAAAGTGTGGACGATTGTGGAGGTGGATATAGTGAAAGCATCGCTGAAATGTGTGATGAACTTCAAAATGGCTCACTACCTTTGCTTATGCCTACTCCAAATGGTAGAGACGAAGCTGGAGCTAACAGAGACTGCTTTATCTTGAATCCACAGGCAAAGACGTGTTTACATCTGAATATGTTTAGGTATTTACTAATATCTCTTATTAATAGAACATTTTTAAAATAAACGCACATGTTACGTTTGTATTGTGTTTTAGATTCTTAGGTGTCTTGATGGGAATAGCAATACGTACAGGCTCTCCACTAAGCTTGAACCTTGCAGAACCTGTATGGAAAGAACTAGCTGGTATCGAATTAACTCCAGCTGATTTGACTGAAATAGATAGAGACTATGTGCCTGGACTGTTGTGCATTAGGGATATGGCACCCGAAGAACCCTTATTTGAAAATCTTGAGATGCCGTTTTCTACACCTTCTTCATGTGGTACAGACGTACATTTGAGTACCCGATACAAAAGGATCTCGTATGAAAACCGACTAGAATATGTGAGGTTGGCCCTCAACTTTAGGTAAGAAATTATTTGCAACATTATCGAAATTTTTTTTTTATGAATCTACAGAGTGTGTATATAAAGACTCCCAAGCAGATTTATTTGGAAAAATAGACGTGTTTGAATTCTATAAAAAAAGTTTCATATAAATATTACTGAATTGTATAGATTTTTGAATGGGAGAAATTTTTAAATGTAATGTGATGAAAGAGACTTAATTTGTAATGAAATTTTGTTTAAAAATAAATGCAGTAGGTCTAAGCCATCGAGAATGAAGTAGTGATTACATTTTGCGATATGACAGATGAACGCACTTCGAGTGATGGAAAAGTGTAATCAAAATGGCGACTTAGACAGAGTCGTACTTTGATTGATTTGAAGTCAATAATTTTATATTTGAAGATTGAATGAATGAAAATGTTTAACAAAATATAGTAAATGTGATTTATTATAGGAGTTTACTTTTAACTCCAACAAATGTTTTAATTAGAAAAGTAAATTATGATTTATTTCCACACAAACATTGTAGCAAAAATCACGAATACGGTCTTTGTAATTGTTTACAATATTCTTTAGACTTATGGAATGTAATTCTTGATGTTTTTTTCCTTATGCTATCTCTGCTGCAACAACTTCTTACAGCACATAATATCATTATGTATTTACATTCAAGGACAAAAATATTGCATATTTTATTTTTTTAATCTTATTATTTTTTATTTTATTCAGTATGTTATTAAAAATATTTACACAATCCGTTATAAGCGAATAAGCGGTTGTCTTACAAATTATACACACTGCATAGTATGTCTTGAAACTGACAATGCAGATCCTGCATACTGTAGGTACGATTCATATCTACACCGACGGTTCTAAAACAAAACAAGACTCCAGATTCTTAAACCTAAACATAAAATGGGATATGAGCAATAGTGCCAGTGTAGTTCAAACAGCTAACGGGTATTCTCATAGCAGCAAAAGAAATAACCAGAAACAATATCACTAGAAGGAACATGCTCATGTATACAGATAGCAGACAAGCACTACTCACCCTGAACAGACCACGAATTTACTCAGGGTTAGTACTAGAATGTCACGAAGCTTTGACCAAAGTATCCATCAACCTTAAGATGGAACAAAGGTCACGCCACATCGAAAGGTAACCGTCTTGCTGATTCACTAGCCAAGAAAGCAGCCAACCAAATAGTTTTTGAACCTGGCCCTTCTATTGGCCTGACAAAATCTGTAGTGACAGACCTAATTAAAGAACATTCCCTTGTGAAATTCAAGGAAAGGTAGGATGAAACAAGAAACTGCAGAGTTGCCAGGGAGCTTTTGTCATTTTCAAATATATCTTGTCGTTTTTCTCTCCTGCTCATTTCGGTTTGGTTGCTACTTGCCATGTCATTTTCATTCTTCATTGCCCAGGACCGTACTGACTATTCTCCGAGACTAAGAATATTTAGGTACATTTTCTTACAAACAGTCATGGATTTATTACTAATAATAAAATAATAATTTAGTGTTTGGGATCTATGAGAGGTTTCAATTTTTTTTGACGGCCTCTTTTCATCACACACTTTGACGGATTTCCAACAAAAACTTTTCGCTACTCCCAAGTCATATCTTCCCAGAACTTTTTGAATAGCTTATCTCGATCCTCGTTTGAAATTAGAAAACATTTTCTTGTAGCACCATTCACCTTCTCTTTATTTGAACACTTACACCTTTTATTTTTGTTTCATTACGTTTTTTGTTTTGAAACGTATTTTTTTTATTTTTGGGCTTTGTGAATCCCAAGTAACTTTTTCCTGTCAGTCACAGCCGTATGCATAGTCGATCGCTAGCGACTCGCCAGAGATTGCCCAAAAAGGTGGCGTCTCGCCGGAGATTGTCACCGAAATGTCATTTCACGCAAGTTTTTATTTTCTTTTATAGGGATTATCACCGGTATCTCTCGCATTTTATTCATGATTCATTTCTTAAAACTCAAAAAATAATGAACGAATATCAAATTTTTCCCTATAAAAGAACATGAAAACTTGCGTGAAATGACATTCCGGTGACAATCTCCGGCGAGTCGCCAGCTTTTTGAGCTTTCGCCGGCGGTTCGCCAGCGAATCGCTGGCGATCGACTATGCATACGGCTGTTAGTGTTTTATTAATAGCCCTTTTCATTGTACTCTTTACGCTTTCTATTTACATGTTCACTTGCAGGTTGATCTTCTAAATCGCTATCCTCTTCTGATACTTGCCCTTGCGGTTCTTGATTCGACTATGCTTTCTTCAGATGAGTCAGTATCTTTGCGCCCCATAGTGGCGTCGTAATTGGGATCAGAAAGGTTTTCTTCGGGTATTATCGTGAGAGAATTTGTAACGCATTGATCCAAACTGGCTTCTACATCGTTTACATTATTTATTTCAAAGCTATTTCTGCTATTGTAGATTCCATGATTTCCAAATTCGAAATTTGTTCAGGAGAACTCTTAAGAATTCCTGTCTCCGCACTACTTTCGAATATTACTGATTATTTCAGAAATATCCTCAGGGCCCAGAAGCTGTTCCAAGTTAAGCTCGAAAAAAGACTTGTTAAGATCACTTATATTTGTCAAATTCAGGTCATTTTTCTTGTTCATGGTTTTCGTTTACTATTTCTGATTCATTTGAGTGCAGAATTTTAGCCATTCGACTATCTTCCTTGCTCAGTTGGACATTATTATATTAGTAGTTTTATACAGTACCTCGTAAGTGCTAATTCTATTTAAATTTTCAAAAATACAGAACCTCGTAAGTGTCACCTAAAACGAAAATGCTTTTTGGGGTAAAGAAATATATATTTATTGAAGACTAAATGAGACAAAAACATCTAACAACACCTTTTAAAAGTAATATAAAATTATAGTTATTTTAAACATCTTACCAGCTAAAAACACGAAGCACTTCCATGAACTACAACAATAATGTTCGATAATATGGAGCCGACTGAGAGATACGAGGTAATGCTTTCAAAATTGGCGTGAATGTAAATCCGAGGTTATGAATTTCGCGATTTACCGCTAAAACTGAAAACTGATTAGCTTCAAACTTGGTCAACAGATGGCATCATCTATTCTATGGAATATTTCATAATAACTCGAATTTCGCAAAAAATGGTAGATACGAGGTTCTGCGTTTTAACACTCGATTATGTTTTTAGATTGCACGAATTTGACGAACAAGTGAAAGCTGTAAGGGATGGGATGTCGAGAGTGGTACCAGTGCCGTTATTGTCTCTTTTTAGTGGATATGAACTAGAAACTATGGTTTGTGGATCTCCCGATATACCATTAACGTTACTCAAATCTGTTGCGACTTACAAAGGTAAATATTATTGGCCTTTTGAATTTTCTACATTATTTTTTATTTATGAATTTTATAATCAGTTTACTTGTAGTTTGAAATAAACCTATGCCATAAAAATTAAAAAGAAACCGGCAAGAACAGTGGCAAATTTAGGTGCATATTTTTTAAGAAAAAATTGTATATAATTGACGTTTTTTTTTGATATTCATATTTAACCCATTAACGCTCACTATTTTTTTAATCGAGAATATTTTGTTTCATCGATTTTTTTTAATAATTTAGGCTTCCTGAACATCTAAAAAATAGTAAAAAAAATCTAGGCTGTCATATGACAGATTTATAGCATGGGTCGTTTACGACCCACTGAGCACATAGCATATAGGTAGGTAGTAATAAGGTAAGTATTTGAAGTAAAATATCTTTTATTCAAAAATTCAAAATACAAAAATACAAAAAACACAAAAAAAACAAAAAATACAAAATAATATTCAAAATACAATATTATTTATGATATATTGCAAAACATTTGTCATGAAGTGCAACTTCGCAAGTAGAACATCCCTTTATAGTTTTATTTTTACAAACAACGCACCTTCTTCTGGGCAAATCAGTTAAAATTATATGACTGGCGTTTATTCGGGCTGGTAATGGATAACTTCTAGTTGAAGTTGGCCCAGATCTTAGAGGTGCAGTTCCATATTTAGCCAGAAGTGCATTGACCACTTCTCTTCTGAAAGACAAGTTGTCAAGGGATAATCCACAACTTCTTGCCACATGCCAGGCATTATTCATTGCCACATCGAATAGCCACAGAATAATGGGCATATACCATTTTTTACCACGCATGGATATTCTATAATTAGATATATTGTTGTCCATTTGGTCCACACCACCCATATTCCTATTATATAAGGAGATAACGTTGGGTTGAGGAATATTTATTTTTGCCTTGTCCTTCGCAGAGTATCGCGAGGCTTTCTGGACGGGGTTTGCTCCGAACTGGTTTGAGAGTAATGTAACATTACTGTTATCTTTCCATCGTACGGCAACAATGTTATGATTTGGATCAAGCTTGGTGTCATAAGATCCTCTATCTTTTTTTTTGTAAAATGCATCATCAGGTAATCCGCAATTTTCTGTACGATTTTGTCGTACGGTGCCTGTTGCTGCAAACCCTTTTTCTCCCAACGAAGTAACAAGTTTAGCAGACGTAAAGAAATTATCAAAATAGAGCGAAAATTGGATACCATCATAATGCTCCTTCAAAATATCTGCAAATTTCATAACCACATGTTCTCCGAGACCAAATTCAACTTCACCATCTTTTCGACGACCCTGATAAATGTCTAGCTGAGCACAATACCCAAGACGAAGGGCTAAAACCCAGGCTTTAAACCCAAAACGAATGGGTTTGCCACGGATGAATTGCTTGCATCCGTGGCGACCAAAGTATGGAATCATCGATTCATCTACAGAGAGAGACTGCTCAATTGGCATATATTTGAGAAACTTCTCATTCAAAACATTTATCAAAGGTCTTACTTTTGCCATTTTGTCAGATCTATCTATTACGTCATTATTCACGAGATGTAGATTTCTAAAAATTTCTTCAAATCTCCTTCTTCTCATAGATTTTGACACTAAAATATTTTGCACATCACTTGATTCCTCCCAATACATTCTACGTCTGGGAAGAATATTGTACCCGCTAAGAAATAAAATTCCAACAAATGTATACATTTCTGAACTGGATAACGTTAGAGTTCTATTTTGAGAGGCTGCGTATGTAACAGTATTTCTTACAATGTCGTCAATAACTTCTTTTGTTATAAATAACTCAAAAAAATCCAAGGGGTGCGTACTGCTACTAAAAGTCAGTGGCATTGGAAAAGATCCTGTCCACTCCGCGAACAGCGGCTTTTGCAAGTCTCCGTCTACCCATGTTCTGACTTCTTTTTTTGATTTTTTACTTTTCCTAGCGGGTGCCACAATGTTTTCAGTAACGTTACAGCTTTTACTATTATTATCATCATCTTCCAAATCTTGATCTTGATTTTGAAATTCCTCAGCCGGTGTATTGTTTATATAAAGTTCTGCTTCTGCTAACAGCTGATTTTTATTCAGCCGATCAGGATCATTTGAGTCGTCTTCCCCGGAATCTTCATCCGTTATGTTTCCAGTATCATTAGGTGGAGTAACGTATATATCATATTGATTAGGATCATCATCGTCAATATTTTCTAGCTCCGATAACAATTCATGGGTTGTAAGTGGTCGCCGCCTAAAATTTTAGTAAAATAATATTATACACATATTATACAAATAATAATTACTTGTGATTACCTTTTCCTCAATGTTTGTTTGCTCATTTTTAACAAATTAGACACTAAACTAAACCACTAAACCAAATCAAGCGCATGTGACAGCAATTACTACATAACCTCAAAAAAGTACTTATGTGCTCAGTGGGTTGCTAACGACCCACGCGAGTTCTGTGATGAATAACTCGAACGGTGTATTATTTTTGCAAAGTATTTCAACAGAATACTAGATTTCAAAGATATTTTAACATATAATCACTACTCATTTTAGGAAAAAATAAAAAATAAATATTTTATGTGTTGTCATAACTGATGGTGTAAGCTGGGTAATGGTAACTAAAAATAAATAATTAGTTTTTTTTACAACAAATGCGAATAATCGAAACATTTATAAAAATTGTTTGAAATAAATATACAAAGAAGTGATTTTGTGTAAAAATAAAATTATAGAACTGAAATACAGAAGAAAAAAAAATTAAATACATACGGGGTCGTTAACGACCCGCTGAGCGTTAACTTTTTCTAAAGTTCAATAGTAAATGGAGGAAAATTATTTTCTGTGAACTTTTGGTTTATACTTGATTGACTGCCATAGTCCACACTCTTTTACCTCACTTAACTGTTAAAGAGTCTTTGGCTGTATTGATTACATACATATTAGTTCCTCTTGCTTGTCGGATCTTAAATATATCTTCCATGTGATTGAATGGTATTTTCGATTTTTCATTGTAAACCAAGGTTTTTGTTCTGGGATGATAGTTGCATAGTTTTTATTTAATTATTAACGAACAAGAATCCCAAATAATATTAGATGGAAAATCAAACTTAAACCAAATCATTAACGGCGACTAAAGGAACTACTACAAAAGGAGATTCCATCTACTTTAAAATAGTTGCTTTGTAGATAAGCCTCCCGTCAACGTTATCAAATACTTCTTCATTAGTTAATGACTGGCAGCTCAAGAGAACAACCAAATTACATTTTAGGTACACCCCTCGATGAAGAACATCGTCTTCATCACTTAATAAACAAATTTTAATTAAGTTTACGTGAAGCTAAAAAGAACCCCGCACGTTTTCTATTTTGGCCTTTCACTCCCGGAACTGGGCCAAAATAAACAGTAATCGTCAGTATTCCGAGATATTAGCCATTGAAGGTGTTTATTCCGCCCACTCGTCAATATCATGTTTTTCTTTGAAACAGCATTTAAAAACTGTGTTTATAAAGGAGTATAAACATGGACTATTGGCTATATGTATAATATTTTATAGATTTATATGTTTATACAGTCTCCGGGAAAAGTATGAAACAAATTCATTATTTCTTAAGAAAAATCTTGAAAACGTCGATTTTTACTTTCTAATGCAAATTTGTTGACATACTTGAGAAATATATTATGTCACCTTTGTTAGCGTGCATGCAAAAACGCTTCGGGATTCCACAGCACTACGGAGGCTCCGAATCAGGCGCGCCTAATTTTTAAAAGTGGTTTTTTACTAATCGCCCTATACACACGCTACTGTTCTCAAAATGTTACTGCAAATCAGTTACTTCTGTCCACTCATCTTTTTCTCAAGTATGACAAGAAATGTGCATTTAGGAATAAAAATCGACATTTTTCAGAATGTTTCTCAAAAGTTGTTTATTTTGGAAATAATGAATTTGTTCCATACTTTTGCCGGTCACTGTATAAACATATATTTATAAAAGATTACACGAAATGTAGTGTGGTGATGAAGTAAGGAACAAAATTCATAATTGCATTATTTAATGTTTTTAAGCAAAATGCTCGGACAGGTCAATTTTAATATTTAATTAGCTACCTTATGGTATACAAATTTTATTTACGTCATGTATTTTTGCACAATAACGTCATCATTGGTTTTTTAAGTAACAACCCTAATTTTTTTGCTGTTTTTAATAGATGGTCCAATTACTTAAATGGTGGTGTAAAAAACTATTTTTTTTTGAAAAAATAACTTACCGAAAGAAACCAAAATTTAACTTTAATGAAAGAAAATCCTAATAACATCCCAAAAACAAACAAAGTTTAGCGTAATTGTTCAAATTGCTTTCCTTCAACCATTTGGCACTGACCAATACGAGTGTAAACACTTTGTACACTTCGCTCAAGAAAAATCTAAGGGAGTCAGTTCTGGGGAACGCTGTGGCCACTCAATTGCTCCTCGACGTCCTATCCACCTTCCGAGAAATGGCATCAAGATATTGACGGACGGTTATTCCAAAGTGGGGTTGCTACCAAATATTCTAATCGAGTACATTTGCCTCGGGATCATTAGGAAAAATAACTGACAGAGCTGGAACTAAATCAAACCGCAAAAAAGACCAAATAACGTGATGCTGTAAGGTTTACTTAAAAAAATAAGGCCCTATTAAACGCCGTCCGATTATTCCAATTCAAACATTTAATTTCCCTTGGCGTTGATTGTGATAGTCTTGAGCCCAGTGAGGATGTTCTCTTGATCAATACCTGCAATTATGAGGATGTAATGTCCCATTCAGGAAAAAAGTGGCTTCGTCAGAAGAGAAGATATTATTTAAAAAATTGGGGTCTCCATCGCAACGTAACATTAATTCAAATTCAAAATCGTTTATTTTACATAATTTAAGTAGTACATTAACAGAACATTGTTTGGAATGGATTCTCTAAGTCACGAGTGACTTGTCGAGAGTACATCCACAGTCATTGGGATACTTACCTATCAATTTAACATAAAAATACATATAAAATACAAAATAATTTTCTAATAATTATAGAATAAATAAAAATAATCTTGTCAGAACCCAATTATAGGCTGATGCGTCAGTCTCCGCCAGCTGAGTGATATCAAAGACGAAATACTAACCATCCAGATAACTGATAATTTATATAGATATTACTTTTCTTTTTTTTTTAAATTTATAACTTTAAAATAATTTACTTTAAAAAAGGCAACTTTGTAATTATTGTCTCACTGTTTTCTTTGATCCAGTGAGAAGCTTTTACATTAAACATTTTTCTATTTATTATATTTATATTTTTGATATGTGACGGTAACATGTTAAAGAGTATTGGTCCAGTAAAAGATACATGCCTCTGGCAGGCAAGGAATTCAACCCTGTTTGTATAGACATGATCTTGGGTGATGGATCTAGTGTTAATATTATGTTGAATATAATTTTTATAAGTATTTTTATATTTCATATAGTTTAAGGTGCTTTTTACGTAGAGTTATCTTATTGATAGAGCTCCACTCTCAGTGAATAAGCTTTCAGATGAATATCTTTTTGGTTTTTTATTTATTATCTTGAGAATATATTTTTGCGTTAGTGTTAAATTCTGTAAGATATTACCACACGTACTTCCCCAAATTTTTAAATCATAGTTTATGCTAGATTCAACTAAAGCTTGATATATAGTTTTTAGCAGTTTTTTTGTCATAAATTCCCTTAATTGGTAAAACTTATATATTGTTTTCCTAATTTTCTTAGTTATGTATTGAACATGAATATCATATTTAAGATTTTGGTCAATATAAACACCTAGATATTTTATATTTGATGCTGAGTTTATAGTTTTTGTGCAGTTGCATATTGTATCCTCATTAAAGCATTGGTATGTATGTATTTTAATATCAGGTTGGATATCAATATTATTATTACTAATTGAAAATGGTACAAAATATGTTTTGCTTTCATTTAGGATTAGAAGGTTTTGATCCATCTAGAATTTAACTAATGTTTATTTTTCTGCTAGTCGATATGTATCTGTCCATGTTTTAGCTTTAATTAATATAACTGAGTCATCTGCATAACAGATAATGAGGCCATTTTTTTCTGGCAATATCTTTGTAAGGTAGTTAATGTAAATTGAAAATAATAGAGGCGCAAGGACCGTGCCCTGAGGCAGACCCAATTCTACTTTTTTCTTACAGCTTACATTGTTACCGATTTTTGTTTGTTGTGTTCGACCATTGAGGTATGAATCAAATAGTTTCCATTCAGCTCCTCTAATTCCAATATTCTCAAGTTTTTTTAGCATTGAAATTTTTTGTTATATTTTCAGTCAGGTGTAGGATGGCATCTTCAGTGCTCATCTTACTACGAAACCTAAACTGTGTTTCGCAAAACTGCAGGTGGCGGTCAGAACATTCTCGTTTAATTCGTGAATCAATTGAACCTTCTCAGGATGATAGTTCTCTTTCTTGAACAACCTTACGACAAAACAGTGGTCCACATTATTATTTAGGGCTAGCTGCCTTGCAGGATGGTGAGGATTTTCTTCAGCTTCGAGTAACATATTTATCTGGTTTTATCGTTTACTGGAGACCGACCTTCAGAGGCAAATCATGGACGGTTCCCGTTTCGGTAAATTTGGTAACCAATTTACTTACTGTAGATCTTACAATAGGCGGTTTATCAGGGTGTTCTTGGTTGAATAATTCACATGCTTTCTGATGTGTTCTTAACTTATCACCATATCCAACCATTTTTTTTTTTTTTTTGGTGTGTCATCGGCTTCAACTGCTAAGGTTATTTCGCCTCGTGTTCTGTGTAGGCTTTGTTACTGTTTCCTAGTGCCACTTTAGGAACAGCACTGTTAATTAGAACCCAACAGTGAATGGTCGAGTGGGGAATCCTACCAAGGCATCAGAATTAATTTTAAATAATTAAATGAAAAAAATTCCGGGATTCGAACCTGGTCCCACCATTATTAAAATTTCTATTCTTTCCCGTTCAGTTAAACGTGGCATTTTTTGTTAACGACAAAGAGGATTTTGCTTTTAAAAAACTTGCTAAATGCGCCTTTTACACTTAACTAATGTGAAGTTAAATTTACGAATATTTGTAAATCGGTCAAAAGTGACAGAAGTGATAATGATAATTTGCAAAAAAAAGTGTTTACACTCATATCGGTCAATGCCAAATGGTTAAAGAAGAGTAATTTGAACATTTGCGCTAAAATTTGTTTGTTTTTGTGGTAGTATTAGGATTTTCTTTCATTAAAGTTAAATTTTGATTTCCATGGATAAGTTATTTTTCAAAAAAAAAAAAAAAATTGTTAATTAAGGTACCAATTTATGTCAGAGTTAACGCATCGTACACGCTCCTTAATGATTATAAACAGTTTAAAATGATATTTCAAAGGAAAAAGTAATATGGATGAGTATCAGAGTAAACACCTTCAATGTCTAATGTCTCGAAATCCTGATGATGATGTTTTTTTGGAAATTTTTATACAGCATGGTAAAAACTAGCTCTGTCCCAAGTTAAAGGTCGCGAGAATAAAATTCAAAATAGACTGAAAACGTGCGGATTTTTTTAATTGAAAATTTACTCTTTTCTTTTCAATTATTTTCCAATGCTATTCGTTATTATATGGATTACGTTAATGGTCGATTGTTTTTTTTAAAGCTATAAAGCCAAACTGGTGTGTCAGAATAATTTTTTTACCTTTATTATCGGTTTTAATTTCTTCAGTATTTTTTCAGTTTAAAAATTATTGGATGTAAAGAGATTGGTCTGTATGAAGAAACTTCATTTAGTGGTTTGCCTATTTTAGTCACTTTCCATATCTTAGGTACATATTTCAGTCCAAAGTTGGTATAAATAATAATTAGACCAAAGCTTGGTGCTTTTTTCGGGTTAATATTTTCTTTTAACTCTGGTGCTACTTCTTTTAAAGTAAATCTGATTTCACTCTTTTGTTGATTTTTGTAAAAAATTTACTATTTTTTTAAGCCCATTTATATTGATTTATAAAATATTTACAGGTATTGATAGTAGTGCCCCACTCATTCAATGGTTCTGGGAAGTAATGGAAGAATTCACAAACCAAGAACGTTCGTTATTTTTGCGATTTGTTTGGGGCAGAACCCGATTACCAAGGACTATTGCAGATTTTAGAGGCAGAGATTTTGTCATACAAATACTCGACAAATATACCCCACCAGATAACTTTTTGCCTGAGAGTTACACTTGCTTCTTTTTGCTTAAAATGCCTAGATATTCATGTAAGGTAAGAACAACATTGGTTATTTCAAAAGCAGAACGCTCATACAATTTTTTGGTCAGTTGAAATGCAACTTACAAGTTGATTTGAAAAACCAAGTCTTATATTCTAATATTAACGTCTTAAGTAGGCGAGCGAATATAGTCGCGCTCGTTAATTCACACTGTGGTGGGCGAACGACTAGTCGCAACGCGTCATACATAAACTAGTCCGCCACTCAATGTTGACAATAGAGATTTACTGGAAAATATAAATTCGTTTATCTTGAAAAGTAGTCAACAGATCATTCTCCAGTAGGTGTTTATTTTAAAAACTTTCTATTATCGATGACAAACAATACAAATGATGTATTGTATAAGGAATTTATAAATTACCCCGCTTTAAAAAATGATCTTAGTATACAATATTGGGAAAATGTCTACACTGGAAATAATGCCAACAACATTATGGAAAATTTTATTGATGAATTGCAATATTATATTGAAAAGAATACAAAAAAAATAAAAGTTATAAAAAAAATAGTCCTAGAAAACCATGGGTTACAAAAGAACTTATAATATCAATTAATATAAAAAACAATATGTATAGGCAACTGAAAGATGACCCCCATAACATAGTTTTAAAAAATAATTATAACATTCTAAAAAATAACCTTACTAAGGAAATTAATAAGGCAAAATACAAATACACGAAATCACTTATTGATAAAAATGGTTACAACTCAAGAAATTTATGGCGATGTGTAAACCAAATCTGCGGCAAAGGCACACCCGAAACAAAAATCGAAAATATCGTAATTAATAATAACATTATTACTGACAAATTTGAAATAAGTAATCATTTTAACACCCATTACACTGATTTGGGAAGAAATTATGCTAATAAAATAACAACTCCTGACAACTATGTTGACCACATTGAACAAGTGGAAAACTCGATTTTCCTATTCCCTACAAATACTCTTGAGGTTGAAAATATGATAAAAAATTTGAAAAATAAAAAATCCCCAGGTAAAGATAACATCCGGGCTGAAACATTAAAAGAAGTAACTAATGAAATAGTACTTCCTCTAACATTCATAATAAATAAATGCTTTCAAAATGGTGTATTTCCAACTTGCTTAAAGACAGGTACAATCAAACCCCTCTTTAAAAGTGGCAAAAAAAAAATGAAATAATAAACTATCGTCCTATTACTTTGATATCTAATATATCTAAAATATTTGAAAAAATTATTAAAAATCGGATCACAAAATTCTTGAACAAATTTGACGTTCTCTCTGACATGCAGTATGGCTTTAGAGAGGGTAGATCAACAGAGGATGCAATTTTTAAATTAATATCCGAAATATATTCACATATAGATAAAAAAATACCCTCCTTATGTATATTTCTTGATCTGTCCAAAGCCTTCGATACTGTTTGTCATTAGTTGTTGTTGAAAAAACTTGAATCATATGGTATTAGGGGCAATATGCACAATTTAATCAAAAGTTACTTATCAGGGCGCACACAACAAGTTAAAGTAGATGATGTTGTAAGTGAAATTAGAGAAGTAACCTTCGGTGTTCCGCAAGGAACAGTCTTAGGTCCATTATTGTTTAGTTTGTTTATTAATTCACTTTTAAAAATGAAAACGGACGGCACTGTTATTAGCTTTGCAGATGACACAGCCATCCTTTACAAGGGAAAAACTTGGGATTCACTAAAAACAACAGCTGAATTAGAAATGCAAACAATAATGAAATGGTTTCAATATAACAAACTTACTTTTAATATTGAAAAAACTAAATACTTACCCTTTTGTTCATACGTAAGTAGCCTACCCAATCTTGGTCCGCTAAAAGTAAGCGATTCATCTTCCATTCCCGAACAGCCTACAATTAAATATTTGGGAGTTATTTTAGACCGTCACCTAAGATGGAATTATCATATTGACCATGTTGTACAAAAAATTACAGGTTTTCTGTCACGTTTTAAATTTTTATCAGGCATCTTCGAACAATTTATTTTTCACTAATCCAATCACAAATAACCTACGGTATAATTAGATGGGGTAGCACCAATCAATGTTACCTAAAAAATATTAACGTTATACAAAAATGGATTATAAAATTAATGTATAAAAAAAATAAAACTTACCCAAGTGATAAATTGTACAAAGAGAGCCAAATTCTTGATTCTAGACAACTATATGCATTACGACTTTTATTAAACATCTATAAACGTAGGCCAGAATTGCAAACACAAACACATCAATACGAAACTCGAACAAAAAATCTATACTTACTACCAAAACGTGAAAAAACCATGGGTCAACGCAGTCCCATGTATATAAGCACAAAATTACTTAATTGCCTACCTGAACACATAAGAAACTCAGCTTCGTACTATATTTACAAGAAAAATGTGAAATATTGGATACAAAGTACAGGTGCAACATTTTTTCAAAATATAATGAATCCATGATGTTCATGTATAAAACTTAGGTATATGTAAATATTCCTAAAATTATTATTATTGTGATACTAATTAATCTCGATTGTGTACAAAATATTTTAACAGTTTTAACAGATTTTAACCATTGTTTTGTTTAAGATTGTGTGGAAAATAAATATAAATATAAAAAAAATATAACAGACTGCAAATTTTTATCTAGCCAGTTTTAATTAATTTTATTTTTTATTATCTTTATGTATCATTGTATTTATAGTTATTACATTAGTATTATTATTGTTATTATTTATTATTATTAATTATTATTATGCTTCCCCGCACACAGACACAATCGTGTCTCAGCGGATGTATGAATGTTTATTTATTATTTTTTTAAACTTCTGTATCTACTAAAATATATTTTTTTCTTTAAATTGAATAAACAATATTATTATTAATATTCTAAATTTTAAACGACTGTGTGTAAAATAGGTGAGAACATCACCATTGGCCCAGCAGGCAACTGCAAAAGCCGACCCAAAACCTTCGGGAATTGTGTTTTTATGTTATATTAATTTGTATATATGTGTAAATTTTTGAACATGTAAATAAAGTTTTCTAATGTAATGTAAACAATATTCTACACAAATTTGGTATATCTCAACTTTACAATAAATGGCCTAACAAACTCCTTTTAAACAGAATAAGACCAGTGAAGACTACATTTTCAGGTAGACTGTTATAATTAATAAATCCTTTAAAGATTAATGTTTTAGTATTTAATATTTTTATTTGATTATTTACATACAAATTATTTCTTATTCTAGTATTATACTGATGAATATGATTATTAAAAATTACAAATTTGTTGAAATAGGATGGTAACAGATAATGTAACATTTTGTAAATGTATACGATAGTTAAATATGTAAGCCTGCTTTCAATACGTATTTGGGAAAGTGAGATATTAATTGTGCAAGAAATTAGATTTAAAAGAATGAATCTTTGATATCTTATATTCTAGAAATTTACTTCAGTTTCATTATAAAATGCATTTGTCTTTAAAAAAATGAATGAAAATATGTTTTTAAATGACATTAGTACCTTAAAAACTCACGTAGGTGGCATTTTAATTTTAAAAACCGACTCATAATAACCCCACCACCGGAAATTTCTGGAGGCTATATTCAAACTTGAGAGAAAGTGATTTTTCAAGATTTTCATGAGAAATTTAATACCTCATCCTAAAAACAGTATTTTTAAAGCTGACTGTTTCTCTTGATTTAGTTTGAGCCGTTGACGTAAGACCTTCCTCATGATAATCTTGAGAGAAATGAGTTTTAAGTTTTAAAATGTCCGCAGCTTAAAAAATATTAGTAGGTCATGTCGAACTATGTGAAAGTTTTCATTGAAATTGTATTCCTCTAGAACACCTTCGAATCTCAAAATGTTCTGTTCGTCAAATCAACGAATCTTCAAGAGACTATATAGAACTCTTGGCTTATCAGAAAGTTACGATACTGTGCTAGGCGATACTGAACCTGATCATCTATATATAAATAGGCATAGATAAAATAGTTTAGTACCATTTTCTCTTCTGTTTGTGAACCGATTATCTTTTTTTTGTTTTGTTAAATTGCGTTCGGTCTGCCAAACTCCTTTAACACTTTTTACTCCAAACTACCCTTCTGCCTTTTAGCGTTCAGTTTAGTCCGATTAGTGACAGTTCAACACGCTTAAATGTAATTTAAAAGCATGCTAAGAAACTCTGCTTTAGTGTTATCAATAAAAAAAAAATTGAAGAGTTAGTATTTTTTCCAACCTCGGTATATGAAATCCATTGATACACAATAATATGAATTATGATTGTCTAATAACATTAGCCTATAGCGAACATGAGCAGTAAGCACCTTTTAATTTCGAACCGTCCAGATAGAATAAAGTAAAGACGACATAAACACTATTTTGTGATATGACAGATGGACGCACTTCGAGTGACGGGAAAGTGTAATAAAAATGGCGACTTGAGCCGCACTTTGATTTATTTGAAGTCAATAATTTTATATTTGAAGACTGACGGAATGAAAATGATTTTATATAATTTAAATGAAGCTGTTACCAAAACTGACTAGCTCCACTTTCTCTTAGCTTCTTCTCTTTATTCTATCTCAATGTTACGAACCGACACACACAGGGGCAAAAAGTATCAGAACTTACCAACAATTCCAGAAATCATTAAAGCTTATACTTTTGCATTCTGGATTGTGTTTAAAGTGTAAATGTAACAAACTAATATCAATAGAGCTATTATTGACACTATACAGAGTTTCTCATTATAACTGACACCTTTCAAAGTAGGTACAGGCTATTCCTTAAAAAGTTGTGAGAAATTCAAGTAGTAAAACAGCTTAGTAGGTATTAGTAGATATAGTAATTACTTTTATAACAAAATTATCCCTCCTTGAAATTACATTAAATTCAAGAGTGGCAACATAAAAAATAAAACACAACATAATATTATGCTACAGGACACACTTCAAACATTATCAAAATATTACATTAACATTTTGTTATCAATTAAAAGGCTTTCATAATAATATATCGGTGGTTTGATAATGTATTAACTGAAAATAGAGACAATAAACTAAGGTCTGTAGCTCAATTGAACAAAAATTATTGAAGCATGGATAAAGCTTCGCTAGAAAAATTGTTTTTTAGACAGGGATTTTGCCAAATAACTTGTTTCAAGTCTTTGAATTTGGGGCTTTCACATACTCGTTTTATAGGCACTAGCCAGGTTACAAATGCCCTTGAATTAATATCATTTTAAAATTTTTGTTATTAATTTTTTTGTCCAGAGGAGCGATCAAACTCCAATTTGCATATTAACAATACCTTCTTTGGTATTATTCGATCAAACCTACTCAAAATTTATTTTTGTAATAACAATATTCTTTTGGTGATGTCCTGAAGTAGGGACTGAAGTTCAACTTCTACACAAGTGGAACCAACTTTTATATTATTAGGGTAACATGCAAGCTTGACTTGTTGCATAACTTTATATGAGGGAAATCTGGCTTTGTCATTTTTTCTAAATATATTGATTACGAGATAAGTTCGCTTCCACTAAACCTAAAAGTGTCTCCTCTGGTGGCAATTGTGTTTTAGTATCTACAGTCATAACTGTATTTAAAGCACTTATGTATTCAGTAGCTCTCGCACGATTCTTATAAATTTCTTGTAATAGTTATTTAGGTTTGCACATTATCAGATTTTCTGAGCTCCATTTTCGCTCTAGAGTCGACCGTTTTCGAGAAAAATCAAATTTTGTTTCATCAAGTATGTATGACCATGTATTTCAACATTAAAATTTGATTTTTCTCAAAAACGGTCGACTTTAGAACGTATGACCAAGAGTACCTTTTTTGTGTAAAAAACATTGGCGGTTCAAATGGGCGTCTCAAAACCGTACTTTTTCCAGTGGCGTAGAATTTTTTTTTTTTTTTCAATTTCAACACCCTGTATCTCGAAAATGGTGCATTTTAGAGGGTAAGTTAATAGAAACGTTTTTTCATATTTTTGGACGAGCTATCACGCATATATTATGAAACACCCTGTATAGGACCCCTAGACTTAGGAAAATGAACTTAGGTTACGACAGATTGGACATCGAGTCGAAAAAATCTAATAATTGGATCCATTAGAAAATCCTCAAACTCTTCATTTTTAATGTATGTTTAGCGGTAATTCTTTACCACCTTGTCCAATTTCTATGATTTTTTGTTAGTAAGGGGGTACCTCAGGGGTGGTCCCATATAAAGTTGGTTAAAATCTAATAATTGGGTTTATGAGAAAAATCCTCACTCTTAATTTTTTGTGTATGTTTAGCGATAATTTTTTACTACCTTGTCCGATTTTTATAATTCTTTTTTTTGTTAGTAAGTGGGTATTTAATGCCTTTATTCTCAAAATGTGAAGCAATTTTTGCATAAACGATTGACTTTCAGATAAAAATATGTTTTGTAGAATTATTTTCGTTTTTAGTATAACTATTGTAATGTTTTAAATAGCTTTTTTTTTTTGAAAGTACGGCCCGTTTGACCAATATACAATTTTACCACAACTTAATTTATTTGAATAAGGATAATTTCCTGACCGTAACATAATTTTATATAAATACCGAACGGAAAGCGGTAGAACAGCCTTAACTTAAAGTCGACTTACTTAAAAATAATGATTTTTTAATTGACTATAGAATTATGTACTAATAACACTAAGCAATATGTATGAACAAATATCATTCACTATTTTCCATTTATTTTATGTCTTAAAATATACGCGCCCCTGGTTTACAACTTTCTAGGTAAGCTACCAATTCTATTCATCGGTAGGCGTGTTCGTAGCATTATAAATGCGCGTCCTTGGTTCTTTAGATTTGGCGTTTACTATACCTCAGGTGTGGTCCCATATAAATCTGGTTAAGATGTGGTGTCGGAATCTGCACGATTTTGATGTAGGTTTTTAAAATTACTTTTAATACTTGTTTATTTAATTATAATGGTACTAAACTATGTTGTATTATAAGTACACAAAAAAATTGATGGTCGCAGATATACAATGAACGAATGAATAAGAATAAAAAAATGTTAGAAACATTGAAATGCATGTTTTCCTTCAAAATTTTTAATAATAATTATGATCGAATTTCGATCACTGGGCCAACACTACTAATAATTATTTACCAAACCCCACGCTATCGGGATTTACAAAATATATTGTAACATGTTTATATTCTCTAAAAAAAAACTTATTTTCGCGCAGACCAGAGACATACAAATATTTTCGTTTATAGATAAAACAATTAAAAGAGTCTACAGTATTCCTCTATGGTTGTGTTAGACGTTTGTCTTCAATGTGAGTAAATAATAAAAAGGAGCTGTTACTTTAAATTATCCACCTTATTTCGATAAAATATGTACTGTTTTCAGTGTTACAAGTCATTTATAAATAAAAATATATTTGCAAATTGCATCCCTTGTATAATCATAATAGAGTACTTTTAATTAAATCCGCAGCGCTAACAAATATACAAACATTAGGATGTTTTACCTCACTAAAAATGATAAAAAAAAAATGTATAAGACACCACAACATATAAAATTGTATTGTTTACTGGTCAATATAAACATAATTTTTATATTATTTATTTTGTGCTAATATATTATCTATTAATACCCACCTATCTAGTTTTACGGTCTAAAATAACAATTACGTTAAACCATGATATATCAAATGAAATTTATAGACTGTAATTATTCTGTAAAATACTATGTAATGTAAAAATTTGATTCTGGCGGATCGGCCATACTGAGTCGACATAAGCCGCGCCCAGTGATACCGTTTTGAATGTTTGAAAAACATGCTTACAGCGTCTCCCTACCTTCTAACTCTATGATTCTGCCTCATGCCAATATGTCTTACTACAAATTTGTTCTCAACAAGTGTTTCCAATGCTTAAATAGTATGTTAAACAAACAATTAATTTATAACAGGTGTATAACACAGCGCTTATATCTTAACCTCTGCGGTTTAGTACTCAGGTACTTATTTATCAGTATCACTCACTTTTTTTTTGTAATGGGGTTTCTTCGCCCATTATTAACTAGAAATACTATACATTGTGTTTTGCAAAAAATTATTGGTTGAGTAAAGCAGTTGCTAGCTGAACCGACAGATCGTTATAAAATAAAAACCCTTTATTACAAAATGTAAAAATAATAAATGTTACCATTCTTTTTTAGCACGTTTTGCATCAAAAATTGAAGTATGCTATCCATTTCTGCAAGTCAATCGACAAAGATGAGTATGCTCGTGTCGCCATGACAGGTGACCTGGCCGTGAGCTCCAGTTCAGATGCAGAAAGTGATCCAGAAATGGACAGCAGTCACTAATAATTCTGCCTCCCGTCCAACTTTGTTTTGATTTTTATTAAAATGGGTTCTAATGTATTTGGACCATTCACATACCTTGTTTCACAAAAATTGGTTTCTGGAGTGAATTTTAATGTCAAATGTTAATCGAAAGTCGAAGGTTGTCACTTGTCGTCAGCCAGAAAGTACATTTTTGTGAAATAAGGCTTTATTTGTTTTAAAATAAAGTATTTTCTTTATAATAAGAGTATTTATTTATTTACATGGGATCAATTTGCCGTTAAAGAGTTGTTTTAAGAATAAACATTATTTATTTTCATGAAATCAATTTATTTTGTAATAGTTTTTCTCTAAAGAAACGTTCTGTCTAGTTTTTGTGACAGATATTATCATTACACAATTTAAAAAATTAGCTTATTGATCCTATAATTTGTCTACGTTAGCTTAGCTTAATGAATGTTTTTTTATACCTATATTGTTATAAATCTGTTGACATTCCTCGAATTTAATATGGTCAATTGAAGTTTTTTACACTCTGTATTATTGATGGAGTTTATGTATATCATATTTTGCTACATACACACTTTGCTAAGGTCCAACTTATGGGTCTCTACATATTTGTGCATTCGTTTCATAAGTGTTCTATAATTTTCTAAATGTAATGTACTAGTCAGTTATCTAATTAAAATCCATTAGATAATTATAATTTGTTTTAATAAATTCCCTGAACTTTCAGAGTTAGGATTTTTTCATTATTTCAACCACCCTTAACCACCCCATTTTTGTTTTTTTTTTTGTAAATTAATAGGCTTCCTACCCTTGTAGGGCTTGATTTTTTTCAAACTGATTTCGTTTTTGGTTTACCCTGTGGACAAAAAACGTTATATCAGTCGGACGGAACCAAATGCATAATACTCTTTACAGACTACTGTGTGAAGAGTATTATAATAATAAAACCTGAATCTTGACAAATAAAACAATGTGTTAGATAGAGATTTGAACAAGTATATTTAAAAAAAATGTACCATTGAATAATATAGGATGCTACTTATACTAATATAATTGCTTATTTATGCCTTTGTCTTCTTTGGTTTCAATGTAAAATATGCTATAAGGACACCTATACTTGCATAAGTGGCCAGAGCAACCTGAAAAAAAAAAAAAAAAATAAATAAAATTAAAAAAGGTACAATAAATATAATTTTGCATAAATTTTAATAATAATACTGATATTTAGATTATCCTAGAATGTGCAAAAATATTCAACACTAATGGGGTTATTAATATACTAGGACCTAAACAATTTTTGTCACTAATGCAACAAGGTACCTAATAGTCTCTTTACCCATAACCACCCTTCCAATCTTATCTTCTCAAGGAAATGTAGGATTTGGAGTGGCTACAAGTTAGGAGCATACCAAATAAGTATAGTGTGCCCTGGGATTTTAAAAATAATCTTCCAAAAAAATATTTTAATTCCCTCAGATCAATTGTATGCAGATGCCCAAGTAAAATATGTACAACAAATTTTCGTTCAAAAAATATTGTTTTTATATTTCAAAGTAAAATAAAATTTGTACATTATGAACATTCTTATAATACTGGGAAATATGAAAGGTTCATTTTCCTAAGAAGTGAAAAAACTATCTGGCAAAGAAATACTAACTATTTAGCCCCAAGCAGAGCTGGGGAGGATTCGAATCCTTTTTGAGGATCCGCAAGCGGTATTCGAATACTTAAGAAAAAAAGGATTCTAGATCTGGATTCGTCGAGGAAATCCTTAAGGATTCGTATTCGAATCACCAATATTAGTCTCGGATCCTTTTAGAGACCAACCTACGCCGGCGCGAACGATCAACTCACACTTTGACTTGTCGCGAAGTCAGTGTTGCCGATTTGCGTATAATTATGTGATTTTCGTATATTCTGACTTGCCAGCATATCTTTTTCTAACTCTTTGAAATTCCGTATAATTTCCATTTATTTTAGAAATAAGTTTAAACACTTGAGTTTATTTGGACAAGTTAGTTGTTTCAGTGTGTCTTCTGCTCTACTTTTATTAAACAGTGACTGACTGGTAGCTGGCTGCTTATTTTAGAGAAGGACACACTCCATGTCATTGGAACGAAGCCAGCAAAGCACATCTGTTCCAACGAAGAACCCTGTATTTTATAATAAACACTATTTTTTTCTAAAAGTTTTATATTTTAAGAGCCTAAAAATAGCTTAAACATGTGACATAAGTAGATGTTTCCAGAAAAAAAAAAAAAATAAATAAAGCGAGGGTTTCTGCTAACTTTGTTCCAACAAAGCACCCTGTATTATTTAAAAATAGCAATTTTTAGTAAAGTTTTATAATATTTCAAAAGTCTAAAAATGCCGTGTGGTTGTTCTTAGAAAAAGCTTTAAAAAACCAAGGTGCTATGCTGGGTTCAGTGCTCTGCTAACTTTATTCCAACAAAGCACCCTGTATTATTTAAAAATATCAATTTTTAGTGAAGTTTTATAATATTTCAAAAGCCTAAAAATGCGGTGTGGTTGTTCTTAGAAAAAAACTTTAAAAAACTGAGGTGTTATGCTGGATTCGTTGGAAGCTAGCAGAGAACCTTAATTTTTGCAGAAAATGAGAAGCATACCATTTTTGAATAGGGTATAAAAATAGCCTAAAAGTATGGCATAGGTTTTAACTCAAAATTGTCTAGGTGCTCTGCTACCTTCTTTGACATTAATTTGTAGATTATTACGTTTATCTTTTAAACAATAACAATCGGTCTTCAGTCTCAGTCTATTTCAGTTTACACTTTGCGACAAGTGAAAGTGTGAATCAACCGTTCGCGCCGGCTTAGTTTGGTCTCTAAAATGATCCGAGACTAATATTGATGATTCGAATACGAATCCTTAAGGATTTCCTCGACGAATCCGGATCACGGATTCTTCTTTTCTTGAGTATTCGAATACCGCTCGCGGATCCTCAAAAAGGATTCGAATCCTCCCCAGCTCTACTCCTGGGTGGTTTTAAGGCATGGACAGTATCAGAAGAAACAGAAAAACGTGTTAGGATAAGAGTTGTTAATCTATGGATAGAATTGCATTTATACAAAATAATTTTCAATACATCTTCACGTTTTTATTATTTACATTCAGGACTTTTCATATATCTTTCTTAGGTTACTTTCGATCATGCTTCCACAGGCATGTACAGCACATATGGCAACTCGGTTGTTTATAAGATAAACTACACCTTCCAATTTTTATGTTTTGACCTGCTGAATTCGATGCAGCCATCAGAATTTCATTTTATAGCGTTATTTTTTTTATCTTTGATTTTTGTATTAATTTTTTTTAAGGAAGTAGCTATTTTATTATTACTCACTACCACTCAAAACGTTGCTTAGAACATAGAGAAGAATACTTTCATGACTGGAAGTCACAATTCTTCACAATCCACATGAACTAACATCCCTAATTTCACTAAGCCCATCCAATACAAGTTCGAATATATTTTATTGTCTATAAATTGGATAAGGAAAGCTAAAGCAACTCATTTTTTAACAATTAATCAATTATTGTAGAATTATTAAAACATTTAGGATGAGATAAATAATTTAAAAATTACATAATCGAATTGTCTACTTACGTTTGCCCTTCCTCTCATAGTTTGTCCATTAAAAATTTTGCTTAAACCGCTTAATTTTGCTGCATCGGGTGAGTCGCCTCCAGCCATTATTATTTTTAATTAATTATTTCAATTTTCTTTAAAATGGAACGTTTCTGTTTAAAGTTTAATGGGTCGCAAAACTCGAAAATCAAGTACCCAAAAAAGAATGATAGATGACAGTAGTGACGTATGACAGTAGACGTATTAATCCTTCATCCATGTCGGCCAATTTTTAGCGATCTATGAGTTAAATCACACCAAAAACCGATAGTTTAAACTTTAATATGAATTCGCCGTTAAGAAGTAAAGTATCCTCAAAAGTTATTTTGAACAAATGGCTGTATAATTAATCCAATTATTTTTCTTTTCTACCTTTTGGCTTCAAGCGTTCTAAAGTATCACAAATTATGTCTCGTAGGTAAATGTCGTACAAATAAATTGATCCAAAAATGGTTCCCACAGAAATTGCAGTCTAAAATAAAAACATTATTAAATCCTTAGAAATAGATCTAAGAAAAACGAAATATTATTAAACAAAATGCGTTTTAAAATTGTTTTTTAATTATTTAAACTGCCACATTCTAATACACGGTAACCGTTGTTTTTAAAGTTTTGAGTACACTAAAAACTTTTATTATGAAGGAAGCTCTCAAAATATAAAAGATTTTTAAATATTGTTTGAGAGGTCTAAGATACTGTCGTGCGAGCCATTTTCGACTGGTTAGGTTCTACACTAATCCTTTAAGTCCCTCTCTTCCTTATTAGGCCTAATAGTCTAAGATCCGAAGTAAGGTCGACCTTCACCCATCTGTTTAATGGATAAAAGTTCCTTTTTATTAAATAAAATATGTTCATAAATATACTGCAAATGAGTACCTAAGAAAATACGGTCCAGACTATTTATTTTCTTAAAGTAAAAAAGTAAAAGTATTCCGCAGATGCTTCGACTATGCCCAAACTTTAATCAGCTCACCGCAGAGTGGATTAAAGCTTAAATTTAAAATTTGGTGTTTTTCTCTTCATTCGTTTTTGAGTTATCTTCAAAATTCGAAATTTGCACTTTTCCTCAAATATCTCGAATTAGGTCTATTTTAGGGAAATCATGTAGGGGAACAAAATAATAGAGAATGACATCATAAACAACTTTTATAATGATTTCTATGCTTTCCTCATCTATACACAGAAAAAAAAGTAAAACATTGCCGTGACCGTATTTTCTTAGGCAACCCATTTGCGGTATATTTAAAAACATATTTTATTTAATAAAAACAAACTTTTATCCATTAAACAGATGGGTGAAGGTCGACCCTACTTACGGATCCTAGACTATAAACTTTTTCGACTACAATATCCGATGAAATAAGTCAATCCCGAGACCCCCTCTATAGGTGCGCACATGGTTACCATCAGTCAGACTGAATCACTCATTCTAGAAAGTACTAGAACCGTAGCTAAACTCCTAGAAATTTGGGTACATAAAGAACGATGCCATTCGAGTTAGTTTAAGTTGAGATATCGACGTGAGCAAAAATAATTGTTAATATAAATTAGTAAAAGTAAATACGATTAGTCTAAATAACTTAATAAACTGTTAAAAATAAATAAACGTTACATTGGTGTCAAAAGGCAGGAAAACTGTGATTTAAAAGTAGACGAGTTATGTCAGGAACTAGAGGATTGGGAACTGGAGACAAATGTAGGGTTTGTATTCTGAAACATTTCTAGTTTCGGATGATGCATCTTCTACTATAAATTCTTCATTAGAAAGTAAAACGTCTTCTGAATTATTTTTTATCAAAAAATAAAGATTCTTTTATGGAGTCTAAAAGGGATGAAAAAGAAATGAAAAGAACACAAGTATTACAAATTAAAAATTTAAAAAAACCGACTTCAAAAACGTGCAGATGCCACATCTCAACCAAATTTATATGGGACCACCCCTGAGGTACCCCCTTACCCCAGATAGCACACGACGTCTGAAAGACGTCTTTTTTGTGTCTTGGTTTGGTCTCAATGTCCTAGGACGTTATTAAGACGTCTTATAAGACGT